CGTCCCCTCTCACGTCCCATCCCGTTCGCTCCCCTAGGCAACAGCAGCTCGTGTAAGACGAGGAACGGTGTATCCGTCGCTACCACTCGCCGTATGGCATCCCATCCCACACACCCCCTTGCTCTGTCTTCTGCCTCTAGTCTGCACTCTAGCCAAAGCTTTCAAGTCTGGCTAGGCAATCTCTCTCGCTCTCTCTCTCCTCTGTCAACCATCCCACCACCATTACCCACCTTACTCTCCCCTCTGCTGCCCACTACCTGCGCTCGCTCTGTCCGCCGGTCCCTCGTCTCCAAGACTGGCTTGCTGCGCTATCCCCTGGTCGCGTTGGCGAGGCCTCATCGACGCTTTGCCCGATTGGACTGGCCTTGTTTCTCGCCGCTCCTCGTTATCCTCCTGCTGCTGTGTCTCTCTCTCCTCAATATCCTCTCCATCCCTCCCTCGTCTACGACTACTATTTGGCTTGCCTTCCCTTCTCTCATCCCTCGAGATCGTCTACAAGACTAACCTTCAAGGCGCCCATCAGAGACCCGAGGTTGTTTGCACTTTCTTGTGCCTCCTCTTAGGCTTATCACTCGCCTCACGGTCCACATTCCTCGACTCGACTCGACTTTAATTCGACTCGACCCGACAACCCGGCGCCTTCGTCCATGGTTGCTTGAACATTTCCATACATTCGCTTTTGTCGACCTCTGGTTCCACTTGGAAGCCTGCACACTCGCTGCCACTCCCTGCCAAATTGACCTCTACCTCGGCCAGGTCACTTGCCCCAGCCTTGGCTTCATCGTCTAGTCAAGCTTCCTTGGGTCTATCCGAGCTTGAACACGGCAGCTTCCACTGCATTGCTCTCGTGTGACATACAGAGGTGCGCTGCTATCAGGTTGTGCTAGTTCCACTGGAGCAAGCTTGTGACTGCGGACAAGACTAACAGTATCAAAGTAGCTTGAATCGTCCCGCACTTGGTCGACAACTCTCTGAACACTCTCAGAGGCTACCACCCCCGTCATCAACACGATGGGTATCGGTAGCTATTTTAAGTCTGAGAAGCCTGAAGCTTCTGGCCATGGTAGCCCGCCACAGTCCGGTCGCGGCAACCCGGCCCAAGTCATGGAAAAGGACTCCAACATAACAAGCACGAACGATATGGAACTCCAGCCGCCCACTCCTCGCTACAACTCTAGACCTCAGTCCATCTCTGGCCGATCGACGCATTCCAATGGCAGCTCCATGTTCCTCGACGACATCAAACATGAGGTCATGGTTAACTACCTCTACCAGCAGCAATGCTCTCACCTCTGGGTCAGTGATGGATCCGGCGAGGTCGAGGGTGTTCTCCTGCGCAAGGCCAGGGGTCAATACATGGCATGCCCTCCGCAGTTGGGCACCTCCCCATTCGCTCAGGCTTGCGCAGCTCTCAATGTCCAGTGCGCCATGACTGTGAATTCGCGTGTCATCAAGACCTTCCTTCAGTGGTCTCCCGACGCTGTCGACGTCCCTCTGATGAACGGTCTCCGCGTCCAGATTTTGCCCACCATCGAGGACCTTCCCAGAGCGAGAAAGCATCAATTCGCAGCCTTCATCGCTGCTGAGGGTCTTCTCATTGTCTGGGACGACGATGCGCTCCATCTTGTCCAGAGAGCCAAGGCTATCGAGTCCGAGCTCATGGAGCTCGTCTGGAAAGCTGGTGCTGAAGATGAGGAGGGTGACGAGAAAAAGGGTCCCAATGTCGGCGAGTACGAGATTGACGAGGAGAGCGGTCAAATCAAGCCCGAAAAACGCCCTGTTCACCTCCTGAACACCTACCTGGTGTCCATCACTCTTGTCCTCGTTGTTGTTTCCCTCGGCGCTGCTTGGAGACAACTCGCAATCGAAGTCTCCGTTGACGGAGAGTACCTTCGTCTGGCCCTTGTCGCCCTCTTCCCGCTTCAGATCTTCTTTACCCTGTTCTTCGCCCAAGTCATTGTCGGTTGCTTGGCTCAGATCTTTGGACCTATCCGCCAGTTGACGATCAACTCCAAGTTTTACTCGGCTCGTCCTCCTCCCAGACTTCAGAGTTCGTTCCTACCCCACGTTACCGTCCAATGCCCCGTGTACAAGGAGGGTCTGGGTGGTGTCATTGTCCCCACTGTCAAGTCCATTAAGCAAGCCATGTCCACCTATGAACTTCAAGGTGGCTCTGCCAATATGTTTATGAACGACGATGGTCTCCAGTTGATTTCCGAGGAGGAGCGCCGAGCTCGCATCGAGTTCTACGCCGACAACAGCATCGGATGGGTTGCCCGCCCCAAGCACGGCGAGAATGGCTTCACCCGTAAGGGCAAGTTCAAGAAGGCATCCAACATGAACTTCGGCTTGATGATCTCCCTCAAGGTCGAAGAGAAGCTCCAGGCCATTAACCGCCCCAACGAATGGACCCAGCACGACGAAGCCCAGGCTTATGAGCAGGCTCTCAAGGAAGTTCTCGAGGATGATGGCCGCGCATGGGCTGACGGTAACATTCGTGTTGGCGACTACATTCTCATCATCGACTCTGACACCCAAGTTCCTGCTGATTGCTTCCTCGACGCCGTTTCCGAAATGGAGCAGTCTCCCGATGTCGGTATCATGCAATTCTCATCTGGTGTAATGCAGGTTGTTCACACCTACTTTGAGAACGGCATCACCTTCTTCACCAACCTCATCTACAGCGCCATTCGGTACACTGTGTCCAACGGTGATGTTGCGCCTTTCGTCGGTCACAACGCTATGCTTCGTTGGAGTGCCATTCAGCAGGTTGGCTACTTTGACGAGGACGGTTATGAAAAGTTCTGGTCCGAGTCGCACGTATCTGAGGACTTCGACATGTCGCTTCGTCTCCAGTGCAATGGATATATCATTCGGTTAGCTGCTTGGGCCGGCGAAGGTTTCAAGGAAGGTGTATCTCTTACTGTCTACGATGAGCTTGCCCGTTGGGAGAAGTACGCCTATGGCTGCAACGAGCTTCTCTTCCACCCCATTCGCACTTGGCTCTGGAGAGGCCCTTTTACCCCGCTGTTCCGCACCTTCTTGTTCAGCAACATTCGTTTCACCTCCAAGATCACCGTCATCTCATACATTGGTACTTACTACGCCATCGGTGCCGCCTGGATCATGACCTCGGTCAACTATTTCCTCATGGGCTGGTATAACGGTTACCTTGACAAGTACTACGTCGACTCGTGGCAGGTCTGGTTCTCCATCATCATTGTCTTCAATGGTCTCGGAAACGTTGCCCTCGCGGTCATGCGCTACCGTGTGGGTGAGAAGAGCCTGTTGATGGCCTTCTTTGAGAACCTTAAGTGGACTTTCCTGCTCGCCATCTTCCTCGGCGGTCTCAGCCTGCACGTCAGCCAGGCTCTTTTGGCCCACATGTTCGAGATCGACATGACATGGGGTTCGACTTCCAAGGAAGCCGAGTTCTCCAACTTCTTCATCGAGGTGCCCAAGGTCTTGAAGAAGGTAAGCTCTTATATAGCCCCCTCATCCCTTGCTAAAGCCAGTCGTTGGCTCCACATTCCAGTGGTGCTTATTCATGGCCATGCATTCCACTTTCAAATATCTCGTATCCAATTTGAGCCGATGCTAACGTGCTGGGACTAGTTCAAATTCTCCATGCTCTTCTCCTGCATCTTTATTGCCGGCATGATCATTCTTGCCGTTGCCGACTTCGTCCCCCACGACTGGCGCATTACCGACTTTGTTGCCATTCTCCCCATGGCCACCGTCTCGGCCAGTCACTTGCTCCTGCCCATCGCTCTCAACCCCGCGCTCATGACCTTCTCGTGGTAAACAAATCCACGTCGAATCTAATGCTATTTACTATTTTCACGAGCCGTACGAGGCGACAAACTTTGTATAGTGGGCGCTTCCCGCAACGATATAGACATGGGGACGGAGTTGCGAGGTGCTTTGATACCTAGATCCTAGCTTGAGCAAACCACGACATGATCAGTGGAGCTCTTGTATGTTTTCATTTCCTTTCTACCATCTCTCAAAAGATATCACGTAAAGCATCTTTACCAATTATATTCAAAGCTTAATTTTATGACTATGAGGTGGGATCATCACGGATACAAAGGATCGGGGATATAGGTTGGACCACAGGATAGGGCACGAAGTAGATGATGGTCACTAGACACACACACACGCCCAAATATTGGCATCTTGCTCTAATAGCACAAATTTAGAACAAAACGAGTCGTGCCTTGAATTTCTTACCCTTGGTGTGTTATATCATCAAGTCGCCTTCAATTGATGTCAAACATAATTGCTCTTAAGACCTCGGTATAGTGCTGGGATATGTGCCACATCGGGAAATGCCTGGAGGCTCAATTCATGTTTTCCAGCGGCAGACCCTCCTGATCGAGACCGGCATCTAATGCTCAGGGACTGACCAGCAGACCTATCGTGGCAGCCTAGTGATGGTGGGCATGATAGCGACTCATATCTTGAGGTCCCATTCCGTTGTTGTGGTATCGCTTTTGAGCAATCACATACATACGCGAGACACTTAAAAGTTGGATGATTGCAAGATTGATTCGAATCGAGTCGTTCCATCGTTTAAAATAGCTGTCTAGGGGGTGTCTTTGTCATGTCTTACGCGACGACAATCTCTGATGGTGAGGGGAAAGAAGGAAAAAACACAAAAACCCACAAGAGAAAACATTGAAAAACTTGAAAAAACAGGAAGCTCATCCCGCCCATCCTGGATCCCGTCTATATGCAGAACGCCTTCTAATCCCGTCTGAACACGGACTGGGGGGAGAGGAACGACATCTCTATTGACCACCCCCATCCACTCTATCCCCAAGATATCTCTGAAAGCAAAATCCCAACTTTTTCTTTGTAAAAGAGGGAGTTCGACCAAGATTGTATGTCGTCTGTATGTCTGGTCATACTCTCTTTTTCCTTTTGAACCAGTACCACAGAAGAAAAACAGGTATCGCTCGTTATTAACCTTCTTTCGTGAGTCGTCGTAAAGCTACTTATTCCTCGTCGTCCGTGTCGAGAGGGTGGGGTGTTCCCTTGGGGCTGTTGAGCCACTCAATGTGTCTGAGGCGGCGACGGACCTCCTGCTCCTTGAGCTCCTTCTTGGTCTTCTTCTTCTTCTTCCTGGAGCGGAACTTCATTTCCGAGTTGTCCTCGGCGCCCGAGTTGACGGCGCTGTTGACGGCACTGTTGGCGACGGAGGAGACGGCGGTGGAAGCCAAGGCGCTTCCGGGCGCGCTGTTGTCCTCGAAGGAGCCGAGGTTGATGGCGGCGTTGCCGCGGAGGGCGACACGGCCGTCGTTGACGTGCCACTGCTCAGAGCACAGGGCACCGACGAACTCCTCGTTATGGGAAATGAGGATGACGCCGCCCTTGAACTCGCGAATGGCGACAGCGAGACCGCCGAGGGAGTCACGATCCAAGAAGTTAGTAGGCTCATCGAGAACCAGCAAGTGAGGGTTGTTCCACATGGCACCAGCGATGACGACCTTGACCTTCTGACCACCGGACAGGGAGCCGATCTCGTTGTGGTTGGCAATCTCGGGGTCCAGGCCGAGGTCCTCAAAGTGCTTGGAGATGACGGTGGGTTGGAGCTCTCGGTAACCGAGACCCTCGCGAGAGGCCTCGTGGTCATCGAACTCTTGGAGGAGCTTGTTGAAACCCCACTCGATCATGGTCTCACGGGACACCTGGGTGTTATACTTGGGAAGGTATCCGCGCCATTTGCTGCTTCGTGTTAGATTGTGTGCCATGTATTCGAGGGTTGGATTGCATGCTTACATTTCGTATTGGAAGGTCTTCTTGTACTTTTGACGACCAACGATAGTCTCAAGTTGACGAGGAGACTTGCCATCCTTGAGGTCGATGAGCTTCTCCATCTGTTCGCGATCCTTGTCGGAGAGCATACGGGTTTGCTTCATGTGGACCTCGCGATCATCACCGTTGGCGTAGCGCCACTGCAAGTACTGGTTGGGAGTCTTCTCAAGATGCATCTCGACGTGCTCGAGGGCGTGCTGCTTAATGTAACCGATACGCAAGTTGGGGTGCTTCTCGACCTTTCCGGTGCTGGGGATGACCTCGCCAGTGAGGATCTTGATGAGAGTGGACTTGCCAGCACCGTTGGGGCCAATAATAGCCACTCTGGACGACAGAGTAAGCTGGCAAGTGACCTCGGCCAGAGAAGGCTTGGGAGCCTTGGGGTATTGGTATGAGACGTTGGTCATGCGGATGATGGCACGGGTCAGGGACTTGACACCAGTCAGGATACCCGGAGGCGGGAACTTGAACTGAACCTGGGAAGCAGAGAGCGTGTAGTAGCTCTTTGCCTCGGGGCGGAGCTGGACGAAGTTGGCCAGGTTACCCTTGTAGCACGCAAGCTTCTTATTAGGCTCGTAGTGGTAGATATCCGTCGTGACGTTGTCGAGGAAGCCGGAGTCGTGAGAAACAATCAAGCTGGTGATGTCGGGGTGGGTCTTGAGGTAGTTCTCGAGCCAAGCAATGTTGGCAACATCCAAGTGGTTAGTAGGTTCGTCCAGCAACAGGACGTCGGCGCCCTTCAGCATGGCACGAGCCAAAGCCAGCTTCATCTTCCAACCTCCGGAAAGAGAGCCGACCTTGTGCGACTGGCGCTCGTCGGGGCCACTGCCGAAGCCAAACTCATCAAGAACCTCGACGACCTTGGCACGACCGCGAGACGCGATCTCTTCATTCTTCAGGACAAAGTCCAAGATGCTGATGTCGGCATCCTCGCCCTGGTTGTGTTCGACATAGATGGTACGAAGGACATCCTGAGGAGGGAAACCCTCGAGCTTGCCGTTGGCGATACTGCGCATCAGTGTGGACTTGCCGGCACCGTTGCGACCGCAAAGGCCGTAGCGGTGACCCTTGAGCAGTCTCAGGTTGGCGTGGGAAAGCAGCAGCATACCACCGTATGCCAGGGAAAAGTGGGCATTGACAATCTCCGTCTCGCCATCGTCCTCCTTCTCAGGAACACCGTATTTGCGCTCGTCCTCCTCAACGTAGTATCTCTGAACGCTCTCAGCGATGGCAGTGTTGGAACCCGGCGTCAACGCCTGCAGGTAAGGCGCGATGCGCGCAGAGATGCGCTGAACGAAACGGTGGTTTACGTCCTCAGCAACCTGATCGCAGATGTAGGTGCGGGCCAGCTTGTAAATGTCGGTTGCCGCAAGGCCTCCGCTCTTCTTGATCTCGGCATCGAGGATCTTGCCAACGTCCTCGCCAGAAACACGCTCAATGACATCCGTGTCGTCACCCATGGCCTTCTCGATAACGTCCAGCGCTCTCTTAGCCAGCTCTCGGACCTCGGGGAGGGAGGCGCGGTCGTAGACACCCTTGACGCCAGGCTGTAACTTGGGCAGGAAGGTTCTGGCCTCGATCGGGTCGTGGACCAGCTTTGTCAAGTTCTCAACGACGACAACAGTCTGGCGGAGAACCTCCTGAGCGGTACTGGGGGTGTTGAGGGAACGCTCCAACAGGGGCGTCAAGAGAGCAAGGACGGGAGAGGTGACGATGGCAACAAAGGTTGTCATGGACAGCGCATGGATGGCCTTGCGGAGAGTCTCGGTCGAGGGGTGGTGCATAGTCTCGATGAGGAGGGGAACGCGAGGAGCGACATCGTCGTTGGAAAGGAGTGCGGTGAGCGCGGTCATGGTCAGGACAGCCTGCTTCTCGACCTCGGTCTTGAGGTCGTGCATGCCGCCCTCAACGATGGGAATGAGGCCAGCGAGCTTGGTTCCGATGGCCTCGCGGAGGACATCTTGCTCTTCAGCCTGCTCCTGCGTGGAGCCGACAGTCTGCTTGGCCTTGTCGGCGACCTTCTGGAGCAAGAGGAAGGCAGCAGCTGTTCCCTGCCATTTTCCGGTCCTCTTTGACAGGTAGGCGTGGAGGACGGGCAATAGACCGACAACGAGAGCCTCAGGGCTCAGGTTGTTGAAGAGAGCGTCCAGCGCATATTGGGCAGACTCGCGGACGACGGAGCCCTTGTCGGACAGGGCATCGAGAGCGCAAGGTACCAGGCTGCTATCCTCAACAAGGAAAACAACCTCGCTCAGAGGCGACTTGGGGGGTATGCGCTCAAAGAGGGCACCCAAGAGATTCTGAGCGCACTCGCGAAGCTGAGGGGACTTCTTGTTGGCGGCAGCCTTCTTGATCTCGGCGAGAATGCCATAATGGGTCAGACCCTGGTATCCGACCGTGTTGTTCAGGACTTCGCAAAGACCGTAGGCGGCATCGACAGAGGCGGCGGAGGTGGTTGCGGTGAAGATCGAGTTCAGGAAGGCGGAAACTTCCTCCTGGGATGGCGGGGGAGGGGCATCGCCCTTGGCCACGACGGTCATGTTCGCTTGGTGTTGTTCCTGCGATAAGGGCGGGGTTACAGGGTGAGGCATGGAAGCGACGACAACCAGCACTTGGAGAGAGGGGTCGGAGGATTGGAAAGAACAAGAGAGGGAGGGAGAGAGAGAGAGCGCGCGCGAAAAGAAAAGGGACCTCGCTTCTGCAATTTCGAAGGAGGGAAACGGTGGTTTTCGCGGGAAAAAGGCGATACTCTCGTCTGTCCTCTCTCTCGTGGGACGGGGAGTTTGTGTGTGTAGGTCGTCAGCAACAGGTGTCCCTCCGTCGCAACACAGATTTTTTTTTAGATTGGGCAAGTCTGGGCGCGATTTTTCCCTCTTTGTTCCTCCTCCACCAGCAGAATCGCATCCTTGGCCCATGTGAAAAAATAAAAAATTCAACTTATCCCGCCCCCTATCGGGGACGTCTCATTGGATGCAGGCCCCTTCTCATCTCCACCTTCACCCCCAATCTCTGTAGCGGTACGTACCGAGGGGCTCCGTACCTCATCTTTTTCGCTCCGCTGTGAAGGCCTCTTGATGCCCGAATTACCAATCCGAGGACGCAACTCTACGTCGCCGCGCACGTTGCCCGGCAAGAAAAAGATCCTCAAGGGTCCAGCGGGGAATTTTTCACCTCCCCTTCAGCTTTCCGGGTAATTCCTCCCAAGAGACTAAGTCGTTCCGGCGTGGTTGCTCCGGTCCCGGCGCCAAAATCCCGTTGAAGAAGCCCGGCTCACCCCGCGGTTGCGGTCCCGTCTCAGCGTCGGCGTAAGAGCATCGGCGGCTAAGAGCTCACTGTCCCTTGATTTCGTTTCAAAAATACGGCAAAGTCTAACTTGTGACTTTGTTGAGTGTGTAGGAGCCTCTTATCAGCGAGGAAACAAAGCAGGCAGCGTTGCTTCCCATTTCCCCCAATATTCTTGAGGTATTAATTACCCTGGCAAGCCTTCTTCTTACTGCAAATCCATCACGCTCTTCCCTACTCCCCCCCCAAAAGAAAAAAATCCATTTCCTTCATGGAAACGGGCTGGACGAAGCAAGGATCTATAAGAGGTAAAATGAACGGCCATGATTGAAAAATGCATGATGTATTGAACGACCCAACGAACCTTTTCACATGTGGCCGCCCTGGGAAGCAGAGTTTCGGCTACAGCCGTTCGCAAGTTGAGACTGCAGTGCTGGTCGCTTTTGGTTTTGGTAGGTGGTCTCATCGCCCTTACTATTCTTCCATCCTCATCGCACGAATCGCCCGAGATGACTTCGTTGCCGTCGGTGGAATGGAATCTCGACCGCCACGGCCCCTCCGCCACCCAAGACTTCTCGAGACCGCTGTGCCAATCTGGAACCATCGCTCAACAGAAATCTGACTTGCAGACTGACTTGTCTCGCGGCGCAAGTCAAGCCTCGCTGAGAGGCTGAAAAAGCCTCGTGGGACTTGAGGTAGACACGGCTCGGTGATGGTGCCGTGAGTATATGTCTGCCCTGAGATGAGTAGCAAGCTAGCCAGTCTGATGCATGACTTCGGCATGAAAGCATGGTTGGACCAGAACACCCTTCAGACGAATTGAGTAACCTCGTAGTCAATTTCTCGATAGCCTGGAACGCTTCCACCCGTGGCGTTTGGATCATTCTCTGCCTCCCCGCCATGCATTGGTTTTGCTTCTCGCATCGGTCCCGCGCATTCTCTTCGTCGGCCTTGGAATGCTGCTGAGCGCATCGTTGGTCATAAAAATCTACTTGCGACATCATGTTTCTCTTTTCCGAGGCTGGAGGAGGAAAACTCGAGCGAAATTGAGGACCGACGTACTTGCTTTTCCCATCCCGTCTCAGCTGATGGACTTCCACTGCTGGAAAACATGTCGACGATAGATGGTTTCTCGCGTCACATTAAGAGGAAAACGTGATGTCAGGTTGATCAAAGGAAATAGGTGGTCATGAGCACCTGATATGGTTTGTCGGTTTTCGTTCATGTCTCTATTTGAGCTTTTAGGCCCGCTAGTGGATCACTCAGTATCGCATCTTGAGAATTGAATATTCTCTGCGCCTACTCCTATCATATGGGCCAAAAACTCCGTGTTGAATATCCACATATAACACACTGACAGCATCTACTAATTGCTGGTATTCACTTTTGAAGATAAACGTTGAGATTTGAGACTTGAAGATGGGACGGACTCCATTGGATCCAGGCGGGAGATCTCCGGCAGGCTTACTTTAGGCACCTTGCCTTGAACCTGAGTTCCTTTATTAAGGAGGATGGGAATTTGGCATGCTTCTGCCGGGTTCTGGCTCTTCCAGGAGCAGGCGCTAGGTACGGTAGGCCCGTGCTGCCGAGGCCCCGCGCCAATCAGCGGGGATGACCAGAGAAACAACGGCCCCACTGCTTTTTGGGCGCCGCAACTGAGAACTTGAGAAGGGACGTCACCAAGACAGGGGCAGCGGTCCAAGCGTGGGGCGACCCAGATCCCCCCACTGTTTCAACCGGAAGCTCTCCCAAGTCCAGGCGAGCACGGCCTGATGCCTCTGCACTCTGCACTCGGCAGCGTGGTTACGAAGGCTAAGCACGCCAACAGAACAAGCCGCGGTCCTGCGAGTCGAAACCTAGGGGAACAGACCTGACACCCCGTCCCTCGTCCCGGGCCCTTCAATTATTTGGTCATTCTTCCAACCCTTCTTCACAAGTGTTTGTCTCTTATCCTGGACCGACACTGATTGACATCAGGTCGACTTGCGAGGTCGCCTATACTCTCCACATACCATCAGACTCTATCTCGATTGACAGTACCTATTCAAGTTGCCGGCGCCTATCTCGCAGATACCCATCGAACTCGACACGCATCCCCATTGCTTCGTTCCAACACCATACTCAACGGCGCGTTGAGCAATGGTCCGCCAGTCGACCCGTGCTGCCACAATCAGTCTCTGAACCAGACTTGTGCGATCGTTACACGCAGAGCCAGTTTGGTTGGTTTACCACCCAACAACGATCCGAAGCATTTGACTTCCCAGTAGGCGAACTCGGAGCCACAGCCACGAACTGTCCACGAACTATTAATCTGTCAGTCATGGACCCCAGCAAAGAGGGACTCTTGGGCGACAAGTCCCGCCGCTCATATGATGGAGAATCCGACGACGGTTCCGACATGGATGCCACTGAGTACTTGGAGCGAAATGAACGGAAGCAGGAGTCAAGATTGCGCAAGCCCGCTTTCCTTTCGGTCAAGCCGAGGGGCTGTATCGCGGCATTCAGAAGGCTCTTCCAGGGACGCTCGAAGCTATGCCTGCTCATCACCGCCGTCGTCTTCATCATGTGGGTCTTGATCAGCGCTGGAGGAGCTGTCATGTACAAGAAGTTCAAGGGCGCGCCGCCTGTCGGCCTCTCACCACCGTGGTATCCGACTCCAAAAGGTGGCATATCCAAGAACTGGGCCGAGAGCTACAAGAAAGCCTCAGAAATGGTCGCCAAGATGACGTTGCCTGAGAAGGTCAACATTACAACAGGAACTGGCTGGATGATGGGTCTCGCGGTCGGCACGACCGGCCCTGCCGTTCACGTCGGCTTTCCACAACTTCAATTACAGGATGGTCCGCTTGGTATTCGCTTTGCCGACAATGCGACCGCGTTCCCTGCTGGCGTCACTGTGGGCGCCACCTGGAATAAAGAATTGATGTATCAGCGAGGCAAGGCGCATGGACAAGAGGCGCGAGGCAAGGGGATCAACGTGCTCCTCGGACCCTGCGTTGGCCCCCTTGGCCGCCTGCCTGCCGGTGGCCGCAACTGGGAGGGGTTTGGCGCTGACCCATACCTGTCAGGAATCGCTGCCGCCGAGACGATCAAGGGCATCCAGGAAGAGGGAGTAATGGCTACCATCAAGCACTTTGTCGCCAATGAGCAGGAGCATTTCCGCCAAAGCTGGGAATGGGGATTGCCCAACGCCATCTCTAGCAACATCGACGATCGAGCCATGCACGAACTGTACGCCTGGCCATTCCTCGATGCCGTCAAGGCCGGCGTCGCCAGTGTCATGTGCTCTTACAACCAGGTCAACAATTCGTATGCTTGCGACAACTCCAAGCTCCTCAACGGTATCCTGAAAGACGAGATGGGCTTCCAAGGGTTCGTAATGAGCGACTGGCTTGCACAACGTTCCGGTGTCGGCAGCGCCCTCGCAGGTTTGGACATGACAATGCCTGGTGATGGTCTGTTTTGGCAGAATGGCAAGTCTCTTTGGGGCCCCGAACTTACTCGGGCCGTCCTCAACGGATCCGTTCCCGTCGAGAGATTGGATGACATGGCAGTTCGTATCGTTGCCTCTTGGTACAAACTGGGACAGGACGATAAGAAACTCTATCCGGATGAGCTTCCCAACTTTTCCTCCTGGACCAATGACAAGATGGGCAAGCTCGCTCCCGGTAGCAAGACACCCCAACCAGAGTTAGAGGTCAACAAGTATGTCAACGTGCAGGGAAATCACTCCGATATTGCCCGTCGTGTTGCTGCTGAGGGCACAGTCTTGCTCAAGAATAAAGACGTGTTGCCAATCAGCAGGGACGGCTTCATCGATGCGAAGCGCAAGCGCCACGAGGGCAAGTTGAAGATTGGTATTTTTGGCGAGGACGCGGGCCCAGGCAATGGACCTAACTATTGCGCCGATCGCGGTTGCAATCAGGGAACACTGGGTTCGGGCTGGGGTAGTGGTGCTGTGGAATTCCCGTACCTTGTCACTCCTGTTGAAGCCTTGAAGAAGGGCTTCAAGTCTGAGAAGGTTGAACTATCCGAGTATCTCACAAACTCGCCCCCGTTCCAGAAGGACCCCTCTATCCTGCACAATCAAGACGTCTGCATTGTATTCGCCAACGCAGACTCGGGAGAAGGTTTCCTGGCGTGGGGAGGCATTGGCGGAGATCGAAACGATCTCAAGTTGCAAAACGGAGGGGACGACTTGATCCTTCTAGTCGCCGATAATTGTGGCAAGGGTGAAGGCAATTTAGCAGGCGGTGACACCATCGTTGTCATTCATTCTGTCGGACCTGTCGAGATGGAACGCTGGATTGAGCACCCTGGCGTCAAGGTAGTTCTCTACGCGAATCTCCCGGGAGAAGAGAGCGGAAATGCGCTTGCGGACGTCATCTTCGGCGACGTCAACCCTAGTGGCAAGCTGCCGTATACTATCCCCAAGTCTTTGAAGGATTTTGGACCTGCCGGGCAGATCTTGTATCTGCCCAACGGCGTGGTGCCTCAACAGGACTTCTCCGAAGGACTTTACATTGACTACCGACACTTTGACAAGAACAACATTGAACCCCGGTTCGAATTTGGATTCGGCCTGTCATACACGAGCTTCGAATTCTCCAACGTTGTCGTTGAGGGTCTCAAGGAAAAGACCGCACTTCCCCCACCTCGCCCATCGCCTGGTGCGGAGCCACCAAAATTTAGCGAAAAGATTCCCGATAAGAAGGTGGCCTTGTTCCCGGAAGGGTTCCGCAAGCTTGAGAAATACGTATATCCGTACTTGGATACTGTGGATGACATCTCCTCGGACCCGTATCCTTACCCAGACGGATATGAGGTGAAGCAACCCCTTTCTCAGGCCGGTGGCGAGGAAGGCGGTAACCCCGACCTGTGGGAGACGTATGTTACCGTAAAGGCGGACGTGACCAACACCGGCGCTGTTTCTGGCAAGGTCGTGCCCCAGCTCTACATGTCGTACCCGAAGAACGTGCACGGCGTGGACTTCCCGGTCAAGGTGCTCCGTGGATTTGACAAGTTCAACTTGGACAAGGGCGAGAAGAAAACGGTCACGTTCAACCTGACACGGCGCGACCTCAGCTACTGGGACGTGCGGCAACAAAACTGGGCGATGATTACCTTTGGAGAGTATTCGTTCCTCGTTGGCGAGAGCTCGAGGCAGCTGACTCAAGTGGGCAGTTGGTAGCTGTTGTATATGTTTATTGGTTTCTGCTGGTATGGAGCCATTGATGGTTAAGAATAAAAGAAGATTTTGGTAACATATAAATGGGGGTTTTTGTTTTGCAGTCATTGCTCACGTCAAGCGTCAAGCCAAGTGTCTCGTGAGGTTTAGTGATCTACGCATGTAGAATTGAGATGAGGTACTCGATTACGATCTAGGTTTTATTGCATCCCAATTGATCTGAATTTGCGTCTGTCAATGTCTGAGCCTAACGGAAAACCTGCGAGCATCACTACATGTGTGCTGACCAGACTGTTATGAAATGGACGTGTTTACTCTGTTGAGAACTCGGACCAAGAACTCCAAGTCTCCTTCTTCAAGGACACTGCCGGTGCAAGATCGAGGGGCGGTGCCCATCGCAACACGAGATGGCCGTCCGCGTCGCACAATACCATAGCTGCTTTACGATGCAAGCCAACCCGTCATACATAAGGTACCCCTCTGTGAATTTTTAATGAGGAGCCTACCTTCAAGACCACGAACGTCTCAATGGATGTATACAATGTCCTTGAATCCCCACGCTTTGTCCCGTTTTCTCACGCCACTTCCTTCTCAATAGACTGCAATGCGAATACCTTTTCCGCTCTCAAACTAAACGACTGCATCGTCAACATCCTTGGTGAACTGAAGCCTAGGGCTGACGGGTGCGATGGGAAGTTTACAGACTCGTCTAGGGAGTGTAAAGTGGATGGAGAGGGCATCAAGTGTCGGCGCAAAAAGCATAATGGGCGTTACAAGGAGCCATTGTTCAACGTTTGTGAGTAGCTTCCTCCGTTCCCGGACCCCGGTGAAAACATTAGACAGTGTCAATGACGGTTATAGATGATGGCGTGACGAACTGGAATGGCTACCTTGGCTGCCATGGTATCATCTCAAATTGCTACGAGATGCCGTAGAAATGCTAGGCTAAGAAGTGGTGGCCCGAAGGCGATTCTCCCACGATCTTCAGTACCAAATATGGTATCTATAAGTAAGATGACTGGAGTGGCAATTCTTTGATGGAAGCCATGCAACGGGACACACAGTTGGGGGACATACCCGGAGATACGTATGGGCTTGCATCGTGGCAAAATGGAATCAGACAGACCTTGACTGTGTTTTCAGAGTGAAGGAGAGGGCATTACGAGCCAATGAATCAAGGAAGTTCTTGATCTTCCAAGCTTCCAGACTGGCACATGCCGAATGGCGCATGACGAGTGCCCAGTGACTGTAGGGGATGTGTCATTCAGGCAACAGCGGCGCGTGTTGGAGTGAATGTGTCTTCCAGGCAGCCTTTTTGCGCAGTAAAGTAAAGTCCTGTCAGACTTGCTATATCACTAACACTAATTTGCCATGTCGTCAGTGAGGGCATTCTGAAACTTGCAGAGTTCACGAGTGTGGTCAGCAGACTACGGTACCGGCGACGTGGATGTGGGAAAAGGGGCCAACCCGTGAGATAAGCGGAGGCCGCTAGCGGGGTCGGCAACCTTGATCCATACGTTTTTGATGAAAGATGTATGTGACACAATGCATTGCTGCTACCCGATGCAGTCAGCAGCACTGAATCGTTCGGAATGAGTGAGAAACACGTGATTGTCTACACGATGCGTAAGCCGAACCTTACAAATCTCACCGCGACGCTGCTCACCCTTTCTTGGCGATCTAATCGGAGTTAATTGGAATCTACATCACATTTCAATAGGCGGTTCTATCCTTCTGTTATGGCTTACAGATCAGAGTGCAGCATGTTCACGGCTGACATATCGTCAGTCGCCATGGAGAGTGACGTCTTCCGACGCGGTTAGAAATCACGATGATACGCCGGAACGAAGGGCGGTTGGCTATCTCAACGAGTCCTCGCCGCTCATACTGAACGTGAACGCGCGCGGGTCCGAGATGGAATGGCAGTGTCCTCGGTGAGGTCCGGCGTGGGGGTGGTGAAGTTGAGGTGAAGGTAGAGGGGAGATTTGGAATGAGACAGCACTCCCGCCTCCGCTCCGGCTCCGGCGGAGTTTACGACGGCAAGTGCATATTATCTGGTGGAGGCGGGGCACCGTGGGTACATGCACGGGCGGAGCTGATCGATGCAAGGCACTGGTTCCAATCTGGCATTTGAGACGTCCACAGAGCTGCCTAAGAAGGAACAGTATGTCGAGACACATATGTTGGCTCCCTCCATGAAAATTGATTCCCCAATGGGAAAAAGCGAGGGAGTTCCTCCTGTCGTTGTCTCGTCGGATTGCCAGGAGCCGGATGGCTGAGGGAGGAGCCACCCCACCGGGGCAAGCCACATCGGCAGCGAATCAGGGTCCTCGCGTCCTTCTTTCTTTGGAATAGCATTGGTCAATTTTCTGCCCCCTAGCTCATGAACTGAACCGCTGCCAGGACCGCTCGCACTACCTTACCTAACTTACCTTACCTTACCTTACCTTAGGCTGTGGCGCAGTCGAGAGCCCGTCCCGTCAGAACACCGTGTGACGTTTTCCTGTCCCTCTCCTTGTTTTCTTCGTTTCGACTTTTACGCATCATCCCGTCTTCTCGTCCCAGCTTGTTTTAGTCGTCCGCGCTTGTTCCCGGCCGACCGCGAGTCTATCGGCCTTGCCCGTCGTCTCGAGTCGTAACACAGCAAACCACATGCACCGCATCGCGCTTAGCATTCTTCCTTGCTGGGCCGTGGACGGCGCTTCCGTTCATTTCGCTCGTTCGCTACTTGGCCCATCGTGAAGCGCTCCTTGGGGCACAGAGCATCCGCAAGTCTGCCTTGCTGAATTTCGAACACGGAATTTTTCACGACTATTCCCATACCTTTGACTGCCCATCGCTGGGCGCTTATGATCCTGTATCAGATGCAGCAAATTCCTTTTTTCTGGGGGATCCTCTGATGCGTGATCGACTAGACGGGTTTCCACGCGGCTACAGGATGCGATCGATCTGCTCAGGTAGGGCCGAATGTCACAGCTGCCCCCAGCCTCAACTTCAGCAGCCCATTATCGACTTCTAGAAGAAACCCCTTTGACTATCCTCATTGGCCGACAGCTCCAGCAAGCGGGAAGCCTGGGAGCCGAGGTACGGGCTTAGCCATGCCTCAAAGTCTAGAACCAGACTCACCCTGGCCTGGTTCGCAGCCTCTAGGAGTGCCAAACAAGCGCGCAGGATGCTCAACCTGAAGCAGACGACAACCACTATGCTCGATGGCCGGGTCCTACGCAACTGGGATCCAAACTTCATCAGAACTGGTCCAGAGTGGATCCAAGAGCCAGACATGTTGACAAAAGTTCGAGACGTGGGGCAGCTGAATTATTACAGACCAACCAACCCGCGGATAAACCAACCTGGTCAACTTTCAGCCCTACGGAATCATCCCCGCATCCACGACTTACTCCAACGGGGGTTTTGGCTGGGATACCCAAACATCACGCGAGCTAGGCAAGGTTGAGACACAACTTGGTTCTCCAATGCGGATATCTTGATGTTTTTGACTTTGTTGCAGATTATTCAACTTGTCTGCATCTGCTGGCATTTCAAAGAAAAAAGATGCACAACGTTTGCTCCGTGCTCGGTCTCGATGCTATCCCGTCTCTTACCTCTACCATGATGACACCGCGGCAGAACGCTATGCTCCCTTGGCGCTCTACAATTCATCGTCATATCTGCACAGCTGTTGCAAATGGCTCCCCTGAGTTTCATTGGTCCGTTGGCGCCAGTCAACAAGTACCCGGTAAACAAGCTAATAGACCTCCGTCGGATTGCTAAACCGAGCCTCCCACCCCGGTCAGCAGCAGTGCCTTCTTCTGATTCTCGCCATCCTTCGCCATGATCAAAACGGTTCCTAGCAGCAATATTCACCTGACGATGGACCGGGGACGCCCGATCAATCACGGCCCGGGACTGGCGTGGGATGGGCAGCCATTAGTCCATGCTGGACGATCTGTCCTCCACTAAAATCTGACGTTGCCTTCTTGAGACCCTGCCACCCTGTTCTCCCCGTTGACCACCTGCCCAAGCACCCTAAGACCTGTGCTTTTTCATTGTCACCATGCCTGGTAGGGCTGCAGCTACGACATTTGCCTAGTCCGTCCCACCCCAGAAGCATGCATTGTCTAGGCTGTCCAGGCTTCTGGGGTCGGTTTATCACGATCTCCGGCGTCATCGGCTAGCGTGGGAACCTCTTCTGGGAGCCCGAGACAAAAATATGTCTGCTCTGTCAGCAGATTTACTCATCGATGTCTGTATACAATGTGGCCAATCATCAACCTCGACCTCGCTTCTTCGCCCATCACACTGCATGTCGTCCCCACGCAAGCAACCAACTTTTGGGAGGAAGAGTTGACGGAAGTCTCGACCATGTCCGCCAACTAGACCTGCAACACAGCCAGTCTGCTGGTAATGGGTGAGGCTTTGGGTCAGGAGCACAATGACTATCCGTTATGCTGTCCCTGGCCCCAACCCACCCGTTCCTTAGTCTGTCTCCTGGGTGGACGCCCTTTGGATGTGGTTGCCGTAACCCCTGGACGTCATGCCGATGCCTTCATCAGCCTCAGCCTCAGCTCCGGCCATAACTCTCTCCATGTGGATGCTCCTTGCCCGTCTAGAGTTCAAACGTGCGACTACCATTGCCGGAGCGGTGCCCGGCATCGACCATGTGGCTAGAGCGAATCTTGACCATACAAAACCAGTCTGTCGTTTCTGATACCCGGCACAGAGGCAACTCTTCCTCGGTGTTACTCCATACCAAGCTTTTCTGACGGCCTTTGCCGAGTATCTGAGGCACCGCAAACTCACATCATCTGTCATAATCGTGGTACGCCGTCTCCGGCTCGACCGCTGCGGAAATCTATCAACTACTCAACGGCTATCTTGGGTCGCCGAGCTCTACCGACGTCATTGGACCAGACAGACATATCCAGTTGTAGTGTGTCTGACTACCTCGATTGACCCAACTGATCGGTTCGGAGATTCTACCCCGAAGTGGATGTCTATCGTGATGAACGCCACGCTCAAAATCGAGGAACAGGATATATCATCAACCTCCCCCGATGCGAACCTGCCACTTTCTCTTGATCACAGCTACACGAACATCACCCAGCTTCAAGATCAAATAGACTCGGATACTCAGTACACAGTCGAGGACATCCTTGTCGCCTTCGCGCCGTCATCAGTTAGTCCGGAGTCTCGTCCATCCCGCAGACCGTCATCCACCATGTCCTCGTCGCGTTCCGGCCGCTCCGGAGGGTCATCAAGCCACCAACGTAGCTCCAAGAGTAGCAAGAAACCAAGGGCGGTCCAAGTCAGTCACGGTCTTCTCTTTGTATTGCCTCCCCCTCCCTTTCATGACATGCCACGAGATCTGGTCCACTTTCCGCACAAAAGCGTTCTACATCTAAAGCTCCTAACAGCTTCTCCGCTGCTTGACTTTTCATCCATTATCATACTGACTTTCAACTACCAACAGCGCTCAATCCAACAACTAATCGAGTCCCTGGAGACGCACAGGGTCAACACCCTCACCGAGCTCTGCCGCATCGAACGCGTGGCGGCTACTTGTGAGAACGAAGAGGATGCCCTGGCATTTCAGGGCCCCATGACTGCCGCTTGGGATTACTACGTCAACAGCAACCAGTTTCTCACGGAGCTGCGGGGCCTGACGCGGAGCTACCCTCTCTGTAGCGACATCCTCTACGACGCGCACGTCCGCGTGCGCAACGATCCCAACTCGAATAAGAGCTGGAATTTGGCGTGGTTGTGCCTCGTTAAGATTCAGGAAGAGTAAGAGAAGCAGCTATCAAGCTCCCCGTCTTCGCCAAACATGTCATGAAATATAAAAGACTAACGTTTAATGTATCTTTTTGTGCGCTTGCAGTGACCTTGTATCTGGGTATGCGGCCCTGGAGGCTGCGAAACCCGAGATGTGGGGAGGCCGCGAGCCCTCCGCCGACGAGGCGGCCCAGCTCGGCGCCTGTTTCGAGTATGAATGGAATAAGGCCGTTGACACGATGCTTCGGCACTGGTCCGTTCCCCCGACTTGGTTTTGATTGCGATTGTGGGGAGCTCGAAACCATGTTGAGCCGGTCCACATGGGCGTAGGAGTTTGAGAGGCGGGGGGGATAGACCGTTTTGTCAGAGGACGATTCAAGCTACTTACTCCAAGCGCATAGAATGTTTTTTTTTTCTTTTGGGATTTCAGCATGGGCGAATGAGGGCAAACGATTTCTGTCCTTGGGTCATAGCATCGGTGCGGGAAATCTGGGCATTGGAAAGAAGCATTGGCATGGGCATCGTCATACACCACCCAGTCTCGCGACAACGGTTTGCATTTCACAGCATGTTGAATTTCTGATTATATGCATCCTCCTGGAAGATATTTCCAAGTCACGAGGAGCACGATATATAGAGAAAGCTTCTGGCAAGCTCGACAGATATTCCTCTATTCCCCTGATTCTGATTCAGATTCATCAAAATGAGAGTATATTTATTCCGAAAAGAAGTAGACTAGCGCTTGCAATTTGCAAGACTCGACCGAAATTGAGCATGAAATGCTGTCACTGTGTTCTCAGTCATACCGAAGGCAACAACCAGATGCGACGGGCCTTCTTCACCCAGAGACTGGTAGCTTCGCCACCACATGTCATATGCCACCCAAGGTCAGCATGCATACAACCATTAGACAGATGAGATCTATGCCGTCGAGAGTGACATCACTGCCATGTCCGGATTCGAAAGTGCTAGAAACAGTGAAATGCTTAGAAAGCAGAGGGCGGGAAGGCTCGTCAGAATTCCCTGTGCAATCCATGGGATCCGAAGCGGTCGCCGCGCGGAGCGGGCCGAACGCGCTAGTGAGAAATTGCCGGTGCCCATGTTACGCCGGCCGCCGACGGAGTTTGTCGGGTGTCGTTGACTGCACTGCCTGCCATGTGCCCCTCGCCCCCCCCCGCCGCTATCAAGCTGTCGAAAAGACTCACTGCGAGCGATGTAACAGAAAAACAGCAGTCGGGACAATGCGGGCGTAGATATGCAGCCCTCTCGGACATGGCGATGCTCGTAAAGGCTATCATCTACTGTACAGGTCATCGCAATTAATCAAGAGTCTCGCACGGAATTCCAAGTATCCGAAGATTAAATCAATTCTTGAGATTGACGAGTCTTGGCCCAGTAATGACCTCTTAAATCTATACCGTGTAGTGGTCTGCTTCCTCCTCTTCTGGAGGGTGAGCTGTTTCTGCCCCTCTCTATTGATGCAAATATATTCGCTTTGACCAGACACTTCCGACCTTTTCCAATGCTATGATTATCCGAAATATTTTCCGATCATGTAAAAAACACAAACCCGGTGGGTTTCTGTATCATGTTCTTCACCCAAAGATTGATACAGTGGCTCATGGCTCAGTCTCTCCGTCAGTGCCGTCTTCCTCGCCAACCCAGTCGTCGCTCTCGAGTCCGCGGTTGCGGATGGCGAGAGATCCAATCCAGCCCAGGAGGGCAATGCCGCCAAAAATCCCCCAGGCCAGGGCCTCGCCTTTGGGATGGACACGCGTGGAGAGCGTGAAGAGGGCGCCAGAGACGAACGGCCCAAAGCTGCGGCCAGCGGCGGATAGCGTCTGAGCGATGCCGTTCAAGGTTCCCAACGTAGCATGATTCGGTGCACAGTTTGTGATCTAAAAGCCATCATTATTAGGAATCCACCAGGTTCACTTTCGCAGAAAACTTACCAAGAGCATGACACTAGACAGGCCGCCGACGGCGCAGATGTTCTTAATCACGAGGATAACGCCCAATTCCGCGTACAGCCAGGTGGAACCACTGCCAACGCCAAATAGTGGCTCATCGTCCAGGTAGGGAATCCACGGCATCAGGGCCATGCTAATCGCCAGTCCCAGTAAGGCAATGCGGTAGGTGCCTAAGTTTCCCAGCCGCGTCTTTAAGTGCTGAAAAAGGAAGGCCTGGAAAACAATGGTGGCCACTCCGGCCAGACTGAGACTGATGCCAATCTTGCTTGGTGGAAGACCTCGGCCTGTTGGAGGGTTGGCGTCGGCGAAGATTGGGTACAAGCTGTTATAGGAGATATTGGATAGCTGAAAGACTAGGTATGTCAACAGTACAAGGACGGTATTGCGATTCAAAAGTTGACGCCATGTCAACAGATCACCGGGGAGCTTGGTGTCGTCGTCAGCATGAGCATCGTCCTCGGACGCATGCTGAAGCAACCCTTGGTCCTCGCCTGCTTCATCCTCATCGTCTTCTTCGTCGTCATCAGTGCTGGCCACGGCTTGTGATCCGCGGCGAGGCCAGCGCGTGGCCCAGGAATTCCTGCGCGGTTCCGTTCCTCGCGAAACCCAGGACCAAGCTTTCCGCGCCCAGGCAGGAATCCAAGCTGCGTGGTCACGCTCCAGCGTCTCCAGCGTCTCCTCGAACCAGATTGCGACAATGATCACGCTGATGAACAACAGCCCTGCGCTCAGCAGGTTGGGCGCGAGGTATGGGTACCGTTTTCCCATGGTACCAACCAGCAACCCGCCCAGCGCCGGACCGGTAATGCCGCCCAAGGAGTAAATGACGGGAAGCCATGTGAAGGCCCGGCTTTGGTTCGAACGGTCCGTCACTTCGCCCAGAACGGTGGGAACCACGGCAGCGTTGCCATTGAGCATACCCATTGCCACATGAACGACTACAATTTGCCAGTAGGTCCTGCAGAACCCGAAGCCGACGAAACAGCCTGCCAGCATGAAGGTGCCCAGTACCATGGTTGGTTTTCTACCCACGACGTCTGATAGGTAACCCCACAACAAATTCGTCGACAGCTGAGCCAGCGCGAACGCTGAGGCAAGAATGCCAACGTATAGCCCCGTCTGAGAATCTGGTATGTCGGAGAAGGACTCGACCATCTGAGGCAGGTAAGGACCGATGGAGTTCAGTGCCGTCTGCTCGCTCAGGGACAGAAAGGCAAGCAGAGCAAGCTGCTTGACCGGCAGAGGAGTCTGCCGGTGTTCGTCGTCTGCAGCGTCGGAGTCGTCATCGGAATGTGGGAATAGGTCTGCCGAGGACTGCTCGCGGGGTGTCTTGGGAGGTGGTGTCGGAAAGGTGTGATATCGATGAGTAGACTGGCGTCGCATCGTGGTTCTCCGGCTGGACTCGATATTTCCCAAAGTGGGAATGGGAGCGCCTGCGTGAAAGGAACCGGACGAGGCTGTCCGGGACACCGCCGCAGCGCGAACAATGTTGTTACTATTGTTGGTGCGAGGCATGTCGAGCGCTGCAGCAATTGGAGGCAGGGCTTGGTACAGAGGTCGACTAGATGCAGGTACACAGGTTTTTGCAGCACTAGCGGTGACGTCGTCGAGAAGGCCGTCGATATGGGTCACGGTTCACGGTTCACGGTTCACGGGGGTCGGTGGTAAGTCGTCGGAGATGGGTTCGGTGGTGAGCTACTCGTTCGGGTGTAGCTGCTGGGCCCGGGCTACCCCGCTGCCAGGGTCTCACGGAGATGGAATGCAGAATCGCAGCCTCCAGCGCATGGTCTCGAGTGGCTGAAGATGCGAGGAGGCGAATGGGTTCGGAGGGAGAATGGGACAATTGACGGTGAGGGCACACCGGGGGAGGGTGAAGATGTGCGTCTCTCGTTGTCCTGGATCGGGAGGGAGGAGTCGAACGTCGCAAAGCGGGAGAGGGGGTGGTGTTGCGACGCAGCGATTTAATTAAGGTAGGCAGGCGGTGGTTGAAGAAACCAAAGGGGCTGCTTGGTGCTGCAGGTCGGCGGGAGGATATCGGTGGGATTTACCTTAGCTCTCGGCTGGATGCGACGTGAGAGCTGCCCAGAAGAGCAAGCGAGACGGTTGAGGTCCAATGGGAATAAAGCACAGACATGGGTGACCTCATTTTTCAGTCCTTTTTTTTCCCCCCTTCCTTCGGCCCTTCGACTCCTGCCCTTTTCTCTTCTGTCGCCGCTTGGTGGTCGCGGCTGCCTGTGGCTCGTGCACTGGCTAAAATGAGGGTGGCAGGCGGGAAGTCAACAAGACGTGCACAGAAGGGGCCAGTTAAGCTTCCCGCCCCGTCAGCCACTTCTGTCCCTAACGGCCAATCAACAAACCAGAAGTTCTGGGGCAGTTAGTGGGGGCCAGTTGACGGGCACGAGGCAATGGTAAGTCTGTGTGCTCTACTTTCTTCTTTGATCACGCGCAGATGATGACGCCCACCCACCAAATCACCACTCTGTCATTGGCCGAACCCATCTGATCTCTGATCTGGCGCTGATCGTCCCAGATTTTCCCTTGCCGCCCAAAATCCAAACGGCCACTAACCCTCTTGCTCTGTGCTGTCGCATTCTACTCGGCATCTCCAACCGTTCGTCTCTTCCACGGTATCCAATCATTTGACCAAACACACCGCCGGGACTGCGCACCACAGAAGAGCGGTGGTGTTTCTCAGAGACTGCCTCGTGATCGAGAATTGCTGGCACCAGGCCATATTTTCCCGGGACCGCATCTACCGTTGCAGCCAGACATCTGACTCTGGGTGGAAAAACCTCCGATGCTAGGCCCACGCAGGGTCCTGTCGCGTGCCCTCAAAGAATACCTTGGACCAACAAACAGACGGTCGACGAGCCTGCCCTTGATCCCGGAAACAAAAGAAGAGCTGCGCCCAGTACTTCGAGTCATGTGTGGCTGCTAAGACCTGGCGGGCGGTGCCAGCAAATATCCCCTTGATCTCGTGTCTTGAATCTGAACGAGGCCGTGACCGAGTATTGCGAATATCTCCTTGACCATAGTCAATAATAAAATGAGAGGTAGCTATAGCCTAGAGAACGGTAAGGTGAGTTGATGACAGGTCGCTTTTCGATAATTTCTCTTCAACATCGATAGACCCACCAACGACCATGCCGCGGTGAAGAATGATACAATGTACGGACGCGACTCAGCATTTCGGTGTCAGTGACCGAAGGACAGCTCTCAATGCCGAGTTCACGCGAAAACGTAGCGTCCTATCCCTGCCTGCATTGCCTTTGCGTCCCGTAATAACTGGGAGATCTTTCGGTCAGATACATCTCGGAGAGTTACAAGAAAGACAGACACCCGGAGTGCCCCCACAGCCCTAGGTTTGGATGCTGCGAAAGCCGCATGCCCGTCTACAACCAAAGGTGTTCATGTTCGGGCCGCATTGGACCGGGTCTCAGGGATATGGCATCTTTCCTGGAGCATGGCGTTGCCTCGCCGCTCACGGATCGCACAACATTGTCACGACCAAGAACAGCCATGGATTCAATTCCCACCGACCTGTCGAGCAGATTCAAGCCGTTACAGGACGATGCCATGGAGTTGGTATCACGCACCAAGCTGCTGAGTATTCTCAGCCCGGACATTCAAGGAACAGCGACCGCCAAGATATCTTCATCGTACTAGATCAATTACGAGCCCTCATCTTTGTTCAAGTCGTCCTTCCAGAAAAGAGACCAATCTAGGACAGACTGATTGACGAAATCTAAGTAATAAGATTGTTTGTCTTGTCTCTGCTTGTGTCCCTGTCCTGACAAGGCACCCCCGAGAACAGGGGAAATCGGCCCCAACGCCGAGGCTCGCAGCGAAATGCACCTTGACGTCTCGGTCAAAGTTGATCCGAACCTTCTATACCCTGGAGACAAGCACGCGTCTCGCAGGCAAGTGTTTACACGGGGGCCTAATTTGAGCTCGAAAATGCGAAGAAGTCGACCAGCATGGATTACTGAACCTTCAACTCCGAGAGCTCAAGTCACAGGTTCGTTGCAGTTCACAGGACAGCAACTTGGAGGCTGACGCTTGTTCACTCGGTTTCATTTTTTGTGTTTTTTTTTTTCCATTCCTCATTGTTTCATGTGGTTTTATACGAAGACACGCAGGAACTCTACCAACGCCATCATGGCCATGGCCTGGCCGTATGGCATGCTTGTCCGTGGGATGTCCTTGTAATGCTGCAAGTCATGGCCCATACCTGTGCCGAACGACGTGTTGAGCAACTCGCCCTCGGGGCTGATGTTTTCCAAAATCGCGTTAACCGCCTTCACGGCGACGGCCTCGTACTCCTTGCCAATGTACTTCTTGCGCTGCGCCTTGAGGATGCCGTAAGCGAAACCGGCCGTGGCGCTCGCCTCGACGTAGGAGCCCTCCGACTCGGGGACATCCAGCAGCGTCCTCCACAGGCCGTTCTCGACCTGCAGAGGCACGAGAGCCGCGCACTGCGCCTCGAGGGTGTTGATGAGGTGTGACCGGAGGGCGTCGTCGCCTGTGAGATTGAGAAGCTCGATGAACTCGGGAATGACGATGGTAAGCCAGCTGTTGCCGCGGGCCCACCGCGCGCGCGCAAAGTTGTGGCCGCCCTCGTGGAAGGTCCAGCCGTGGAAGAAGAGACCCGTCGGTGCGTCGAAGAGGTACTGCAGGTGGAGGAGGAACTGGCGCTTGGCCTCCTCGACGTAGTGCGGGCGGTTGAGGACGAGGCCGATCTTGGCGAGGGGCAAGACGGTCATCATCAGGGTGTCGTCCCAGAGCTGCTGGTCGTTGACCTCGAGGTAGGTGATGTGCTGCATACCGCCGTACTTTGTGCGGGGGAGGTCGTGGTAGGCCCACTCGGCCCAGCTATCCAGCCAGGGGAGGTAGATCTCGTTCTTTGTCTTTTCGTAGACGTAGGCAAGGGTAAGGAAGACGGCCATGGTATTGATGTTCTTGCCCTTGTGGCCCTCCTCGAACCGGTCCCGGAACCAGTCCTCGATGATCTTGAGGTCGGCCGGGTCGCCGTTGAGCTCGTAGTACTTCCAGATGCCGTACAGGCCAATGCCGTGGGTCCACTCCCAGTCGCCCCAGCCCTTGGTGTCGATGACGCGGCCGTCCTCGAGCGTCATTAAGAACTCGCCCGTGCTGTCCTTGATGTTGACCATGTCGTGGATCAGCCGCTTCACTTGCCTGTGAATGTCGGCCCGCTTGACGCCATGGAGCTCGGTGATTCCGGCAGGCATTTTGGCGGTATTTCTTTTGTGAGTATTGTGTGAGGATGCTTGATTACGGAGTTACTTGGACCCTTTTGGCGTCTGTGTTCGGGATCAGTCTTACATGGTCCAATTGTGGCCGGAGCTGTGAGGCCGTGAACATTTCGCTTGTCACGGCATTGGATCGGGTTCGTGTCGGTCGATGACGCAAAAGCACTCCTCTAACGATGACAGGAGTTGAGACTAACCTTTTCTTAAAAAATTCGTGCGGCACGGATAGCATGTGACTGTCGCGACAGCTTTGGGGGGTAATCTATGTATCTACAGGCACGGCACCAAAGACGCGAAGGCACGTGAGACAAAAGTTTATCGAACGACGAAAATGTCAGGTTTCGGGGGAAAGGGGCACGCTCCGGGACACGAGATTTGGGTGCAGAATCCTTTATGAAGGGGAGGGCTCCGATGAAATATGCTTGGTGGGAAAAACGAGGGGTCCCGGGCGGGAGGATGGAGGGGGAGAGGGGCTCGGAGTGATGGTGGCCGAGAACCAAGGCCCCAAGATGCTCTCCCAAGATGCGCTTTCCAGGAGACGGTTTGGTTCAGCACGATGGAGGGACTTTAGGACTCTCCACATTCTGGGTGAACGCGGCCAACGGTGAAGCGTGAGAGGAACGCGGTCTATTACCAAGGGTCGTGAATTTGCAACAGGAAAACGGTCATGCAGTCCGGAGCAGCGAGCGAGGAGCGTTTCTCTGTGTTGATGCAAAGGACACGTCCAGAAAGGACGTCCGTGGTTGGTCGGCAGGGCCCGACATTGCCCCATCTTAAGTGGCACGTCACCGGGGTGCTCCGCTCGCTGCTCGGGCCCTCCTCCCCCGCGCCCCGGGCTACTTACCCCGCGCCGGTGGGGGCTTTTCCCCGATTTTCTTTTCCATCCCCCGTCCCTTTTCCCTGGTCTCTTTTCCTGCATGTTCTTCGCTGCTTGGCTTCTGACTGGTCTGTCCTCGTTTTGCAGTCGTGTCTTTGGGTTATTAACTGGATCATCCCTGTTTACCTCCCCCAGATCCTGCGCCTGTTACGAGGTTTAGTGTAGTGTAGACGCCGAACCCGCCGCCGGCACCCCGGCCTTTTTCTGTTTAGCTGTCCGGGGATTGTGTTTTGGGGAAGTCATCTCCGCACCTCTCCCGCAAACCTTTCCGCACTGGATCTTTTGGGGGTGGGGGATTTGGGCGAGAAAAGCTGGAGAGAGGGACGGGGAACCGGAACCACTCCAGAGGGGAGATTTGAGGGGATGCAGCAGGCATCACCTTCTGCCCCAGGCGTCCAGGCCTAAACTTCATTTTGCGGAGCCCTCAGCCTAGAGGGAGAATAAGGTTACCCCATGCTCTTCCAGGCACGCTTCACCGCACAATACAGAGTAAGATTGAGCGAGATGAACGAGATTACTCACGAGATCAACGGGGCAAAGTCAGATTGGGGAATTGAAGGGATGAAAACGTATCTTCATAGAGGAACCAAATTCCGTCTCCTGCTTCCTGTGCAGACAAGCGCTCTCATCGGAGGACACAAGACACTAAGCAACCTATGCATACACAGTACATGTGCGACCGCACCCATGTCCCGAGTCACTCCCAGCCTCTTTCTTGGGACTGGCCCCAGGTCAAAGTACTCTGTACCATGACCGATTCACCTTGATAACATCATTCACCATGATCTCGCATAGAGCTTAGCCAAAGCGGACTACGCAAGATGACGAAAACGAAAATCTCCACGCCGTCAGAGAGGCCAGAAAGACCAGTTGAGCCCCAGCGTCCACACATGTTACTGAGGGCCCCTGTCAAGCCTTTCCTTGGATGGTAAGCCAAGTCCGGCCAGTCGAATCGGTAGGGTTCGCGCCGACGACATGCTGCTTCAAGGTACGACGGCCATTTTCCTCCCATCGACCAATCCCATCCTTGCATGCCCGCCGCGAACCCAAAGCAGCTGCTTCGTGTCTTCCACATGCCCAACACTACACTGACACACTGGCACACGCCCCCCCTTCCGCTGAGAGACCTCGTGGTCTGAGCCTCTCTTTTTTGCCAGTCGCTGCTAAACATTTCATCTGCCCAGAAATGCGGCGACAAATCCAAGAAACCAAGGAATGAGGCGGCCGGGAGAGCGTCCAAGTGACATGCCAAGTCGCTCAATGCCGTCACAATGGCTGTCCTTTCTCAATCAGCGATACCTCTCTGTCTTTCTTAAAGATTGTTTCCGACATTGGGAATGCGGTTTCCAAACCGCTTAACGCTTGATTAGTGACACTGATCGGCCTACCTGGACCCCTCGAGAAAATACAGACTCATGTGAGACATTGCAATAAGAAATCACTGACTAATTTGAACTAGTCTCGCGCCTTACCCCCGTTGCCGAAAACCACCAATCACTTTGTCCAACCCAAAAGACTGGGTATAGGCGCACACCATCGCGCCGGGTCGTCTTTACCAGCCGTGCCAACCATAAAAGTTCAAGAAAAGACCCTCGCAGTCGGAGCCATGCGCCCACACCCCATTATTCCCACCTATCTCATGCGTATTTGTTGTCAGTTTCCCCCCAAATCATCATTTATCACGCTTGTGGGCATGTGCGTTGCCCCATGGGTCCCCCAGTCGCCGCAACGTTATCCCCCCATTCCCAACCCCGACTCGTGCTGCTCTAGCCATGAACCTGCCAACTTTCTTTTCATTCTCATCCAATCTTAACCCAAGTCGCTGTCCCAGACTTTCCCCAGATATTGGGGACAAACTCCTCAGAAAGGCAGAGTTAAGAGGGGACGAGAGTTGGCGAACGGGGAGGGGTAGCTGACCAGGCCTTGTCAACAACGCACCTTGCCTGCCGCCACTTCGGTCGAATGATGTCCCAAATTGCACCCTCTCGTTATGGCATCCCTCGCCTATCCATCGTTCGGTCCCAACTGTGATCAGGGTCGTCGAACCATACAGGACCCGGCAAGCCGTCTCCATATCCCCCAGGATGCTAGGTCCCGTGGGGGTGACTCTGGCCTTAGTCTCGTCGTCCCTTTTCGCGGGGGACCGAGATGTGGACCGGGGGAATGGGAGATCTGCCTGCTCCGAACAAGAAATCTTGGGGTAAAAATGAGGAGAGAATGAGGGTGAGATTCCGGGGTTTGGCAGTCAGATTGATACCACGTCCGGAAGGGGAAAAGGAAGGAATCCCAAGCACCGGCTGGCTTTTCCTAACACCTTACCACCACCCAGTACTACCCTTTCGTTGCTCCGCTTGGCATAAGCTCATATATAGAACGAGGTAGCATTCTCAATTTTCCATCTCTCTCTTCCCTCTCCCGTAGGTTGCCCAAGCTTCTTCCTTCTTTTGCAGAGGTTAGACAGACTCCGGACCCCGAAGCCCTATCAAGTCAAATTCTGAGACCTTTACTGCGTCCCTCTCGACCCCCACGAGTCCTCACCACCAACCCCAATAAGTTTACAAAAGAGACTGTATTCTCGCTTCGTCTATTCAGAAAAAATGGCCTCTACTGAAGTCGCCGATCCGGAACTCGTCCGCCCTATGAGCGGTAACCTGGGCAAGAAGTCCTTCCAGGAGGTCGAGCGCACCATCACCAACGAGAAGGCCGACCACCAGCGCCTCGAAAACGTCGACAATGAGCTGTCCAAGTACGTTGGCGATGGCTCCATCGCCGTGTCCAGGGAGCGCAGCGACCAATTGCGCAAATTGATTGACAGGCGCGTCTTGGTCATCATGATTGGCACCTACTTCCTCCAAGCCATCGATAAGGGCACCATGTCCTTCGCCTCCATCATGGGTCTCCAGGAGGACACCAAGCTCCAGGGTCAAGAGTTCTCCTGGCTCACCACCTGTATCTACATCGCCATCTTGGTCGTCGAATATCCTCAGAACTATATCATCGCCCGTGTTCCCATCGCAAAGTACCTCAGCTTCTCTATCATCGCGTGGGGTTCCGTTCTCGCCTGCCATGCCGCCTGCACCGACTTTAAGGGTCTCGTCGTCGTCCGCACTCTCCTCGGTATCTTCGAGTCCGCTTGCCAGCCCGCCTTTGTCATCCTCTCCTCCATGTGGTACCGCCGCGATGAGCAGGCTTCCCGTGTCACCTACTGGTACATGATGAACGGTGCCCAGCAGGTCGTCGGTGGTCTCCTCGCCTACTGCTTCACCCACATCAAGACCGGTCCTCTCAAGTCCTGGCAGTGGCTGTTCCTGGCCTACGGCGTCATCTCCGTCCTCTTCGGTGTCTTTGTCCTCTTTTGGATGCCCGACTCGCCCATGCGTGCCAAGTGCTACTCCGAGGAGGTCAAGAGGGAGATGGTTGAGCGTGTCCGTGACAACCAGACCGGTATCCAGAACAAGACCTTCAAGCGCGAGCAGGCGATCGAGGCCCTGAAGGATCCCCAGGTCTGGGGCTACTCTCTCATTGCGCTCTGCACCACTCTGCCCACCTCTGGTCTCGGAGCCTTTGCCAACATCATCATCAAGAGCTTCGGATTTAACACTCTTCAAGTCCAGCTCTTGGCCATGGTTCTCGGTTTCTACATCATCTTTGTCCTTCTCGGCTCCGTCTGGCTCGTCAAGAAGTTTAACCAGAATCTTTACGTCATGCTTGGCTTCTGTGTTCCGTAAGTTCAAACAGGTTCTTCCCTAGATCTGCATTCCATCGCTAACATCATCTCTAGCTCCGTCATCGGCACCGTCCTCCTCATGACCGTCCCTAACAACACCTTCTCCCAGCGCGTCGGCCTTCTCATCTGCTACTACATCACCCTCTCCTTCTGGTCAGCCCAGACTCTCGCGCTGTCCCTCATCTCCCGAAACGTCGCCGGCCAGACCAAGAAGCAGTTCGCCGTCGCCATCAACTTCATCGTCTGGGCCGCCGGGAACGCCATCGGCCCCCAGGTTTTCCTCAAGTGGGACGGGCCGCGCTACTTCATCGCTTTCGCCACCCACCTGGGCTGCTACGCGCTGCTCATCATCGTCATCATCTGCCTGCGCATATACCTTTCCCGTGAAAACAGGAAGAGGGATCAGATGGTTGCTGCTGGTATCGCCGAGGCCTCGCCCGACTACACTGCCCACGCTTTTGAGGACCAGACCGATAAGGAGAATCTGTCCTTCCGTTATGTGTTCTAAGCAACGGAGCCAAGCGGTTCTTTAATGTAATAGTCAATAATGAATATTTGGCGGCGTCAATATACCCAATATGTTATGCATCATGCAAATTTCTGAATCTGCCTTGTATTTATGACGACAATTGTCAACCTTTCTTCACAGTAATGTAAGAAGACTTCCTTTATACGATTCATTAATTGGAAGTCATCTCATCAATAGTAACCTTTAATGTGTAACTGCAAACAGACTCACTAATATCTAACCCTTATCAGCCTCCAATGACCTATCTGTCAACAAAGCGGATGGAGGGGTTCAACAACAGACATCAACGTCAATTTAAGCTCTTTTAGCCTGAAAACCCGCCAAGTAAGTCGCTAGTCAGTTCCAAGAGATTCAACAAGAGATCTTGAGCAATCTTATTGTCTTGGGTGACTTGCATCTTTGCTTGGCATTTGGAGATGAGTACGGTTCCCCTCACCCCGTGCCGCTTCTCAGGCCCCTTCACTGCACTGCAGTCCCCCCTCACGGGAAAAATCCGCTTGCCCTCCTCGTTACCTACTTACTTCATTACTTCTGGGGGGTCTTGGCAACTTTCATACACGAAACCTGGCTGGTTTCCTCCAAGATGCGCAGGCCTCGAGCCTCGAGGGTCGAGGGTTCCAGCCAAGCCTTAATTTGGCCGTTGTACTAATAGGCCGTGGCTAGGTGGAGGATGACGTCTTCTTACATTGCTCTCGTGACGGAGGACTTCGAGGGAGGTGAGGTCGCCTCGTACAGGCCCGGCATTGAGGCCAAGCAGTGTTGCACCGGGGTCCTCGCTTCGGAAGAGACCGTGGACCTTGTTACCATTTTTGATTGCGAATTCTGTTATGACTGAACCAATATATGATATAAGCGCTGGCCCCGGTAAGGAAAATGCTCTTCTTGGGAATTCGCGAAGTCATTGAAGCCTGAAGGGGTTCCCGAGAAAAGTTGTTTGAAAGAAGCGTATGCTACATGTTGGACTAAGAATGATCGTTTCACTGCATCGAATGTATTCAAGAAATAACATATTGGACAATAGTCTTCAAGTACATATCATTATCGACCCACCGCGAGTTGTTGGGTTGCTTCCATTCGTATCTCCTGCCCAGCATCGTTCCATGATACGCTCTGGTGAAAAAGCAAGACACGATATTAAGAACGACCAACCACAATCTCCATTCAGTCTCTATTGGTTGCGTAATCCGGTAACCAATAGACCCTGCAAAGTAGTCTTCAGCGCCGATCCTAGGGCGGCGAGATCACACACAGAGATTGCTTATGAACGGCATCTGGTACATGGAAAATGAGGTGATTATCGCCAAATTTGAAGCTCCGGAAGTTTCAACTTATCCGCCATTGCTTCAATACTTAGTTTAATCAGCACCATTTCTTTCTTGGCCTGCTTCGTCGGGCTTAAGCATGACTTAATCCCCTCTTCTTACAAGGATTGCAGTTTTGGCACTAGAGTACTTCAAACCAAGCCACATATTTTGAACCATGCCGATATCTTTTCCTCTACACATCAGAGCGTCAACAGGAAGTTGAGTGAGTCCATGGCCGAAGTTGGGTGATCAATGAGGCGAAGCGTTGTGAATTTGGCATGAAGTGAGACGCAGAGGTTGAATTAGAAGGCAGTCTAAGATGAATAGTACGCAGGTTAAAACGACCCCACTCAACCGCCATTCTCGGACAACGGATAGGGTTTGCAGCCTCCTCAGTTTCGTTCTCAACTACTTGAGATGCAGGGTGAACTGGGCATGATGTACTGATCACCATGATGGTGCAATGTTTCGCCAAGGAGAGGATGTGATCAATCAAATTGCAGTGTTATGACATTGCGAAAACTTTTATTAGAAACCAGAGAAACGGCCAGCTCAAGGAACAGAAATCCATCAAAAGCGCCACCTGTCGCCCGAATTAGATCTTGCCCGTCACACCAGGCTTGATCGCCTCCAATTTTTGCACCAACTCGTTCCAGGCGCGATCCTGCGCCTCCTTGCCCTCCTTACTCCTCACAAACGGCGACGGCTCCTGGATGCCGCAGTCAGACATGTACTTGCCGTGAGTATCGGCACCCGAGGATCCCGCATGGACCAACGTTCTGCTGCCATACTCGGTCGAGCGCGCCAAGAGCAGCTTCAAAATCCACAGTTTCCAACCGGAGTCGCGTGCCAGTTCCGAGTGGCAGAGGCCCGGGTTGACGCAGTTAACGGTGACGGGATATTCCGAAGCCGGGTGTATCTCGGCGATGGTCCTGACGCCAAGGACCTCGAGCAGCTTCGAGAGCGAGTACAGGTTGGTCACGGCCTCGTCTGAAGCCTTTGCCTTTTCGCTAATGGTGTTGTAGATCTCGCCGTCGGGGGCGCTGCGCTCATCAAAGTTGTTCCAGGCGTGCACCTCGGAGGCAGTGATTGTAAATGTCGGCCTCGTGCTGAACTTGGAAGCAGTCTCCTTGAGCTTGGGCAGAACGAGGGCAGTGAGCAAGAAGGTGGAGATGACATTGACTGTGATCGTGCCCTCCTCGCCTTCCATTTGTTTGAACTTGGTGTGCGCCACCCCGGCGTTGGCGATGAAGATGTCGACGCGCTCCAGGTCGGACTTGACCCGCTCCGCAAACTTTTGCACGTTGGCGTAGCTGGACATGTCGAGCTGCCAGACGTCAATAACGTTCTTGCCACAACCCGTGGTCGCCTCGATGTCTTGCTTGGCGGCACGGCCCTTGTCCAGACTTCGGACGGCGATGATTAGTTTGCTGGCCCCGAGACGGGCGTAGTGCCGGGCGGCTTCCTTGCCGAGGCCCACATTGCTGCCGGTGACGATGACGGTCTTGCCCGCATATGAGCCGGTGGGGTACGGCAGGGACTTGAAAAGCTGGCTATAGAGGAAGCTCATTGTGTGGAATATGAGTTTGTGGAATGGATCGAGATGTAAGTGAAGCTGTTGGATTCAGTCGTGATGAGGAGCGGGGTTTCCTAACGGCATGTCGGTCAAAATCGCGTTTGGACGAAACCATTATATACTATCGCCGCTTGCGACGTCGTCCAAAGTCTAAGACGGAGTTAGCAAGGGGGCAGCAGGGGGCAGCGGAGACCGCGCGGACGAGTTCTCGCTCGCCGGGAAGGTGGCTTGATTGCTAAGTCGAGACACACTCACACAGAATGGGCCTGCTGGCCGGGCGCGAGCAGCCTTAACTCCATGCCACGTCTCGGAATGGGGAAAAACGCTTGTGCCTGGCCTTTTTCAAGGTAGCTGATCCACCCGCCCATTCCATTCGCCAATCTCATGAGCCTTTGAATGATAATTTTATTTTCGTCGCAGGGTAATTCCAGAACTGTATTTCATCTACATGAGCGTCTCGGCTTCGGCTTGGGTATGTACCGCTGGCCGAAGCTTATAAAGTTTGATTCAATGGCTGATACCCAGCGTCATCGGGGTTAATCCAATGCCTTATTAGGAGTCACAAAGAGCCCTGCCAGACTTGCCGCAAGACTTTATGAATGCTTACCGGCCTGGATGCCACAAAGAGGCGCGCATTCCCCATGATCTCATGAATGGCCATAATCGACAAGGAAGCCTGTTGGTGTGACAAGTCACATCCGTCTCGCCTTGGCTGGGGCTCGGCAAAACGGCTTACTCAACTTTTTCACTTAAAAACAACGACAATCGTCTCCTAGGGAAGATGTAAGCATGCCTTACTTCAAGTCGCTTGTCTGTCTGCATGGCGTCTTGTTGCTCAAGAGGACAGTCAACAGCAATCGCTATTTGCAACACCAAACATCGAGTAGCTTGGTGATTTGGAAATGCCAGACGAACCAAACACTCTCAAGCTTACAGCGGTTATGCGACACCGCGACCGTGAAAATGGGCAGAGCAAGCTGGATCCCCGTAAACCAAACATAAAACATTGGCAAACAACCACCATAACATGACCGTCGCGTGTATGTCTTGGGGCTGACCTCATCAGCCTGCCAATAGTTATAGTCTTTTGAAGTCATCATTCTCTCAGGCGACCGCATACTTTTAAAAGCTCTTTAATGAGATGGTTTGTCGCCTAATGGCCGCCCCCAGGGCTTGGGCAAACACGCGTTGGCCGGGGTGAGCTTGTTCGTGGCCGGCTCGGCCATTTCTGCCACTGCCCCGGGTTTAAGCATCAAGCCCTGGAGTTTGCGGAGCTGAGCGCTAAAGGCGCCAAGGACCGCTCCACCGTCTGAAGCAAGGCGCTAGACGGCGCAACGTTCCAGTAGAAGGAACGGAAAAGAAAAAAGTCCGTCAATTGCCCGCTGCAGTGTTCGGCCTGTCTGCGGTGCAAAGGTGGCTGAATTTCCGTTGATGCACCGGTTATTGAGCCTACCATCCACCATCGTCTTACATGCTTTCTGAGTTCCCAATGGACATAGACGGTCTTAACAGTGTTTGATCATTCCACGACAACGATTGTTCAATGGAAAATTGGTGATTCTTGAAGTGAAAGGCTTCATAGTGCGGATTTTACGGTTATCCCCTCAATATCCTTGGGCCATTCTGACAAATTCAAGTCGGCGTTCAAGGTAAGTATGTAAGCTGGGCATTCAAGGCCCATGAAGGATTCAAAATGTTGCTATATAACAATGCGCTTAAGTCGAACATCGTGAATAAATTCCTCATCAATTTGCACCCAAGATAAAATCTCCAGTGTTGGCATCACCCTCAACAACAATTGTAGCGCAGCACCCAGCTTCCTCCAAAGTAACCATTAGTCACGATGTCTGCACCACCTGTTCCTGCCTCTCTTCAAAAGAGCCTCGACGCCACCAAGGTTGAATACGTAAACCTGGGAGCCTCTGGTCTCAGGGTGTCCGTTCCAATCCTGGGCGGCATGTCTCTCGGGTCAAGCGAATGGGCGCCGTGGGTACTGGACGAGGAAGCATCGCTCGAGATCCTCAAGGCCGCCTACGACCGCGGCATCAACACATGGGATACCGCAAACATGTACTCCAACGGTGTCAGCGAGGAGGTCATCGGCAAGGCCATCAAAAAGTTCGAAATCCCCCGCGAAAAGCTCGTTCTCATGACCAAGTGTTTTATACACGTGGGCGAGGAGACCAGTTTCCACGCCACCATGTTTCCTCAGCAAGTTCGCCAGAGCAAAGACTACATCAACCAAGGCGGTCTCTCCCGGAAGACCATTTTCAAAGCTGTCGACGACGCCCTAGCCCGACTGGGGACGACCTACATTGATCTTTTCCAAATCCACCGCTTCGACCCGACGACACCCATCGAGGAGACCATGAAGGCACTCCACGACCTTGTGCAATCCGGAAAGATCCACTACATTGGCGCTAGCTCCATGTGGGCAACCCAGTTCGCGCGGATGCAGTTCGTCGCTGAGAAGAATGGCTGGACTAAGTTCGTCAGCATGCAGAACTTTTACAACCTCGTCTACCGTGAGGAAGAGCGGGAGATGAACCGATTCTGCAAGGACACGGGCGTCGGCCTTATTCCCTGGTCACCTCTTTATGGCGGAAAGCTGGCGCGGTCTGTCAAGGCCGAAAACACCAGCATTCGATCTCAGGGCAAGGGTCCAATGAACCCTGATCTCACCGAGTCAGACGAAAACATCATTTGCAGAGTCGAAGAGTTGGCGGAGAAGAAGGGATGGAGCATGAGCCATGTCGCGCTGGCGTGGATTAGGTACAAGGGCGGAGTTGCCATCACCGGCTTCAACTCTGTCAAGAGAATCGATGAAGCGTGCGAGCTGCGTGGTAAGACTCTAACGGATGACGAAGTCAAGTACCTGGAGGAGCCTTATGTTGCCAAGAATATTATTGGCCACAATTAGACATAGAACTTTCTGGCAATGCCTTGGTAGTTTGCTGGTAGCATTCGACCCTCCGATTCGCTTTATCACCGAAGAGGCATCATAGATCTAGCGAAGGTGCGGAACAAAGTTGCGGGGAAAATATCTCAGAGTCCTCAGAGGATTGTTGTCTTTCTATTTCTTGTAATAGCTCATTGATATGATTTGATCGTGCCGAATCATTTTCGTTGACTCAAGTTCCTAGGGGGCGCTCCATCGCTTCATCATGATCCTGAGGCTCCAGACCGGGCTGTTGGTGGGATTAAGCATCATGATTGAAGAGCAATGTAAGGCTAGAACCAGGCTAGGAATTTTGATGAATGAGAAGTACTATTGAATGACTGTTAAGCTATTTGACGGCCAGGGCTCATTTGGACACATCATATGGCAATGCGACTTCTAGGTAGGTAGTCAACATTACAGGCCTACATCACCATCTCAACGTTGTAGATACTGACACTAATGAAATATTTTTGAACCCAAAAGACCTCCCCCGGACAAATACGTAAGGCGATTCACTGATAAGTGCTTCTACCTAGGTTCTCCATACTGAAGCGTTTGCCATCAAACACCGTCAGGTGCATACTCTCTGAAAGCCCTTGCCACCGGGCCAAATGCCGCAGCCTCAAGCACCATCTCGCACGTCTTCCACCCAGGGCGCCCACGTTAATCTCTTTCCCCGCAGCGTTGATCCAAACCCTTCTCGCTCTCCCGTCCTCAGCACTTCCTCCAAGTGCAGTAAGAAGACCACTCATCTGCTCAACCGTAGCTGCGACTCCGGCTGCACCAAGCACGAAGTCAGGATTCTCCTTCCTCGCATCCGTAAGTCTTGTAGCGCCAGCCTGGGCAGCTTGTTTCCAAGTGACGAATGTGTCGGGCAACCTGGCCACGGAAGAGTATCAAATGGTCCTGTTGAAACGCAAATTATCAACTAGCGCGAGATCGCCGCGAATCAGGCTTCCGTCGTGGTCCAGTGGCCTTCTGCGCCAGGTCGTCGAGATGAAAATGCATGATGGATGGGCACACATCTGCGCCATCGCCGAGAAAGGGTTGTTGCAAGGGTTTCCGATCCGTCTACATGCAATCTTATGATGAGTCTTTAGAGATTTTCCTTGGGCAGTATGAAAAGAGAAGCGAACATTAAATACCACCAGAGGCCTAAATGTCGCCTCTATCGTCGAACAACAAAGGCATCCATTCGGGTGCCATTGTTTTCGCAACATCGCGGGGATACCGCACTCCATCATCATCGACGTACACCACCCGTTCCCCAAGTCCCAGGTCTATGAGGTGGTCTTGGATCTTCTTCTTGGTCAACACACTCCTTCCAACAACATCTTCAATCATCTTCCCAAAGCCTTCGAGTTTTGAACTGCCTCCTACCCTGTTACTCATCGATCTTAATGGGTCTGAGAGCAAGCGTTTGATACTATGCTTGCAAAAGTATTCCGAATCTTCCGGACTAATATCCACATAGACATCGGGTTGATCCCTATCACTGCCATGCTTTTCAAAGCAAATAGCGCGAGCCTCGTGCTCACAATGAGCTCTGCAAGTGCCGCCCAAAAGCTTCAAAAGGTTCTCGGATTCCGGGGCCAAGCTGATACCTAGCGCGTCATAGATTGCGACTGTTGATGCGATTAGAACGCATGCCGGGAGGGCAATGTAGATGGTCCCAAAATATCTAGGTCTGCCAAAGAAACCATTTTCAGAAAAGTAATACCCATTGTAAGGGTCGAACGATACTAAAGTCAAGATACTCTGGTGGAAATTCGCATTATAATCTGCGAAGCATTCCAGAGTGTGGAGATACGAGAGCCACAATTCGCGACTTCTGAATTTCGACGCGATTTCTCCTTTGACGATCATAGAGAGTGGCGTCTCAAATATCCTGAGGAAACTCCTTCCAATCTGTTTTTGGTCTGGATCAGCCCCCTGCTTGAGGAGTCTAGAAATCAGTTGACCAATTTGGGGGTCAACACTGCGTGGCTCCGACGAGGGGAGCCCGATGTAGCTGCATGTCTCAAAAAGTAGCCCATACAGTATTTCGGGTCGATGATCAATGCCTTCCACAGCAGACAGAGCATATCCCGCTAAGCCATGTCTTGCGGCTATTGCGTGAAATCTTTCGCGCGAAACGTGGCCGAAAATGTTGGTTGGTTGGTCATGGAAAGACATAAGGCGGCCTGAAATACATAGCCGCTCGCAAGTCTTTATAAGCAGTGTCCAGGCTTTTCTCTGATAATCCGACTGCCCCGAGCTGTCTGATATTAAGTCTCCGATGGACGAGAGGTAATTATCAAGGTTGTTTCGGCATTGTGCTCGATGGCGGGACTTGCCGGTTTCTTTGATCAATGCCAACTGACAGGTTGCGATTGAAGCATAGAGGATTTGACGCTGGAGCTCTAATTTCGAAAGCCTGCAATGACTCATGATCTCTTTTCCGTCAGGCGTATCTACCAGGAAGTCATATGCACTGCGGTGTATAAAATGGAATCTTTGCTCTTTTGTTATGTGAGGCATCAATGAATCGTATTGCTCGCCATCCCACGGAGTTGCCTCAAATGAAACCAATCGCGGAAAAGGCCTTGCGGTTGAACCTGAATCGCCTGATTTCGATAGTTCTAGCAGTCCAGCACACCGAATGAGGACCTCGCTTTGAGCCTTGCGACAAGCCGTGAGTAGGATATCGGGCTTCACCATTTGACCATGTTGGTCGAGAACATGGTCTGCCATCGAATTCGCTAGCAGCATCATATCAAACACATTGAGGCCGCTTTCGAAGGGAAGCCCGTCATTTGACTTGACTAATCCCTCTTTGGCAATGACTAGGCCGAAATAAAGGGCAGCTCTCTGACGATAGAGTGGCTGGTCGTCGTTCAACCTTTTCCACATGTCTTTGTACAGATCGCTTAGACTGGCAGGCAAGCTCTGTATTCTTTGCTCCATATCATCTGAGTTGTTATCGTGCTCTAATCCCCGATTTAGACTTTGGATTGCCAAGCAGAGCCAAAGGAACACGCCTTCAGCCTTGTTGACAATTATGTCTATCGGGTCGCTTGTCTGTCCCCATTGATCCCGTATCTTGAATCCAGGCGGGAACTTGTTGTGGCTCTCGGCGTATGTTCGTAGATCCATGTTCGTGAGGTCTTGCAAACGGATGGAAGGATAGGAGCCATGGCCAAAGTACTTCTCGATGAGATACTCGGGTCGACTTGAAACGCAGATTTTGACGTTTGGGATGGCGCTCAAAGCATATATGTCCTCTATCAGCCGCACTACACCATCTTCAGGGCTCACTTCATCTAGACCATCCAGAAATAAGCAGATGGGTCGGTTGCACCGCTTGATTGTGTCGAAGCAGAGCTCTCGAAGTTCCCTGGTCGACCAGTCTGTGTCCGAGTCTCTTTGCCCAGCAGATGAGCAGTCGGAAATAGAACGGTCAAGAGCAGACAAGTCTCCGGCCAGGAGCTGATGCAGCAGCGAGCAAAACATTCCTCTGATACTCTGTTGCATGAGACTTCCCGGGCGCCAGAAGAAATGTGAGACCAGAAGCGCGCTAGGACTCCACACTTCAAGTGCGCTTCTAGTTCGCCGGTCGGATATGATGTATCTCATCAGCGTAGACTTTCCCGAGCCAGGTTTGCCGCTACACCAGAAGACTGGGCTGCCGGACTTTAGCCAGTCGATGAAAGAGTCCCAGCGAATGCCGGCGTCTTCGTCTGTAGTACTGCTCTGCTCGGCCGAGTCATCTGTCCAGTCAGATGCGCCATCTTGAGAATCTGTACTGGTTTCGTAGTCTTCGCTTTCTGTATCTGTTTGATCAGATTCGTCATCTGACTCTCCGAGAAATCCCATATCGTCTGCAAAAATCCACTGAAAGGTGCCTTTGCATGATTCGTTGACTTGGTTTCGGCGCTCGTTCATTCCTGGGAATTTGAAGCTTGCAAGAAAACGTTCACGCTTAGCTTCTCGGTCTCTATCGAGGCTCAGAGCTGCCATTGTAGTTGAGACTTTCTGGTTCGAGTCCCGGATGATTCGACCAAACTGCGCAGACTGTTGATCTACCATTGACTGAATCTTCGCTGTGGCCTTCTGTGACTCAACTGTAACGTGGTCGCGTGTCCTAAACATCTCCGTGGAGATCAGTTCAGATGCATCTCTGTGGCCTTGTTGATATTGCTGTAGGAAATGTTGCAGGTTGATATCGAGTGACTTCAGGTCAAGGTGCATGGCGTCGGTCTTATGGCTGCGAGAACGCAAGATTTGTTAGTTTGCAAGATGGCCCACGGGGGAATCAGGCTCAGCCAACTTACCAGATTCGGCCCAGAAGCCCACTCTGCATCAGCCTCTCGGCATCATTCAGTTTCCTCTCCATAGTATCAAGGCGCCGTTTTCGCCAGTTGGCCTTAGCGGCCACTTTGATAGTGGCGGCAAGGCTCCCCTTCTTCTTGTGACCGACAATGAAAGCAATCTCTTCTGTCAAGTCTCGCGCAACAGCCTGGCACTTTTTGGCAATTTCGAGCAACTGATGTTCTTGCTTGCTAGGGGTCTTTGGAACCTCCAGAGTCTGGACATGCGACGCAAGTTGTGCGAGGTCTTTTGCGTTCGCCTCGAGGGCATCGTCGACGGAGCCATCTCGGTACACGCGTTTGACCAGGCTGGCCGTCTCACGTCCGAAGCTGATGACTTGGAAGATGTTGCATGCCAAGCCCAGAGCCTCGAGACCCGACATGTTCGTGGTAATCAAGCCCGGTCTTCCCGGGCCAGTGTATGGGTCATGTTTCGATGGGTCTGGAATCTAGTAAGTCTGGCTGACCTTTCGGACAGTCGCAGGAGGCTTTGAGGACGATGGAGAAAGAGAGCGAGAGGGAGGGATAGAGATGGTTAGGCCGAGGGTGAGAGAAAGACAACTCGCAATTGGAAGTAAGAAGAGGGGTAGATACAGCCCTGTCGTAGCCTGCATGACCCAGCCACACTCCATGATGCAAGACACCAGATTCATCACAGCCTGACGTGAGGCAGCAAAGCATGAATCGAGGCCGAGGGTACTTTCATGATGTTTCTCAATTCCGCAGCCGATATCCGGCGAGAAATACCCGATGGAGTAATTCAAGGCCGACATGTTGTGTTGACTGCCACCCATCTGGCAGTCAAAGTCATTCGACTGCATATCGCTGGCCAATTATATGATCGATCTACCGGCTAAATTTGGTAAACCTCAATAAGGTAGGTAATCGTGTTACCGACAACAGGCACTTTGCGCACTTATATGGAAATTTCGACTTGCAAATGGAAAGTTGACTTCATGTCGACGAAGCTAATAATTAAATCTGTTAGACCATGTAATCAAAAATGGTCTGCCACGTAGACTGTTCAGCAACCTGCCTAGATTTCACTTATAACGGAGCTGGACACGGAGAGCTACAGCATAAGTTAGTTGCTATTGAATTTGCGACCCTTGTTTGTAGCCTCAGTACGTGCGGGACGGGTGCAGGAATTCCTAATGCCTGAGACGGGGTGGTGACGAAAGGTCCTGCAATTGATTCAAGATGTTGTGAGACAAGCAAGGTAGAAAGAGTCGACAACAACTAGGCCCAGTCACCGCACTGGTATTTGAGCTGGGTGTGGACTTGAATCCTCGGTCAACATATCTTGAAGTAAATGCCAGTAATGAGAAGGACGACTCAAGTTTCGCTCGAGGTGCCAACACCAGGTAAGGGGCCTTAAAAAAACCAAGTTGGATTGTACGGTAGTCGGACACCGGGGCAAAAGGTTGCGGCCGACTCTATCAACCACGGCTTGACAGTGGTTTCTGGCTCAACTGTAAAGTAAGTTCGAGCGTCAATCGGTCTAAGGTACTTGAAACGATCCATCGCACACATGTGCTGATACAAAGCGGTCACAACATCATATGAATAGCCAAGGCTTATGAAGAAATGCTTCCAATTATCTTTCACGCAACAGCGAGCTCAGGCAAAAGGCAAAGACTTGTGCGCCCACGTGTAACCATGGCCGAGATCATCCTTCCCTCCCGTCCTTCATTCGAGGAAACCAAGTCATTACAGATCCTTGTCATTAGGTCAATGGCCAAAGCCAAGTACGTTTTATTCTCATCGTCGTCGGCATTAACAGAGAACATGGCTGATGCCAAGGCACGGCAAACCCTTGCATTTTCGCCACTTTTAACCGACGACTACCGGCAGGGAGACGGACCAGGACCAGAGGTTAGGCAAGATAAAGTGGTTAGACCAAGTCCCAAAAACGCGATGCCGCTATCGAAAAGCTGCAGCTGAACCGATTCAGGAAAATCAAGATTGACATCGGCGTCGTCAAATCCTGCTGTGTTACCAAGAGCGCTAAAAGTAGCTTTCACTGAGTAAGGTGTCATGGCATCGAGACTGGGTGCATGTCGTTAGTTCAATTGGAGAATCCCTTGATCTTAGGATGTCTGCAACGTGTTCATTGAGAAATTGAATTGTTATGGACATTGATGAGGAATCGGTTTACAGAGAACCAAGAGCACTCCATAACAACCAGCCATCGAAGGCTATTGCAACCTCAAGAATGCAGGAAAGAACCTGGACAGGACACCAGCAGACACATACCCCGCAATCGAGAAACGACCACGGCAGAAGCATGTTGCTAGTCTGACGACCAGACAAAGAGCGGCTCTGCCGTGACAATCCCTCAGTTGGGATTTGCAAGCCGGCGCACACTCGTGTGTAACCTAATTCTTTGTGTATAATACTTCTGCGGGTGTGGCCATCTTGGCAGTGTGAGAAGGACAGAAACAAGAGACCAAACACTCCTGGGTTGAGCTTTGCCTGTCAATCGTCTGTGAAACCCAAAAGTTTGTCCGAATCGAGAACTAGCCTTTGATCTGTTAAAGACTCTCTGAGTTTATGGCTCTGGAGGCACGGTCGTTGGAGGGTAGTAGAAGAAGCGGGTGGCTGATCCTTCGACCTGTGCGCTTCTAGCCGGCAGGTGACAAGCCACGGGGAGCTTCGAGTGGCTTGATCCTTCGATAACTCAATTATTCCGAAAGGGACCAACTAGACTTGGCGCGTTGCGGCGCTTTGATGGCGGCTACCCCAGATCTGCATTGTCTCAATGATCGAATCAGTCATCACAACAAAGAGAAGCTCAACCTCGTGAACAGAGAGACGGTGAGTTGGAAGGTGAGTGGGATTGGGAGGAGGCGAATATGTGATACCGCGGCGGCACTCAGATGGGGGGTAACCTAGCGGTGCGGGAGGCGAACGGAGCCGGCCGCCGGTCGAGGTCAGTTCATGGGAAACATGTTGGTTAACAGCTTCCGTTAGTCGTCGGGCTGGTCATGGTGACAGGGCAGTGACGACTACAAGTTCCGAGGTTCGTTGGCGGCGGTGCCGGACAGGGGTCCAGCTCGGACCTGGCCACGGCTGCACCTGACTACCAGGCTAGAATCCGGTGGTTTGGATCCAATTACCTATCCATTGTTAGCCTTAGCAGCTAAGGGGACGAGCATGTGGAATATGGGAAGAGAAAAACGATCGTGCGCGATGCCAGAATCACCAGCCGACACCAAAGACGCGGGTCGGCCTCGCCACACAAGGGCCCTGCGACTCACGTGTCCCGAGGACTCGGGACGGGCTGGGGATGGTCTGGTTGCTGCAATGGACGTGCAGCGTACCGCAGCCTGTGCATTTCCATTGTTCATGGCGGTCCCGTGCGAGCAACACAGCGGACGAACATCAGGTCTGGGTCAAGACACCACGTGAGGAACATTATGGTTAGTCCAGACTCCACGGTCCACCGCTCAGGCTGTGTCAGCGAGTCTTCAGCAGAGATCTTGGGAGTGATTTTATCTTGGAAGTGTCCACCAGATGTAGCAGGGGTGTTTAATGATACGTTCTCCGCAGTGGAGAGAGAATTTGGACATTCGCTGCCAGCTGGAGAGGAAAAATCCTTCCGAGCGGAGACCGACACCGTGCCCGTGTCCGGAGACCCCGTGGAGTGACAGAGCCTGCGGTGCGGTGACAGTCTGTCGGTCTATTATTACCAGTCTGGCGGTTTGTAAGCTTGTTCGTATCTGTAGTCCGGGTTCTGAGACGAACGGTGCGTCAGAGATCAGGTGGCCGGCGAAAACGCGGTCGTTTTACCAGTTGCCCATGGGGAAGAACAAAGAGGAGCCTTGGAGAGAAGCACGAGGGCGGTGGGCGGTAAACGAAGGCTGGGGAAAAGAATCGAGACCAAGCCCAAACTCGGCCGAAACCCGAGGCTTCGAAGCAATGGAGCAGGCAAGGAAAGGCGACGCGCCAGTATTGACAGGCCGCTGTCGTGATTTCGGGCATGGTTGAATGGGGCCGTCATCAAAGACGGGCCGATATCACGGCCCTGACAGGTAAAAGTAGGCACCTGGCTACGGGGGCCGACCAGGGATGGCTCGGAAGGCAGCCACTGGCGACAGGCGGCGGGGCCAAATCTAGATTCCAGAGGTCCTGGAGGGAAAACTTGTTGGTCATTCGGACTTTGGAACCCTGTTAACAGCAATACACGCTGAGTCGAGTGGGGTGGTGGTACGACAAGACTCCTGCGATTGCAGGCGGTCTTCGTACGGCTTGTTGGAGGATGAACGCGGAACCCCGAAAGCACCCGTGGAATCAGACGACCAAGCGTGCGATCTGGCCAAGGCACAGTCTTGATTGGGTACCGGCTTCGTCAAAGCTGGAGATATGGGGTTGCTTGGGGGGAGAGGAGAATAGACAGACAGCGTCTTAAAGTGCATGTGAGGCGATCCACAACGGACAGGAACTCGGCCAAATTGAACACCAAGACAATGTGTCTGCCACAGTAGATTCCGAATAGAGGGATCTGGAGGCAGTTAGCGCATCGAGTACCACCGAGCATTGTCCCATTTGGAGCCGGGCCCGGGGGATTGGAGGAGATATGATGGGGAAACTTGGGGGAGGGAAAAGTTGGATAGGATGGGGAGAAGTTGGGGGAGGGCATGAAAGTGCGGGATGAAGATGGGATGGATTGAACGGGGTTGCATCCATCGGATAGCGAGCTGCAGCAGCTGGCAGACCTGCTGTGGCATCAAGGTAGGGGTAGGTAGTTTCTGGCAAGGTCGAATGTCTCGAATAACTTCAAATTCATCCATCTAATCTAGATTGTAGGTGTTGAAGCCTGAAGACAGCCCAGTCGAGCCAAGATCAGCCAAGTGAGCTTCACCAGGTGTCGATCGAGGACTCCTGTGAGGCGTTGAAGCATACGGTATCCACGGATAGGGAGAGTCTTGAGGAGCTGCAGGAGGGCATGCGAGAGAGCCCTTGGGGTTCCAACGTTGCGGCTTGGACAAGCGCATTACCTAGGTAGGGACGCCCTCAGGATCGTCATCCATACGTCGTACAGCGCATCGGCTGACATGCATCCATCTCATCACGAACGAATGACAAGGCGGATGTCGGCGGTTGAAGAGACATGGCGATGAGCCAGATGGTCCGTTGAACAAGGACAGTGGAGAGGTTTGGCCAGGGAGCGGCAAGGGACGAAAGCCACACGGCGCCTCGTGTCTTGCTTGCTGACCGTAGACTTCCATTGGAGACAGCAATCGTGCCGTCGTCTCATTTTCATCTCATCGTATCGCACAGCATCGCCAGTCATGGTGGGAGAGGGGGGTGAGGGGGGGGGGGGGGCTGTCGCAGAGGCGCCAGTGTCGGACGCCGCCCGCCAGCACGATTGAGTTAGTGGTTGCTTCACTGAGAGATGCGCCGACGTGGAAGGCTGCGAGCAAGTCAAGGCAAGACATTGTCAATCCCTCACGAAGAGTGCAGACTTTTTCTCCCGGGACGGATGGCGGGGCAACAGGGGCCGGGGCCTCTAGGTGTGTCATGTTTTGGCGGCGGAGCCAATGAACGCCACGAAAAAGTGGCCGGGGAAGATACTTTGATACCTGGGGGCACATATTCTGGAGACATGCAAACCTAGGTACCTTGAGGTAGGTGTTAGGGAGGACTAGCACCAACTGGCAAGCCGCTGACTGAGCCTGACCTGTGCGCTGCACGCTTGTTGCCTGCCCTTCGGCGCTTCTATGGCGCTTTCCCCAAGTCCTCTGCGGAAAGTCTCCAGTCTGCTTCTCCACGGGGCACCTTTTTTCAATGGAATTATGGAGTTGTGGGAATTCTTTACTCTTAATCGTGGCCACGGCCCACTGGGCCTTATTTCAGGTTCATGTCGGATAAAGAATACCCCTCGGGGACCCCACCAAACGCGGGTGAAAGTAACCCGAATGAAGATAATCGGGAGTTTTAGGGGAGAAAATTCTGATTTTTGTTTGCTGGTGAAAATTCTGAAATTGCATGAAGCGATCGTGAGATTCAGGAGGTGATCGCAAAACGTAAGCAGGTGTTCGTACCTTTAGTCTACCTTACAAACAGTCAAACACACCATGTCAACGGTGACGATGACTTCTAATTACCTAGTGCACGTACTTTGTAAGAGAAGCAAGCATGTCATCACTTGGACCATGGCCACCGGGCGCTTGACCAGAAACGGGCGTCTCTCAACAAGTCTGCCGTTATTCGCTGCATGCCTGGCCCATGTCGCCGCCGCCGCTTCCCTTCCCTTCCGCGTTCCCCTCCCTGCGGCGTAGAAAATTAGTGCCGTGTCGATGACATTCTCGAGAGTCCTCAACTCTGGAGGAAGCGCGTGTTGGTATGCAGATATCGCTGCCATTGCTTGCATGAGCTCGGAGCCAAGCTCGGCACCTTCAATCTTGGCACACTGCTGGCCCCCTCCCCCGCCACAATCCTGGAGGACTCGGACGTGTGTCACGCATCTCCAAGCCAGGTTGCGGGCGGCGATTCGTGTATTCGGCGCTTGTTACGATGCGCGCGATGAAAACATATCGAGCCACTCTCGCCAGGATCATCAAATGATCTCAAACCACCGGTCCGACTACAGCACTTTCCGCGTTTAGACTTTGGTGATTCTAGCGTATCGTTTTCGGTGTGCTGGAAGTGTTGGTGGTAAGGTATGGAGTATTCGTACCTTCATTCGTAGACCATTTAGCACCCAACTCGTGTTATTGCCACCAGTCCAGCACCAACCGCAGCACTTGGAATCTCTTGCTGTCAGAACAGCCCACCGCTAGCCGAGACCAACCGTTCATCTCGTCGGCGTACTTGAACCAGTTGACAGATTTTTCCTAAGAACCGAGGTCCTGAGCCGAGGGTCGAGACCGGAGCCAGATCAGCAGAGCCCCAGTGCTTTTTTCGATTTTTTTTTTTTTTTTCTTTCCCTTTGTCCTATCCAACACGAGCCTGGATTGGGGAAGAAATTAGCAGCAATTGGACACGAAGAAAACCGTGTCGAGTCCCGTGCCCACGCTCTGTCCGGTGCAAAACCGGGAACTGCCAGAACATGGGCGAACAGCAGAGCCGGGAGCGGTCAAGGATCTAGATCGAGCCTAGCGCCGATTTCTCAGCAAAAAAAGGGCGACCAGTCCTTAGAGCCCCGCCCCGCAAAACGCCACGCGACGGCGAGACAACGGCGAAATCCATTTCCCCAGCTTTTTTTTTCTTTCTTGGTCTTTTCTGTGTGGAGCCTTGGGAGAACCCCGTGACCTGGTGGCTGCGCTCTCCATCCTGGGCACGAAAGGGGGGCCCCAGGGGGGCCAGACAGCTGAAGACTGGAGACCCCGGGCCAGTGTGGTTCCCCCAGTTATTGTTCCCCAGTGGCTAATTTTCACTTCAAACTGAAGTCGTGGACTCTCGTGTGGTTTTCTTCTCCCCCCCACCTCCCAGTCTTCCAAATATTTTAGTGCTCGTAGTGGACTGCCGGCGATGGCGCGCCACTGACGAGTCAATCTGTCCACCAAGGTAGTGGGTATCGGCCGCTAAACTACTCTTTTCGCCTCTGTTGCTGTGACGGCTGGCGAGGTGCGTTCAGTCCAGATCTGCCTGGAATTGATGATCTGATGGTCTGGTCCACGTCCAGCAGCCATTAGGTTCTTGCCAAGTGGACGCTGCTCCCCTCGAGTTCCATTTCTTCCAGGGTTTTCTCTCTCTGTGTCTTTTGTTGGTGTTGCGGGAGCAATGAGTACACCTGCGTCCCTTTTTCTGGGGGGTCGCTCGTTCCTTCCCGCCCGTTTAGCTTAACCCCAGCCGAATCCTAAAAGTCAAAGGAATTAGGTTGGAATAATCCCTTCTCCAATCCCCCGCGTCGTGGTTTCCCCAAATGTTCGTGACCATGGTGGTAACATTCCAATTCTCTAAGCGGAAGAACTAAAGTTGCCTGCTCTTTGAGCTCTGTGTATTCATTCATCTTAGTGGCTGGAAGACAAGTAGGACCGTAATGGCACCTAAAGGTATCGTCGGGCGGGTGAAGAACTAAAGAAAGGGAGCAAGGTACCTTCCAGCCCGAGGACTATCGTGTGAAACAGAAGGTACCTCCCATAATACGCGCTAATCCAGACAGGGAGCAGTGCCTTCCTAAGTGCCCTTGTACCTCCTGGTCTCTCTGTCTCTCTCTTCCTCTCTGTGTCTCATGACTGGTACCCTCGTCGTCCTTCCCTCCTTCCCCGTGGCCTGCCCGCCCCGCGGCCCCTTCCCAACTCGTCGGGAGTCCCCTTCCCACCCCCATCCCCTCCCCTCCCCTTCCCCCGTCGGCCTCCACGCCTGCCTAAGAGTTATCGGCCCTATTAAGCATGAGCTAGCAGGAGCTTCAACATGGGGACGGCTAACCAACGGGGCTAACCCAATGGGAGCTCGTCCTCGACGAACTGTGACCTGCAGACCCTCGGAATGGGGAGATGAAGCACCACACACACTCACACACAACACAACACTCACCACCTGGCGCGCTGCTGCGTCAGGTCTTCATCGACATCATGACAAGCCGCTCACTCAGTCTCTGTCCGAGTCTAAGTGACCCATTGCATCGGCCGGGCCTGTCGTCCCATTCCCATTCCCATTCCAGACTTTGGCGACACACCCCCTCCCCCTGTCGCCTGTCCATCAGTCGGTACTACCACACATACCCACGCGCCAGACAGACGGACTGACACGGACCCAGCTGCGTACGGCATGTACCTCTCTGCACCTTCCTGGACGTGACACCAAGACTGATAAAAGGTCCTCGTCTCGCCCTCACTTTCCTGCTTCATCCCCTTCCTTCCTCACGAGCTTCCTCGCCAACAACTCCCCCGACAAGCTTCCTCTCGTCCTCCCCTTTCCCACACAACCAGCTCGAATCATCGCCAAGTTCTCCGAGGCGCACAACAGTAACACCAACCTCCACAATGGAGAAAGAAACCGGCGTTACGCGCGAGCCCGTCCAGGGTCTCGCCGTCACAGACAATGTCGACCATGTCGAGGCCCCCGTTACCTGGAAGGCCTACCTGATCTGCGCCTTTGCCTCCTTTGGAGGTATCTTCTTCGGATACGACTCAGGTTACATTAACGGTGTCCTGGGTTCCACCATCTTCATCGAGGCGGTCGAGGGCAAGGGTGCCACTGCCATTGGCGAATCAGACCAGTCCCTCATCGTCTCTATTCTTTCCTGCGGTACTTTCTTTGGTGCTCTCATCGCTGGTGACGTAGCCGACTGGATGGGACGCAAGTGGACTGTTATTCTCGGCTGCTTCATCTACATGCTTGGTGTCGTAATCCAGATGATCACTGGTGCCGGTTCTTCTCCTCTTGCTCCCATCGTCACTGGCCGTCTCATCGCCGGTATTGGTGTGGGTTTCGAGTCCGCCGTTGTCATCCTGTACATGTCCGAGATTGTGAGTTAATACCTGCTTCCCCACGATTCCTGTGAGCCATTCACTAATACGATTCAATAGTCTCCCAAGAAGGTTCGTGGCGCTCTCGTCGCTGGCTACCAATTCTGCATCACCATCGGTCTGCTCTTGGCTGCTTGCGTTGTGTATGCCACCAAGGATCGCAAAGACACCGGCTCCTACCGTATCCCCATCTCCATTCAGTTCCCCTGGGCTCTGATCCTTGGAGGTGGTCTTATGTTGTTCCCGGACTCTCCCAGATACTTTGTCAAGAAGGGCAGACTCGCTGATGCCGCCCACTCCCTCTCCAAGCTTCGTGGCCAGCCCGAGAACTCTGAGTACATCCAGGTCGAGCTTGCTGAGATTGTCGCCAACGAGGAGTATGAGCGCCAGCTCATTCCCTCGTCCTCCTGGTTTGGCTCATGGGCCAACTGCTTCAGCGGTTCCGTCTTCAAGGCCAACTCCAACCTGCGCAAGACCATTCTCGGCACTTCTCTCCAGATGATGCAACAGTGGACCGGTGTCAACTTCATCTTCTACTACTCAACTCCTTTCCTCCAGTCCACCGGTGCCATCAGCAACACCTTCTTGATCTCCCTCATCTTCACCCTCGTCAACGTCTGCTCTACCCCCTTGTCCTTCTGGACCGTCGAGCGCTTCGGTCGTCGCACCATCCTCATTTGGGGCGCTCTTGGTATGACCATCTGCCAATTCATCGTCGCCATCGTTGGTGTTACTGTCGGTTTCAACCACACCCACCCCGACCCCACCGACAGCTCCAAGAGCATTGCCAACAACATTCCTGCCGTCAACGCCCAGATCGCCTTCATTGCCATCTTCATCTTCTCGTTCGCCTCCACCTGGGGCCCCGGAGCCTGGATTCTCATTGGTGAGGTTTTCCCTCTGCCTATCCGCTCCCGCGGTGTTGCCCTGTCCACTGCCTCCAACTGGCTCTGGAACACCATCATTGCTGTTATCACCCCCTACATGGTTGGCGAGAAGCGTGGCAACCTCAAGTCCTCCGTCTTCTTCGTCTGGGGCGGTCTATGCACATGCGCCTTGGTCTACGCCTACTTCCTGGTTCCCGAGACCAAGGGTCTATCCCTAGAGCAGGTTGACAAGATGATGGAGGAGACTACTCCTCGCACTTCCGCCAAGTGGAAGCCCCATGAGACCTTTGCTTCTCAGGTCGCCCGCAACGGCGTCCTCGACAAGGTCACCGTCGACAACATTGAGCGTCGCGCTTCCAACGTCTAAGTCCGCGTCTGTTTCAATGTCTGTTTTCAATTTTGTCTATACCCCCAGTGTACTACCCGTCTTGCCGGGTGAATAACCTCGAGGCATATTTGAAGTTGGGTCCGTTTTGGACAAAACTTACTACTTGTAATGCGAAATGTTGATGTGGAATGCATGGCGCGTGGGGAAATAACCAAGTTGTCACGATTGTGACTAGTCTTATAACTGCTGCTCAAAGATAACTGTTAATACAACTGAAATGTTGAATATGAATTTATATCTACACGCTACCTAACACTGTTCTTGTGATCACAAACTATGAGGGCCTGGATTACCCACGGAAAATAGTGGTACAACGTGAAAGCCTCGGGAGCAAAAAAAAATAAAAAAAAACCTGGCTAGCAATATGACGGGTGCATTATTCATGCACCTTGCTGGGTACCACATCCGGCACCACTTTGGGCACTACGTCGGGCTGAGGCTTCGGCAAATCGTGGTCTTGGCTGGAATGGGGCAAGTGGGCGGGTCTGGCTGGGCATCAAATCTCTTCTAGGTTGGCTGCATTGCCTTGACGAGGCTCCCGACTGCAAGCCTCTAGACTGGATACATTGCCTTTTTGTTTCTCGCAAAGTTTGCGAATGCCATATGTGGTATATTCGATAGCAATGAACACGCCTTGTTGTTGGATCATGTGTTGGTTGGAACCCTGTTGGGGGCACCTTTTGGACCTTGGCATGTACTTATTTCGTAACCGGCCGTGACTACATCTCGTCTCATGTGGAAGGCTCTGACATATGGACATGCAACCAAACACCCGCCGTCGATACATACAAATATATATATATAAATACTGACTTAAGCGCTCTTATACTTCCTCCTGAACCGCCACGCCAGAACCCGCCCTCATCCGCTGCACCTCTTGAAAGAGAAGTCGGAGTGAGTGTATCCCACATCCGCTCGAGATCGCGCGCCTTCCTGCCCCAGTGCCTGAACACACTCAACGCGAGCCGCATGAGGCAAGTCTAGTCGGAGGGTGGCCGAACAGGTTCGTCTTCGCCTCTCGCGGCGGCGAGGATCATAACGGCGCAGGAGAAGGCGCGCCGGCCGACGAACCAGCATCCGCCGTGAGGGCGGTATCATGGCGGCGCAGGTATCGACGGCTTTTTGAGCGAGTTCGATGACGCACGGGTTCGTCGGACTCTGGTTCTGGGCCGGCTTCGGGTTGCGGCCTTGCAGGTAGAAGGAGAGTTCGTTGTCGGGGTAGCGGTCTTTGGTGAGTTGGATCAGGGGCGGTAGATCGGAGTGTCTGGGATGAGGAGGTACGTGTAAGTTTTGCGTTCAAGTTTGCTTGGCTGCTTCATTTGACCTGATCGTGCTTTTTTTTTCTTTTCGGAGATTTATTCGCACCTTTTCGACGACTGCCAAGATGGGCTACTCAAAGTTGCAGAGACGCAGCTGCTAGTAAGGGGAAACTCAGAATTGCCAAACCTCCGTTTCAAAATCGGCATATTGTCGGACTAATAGCTCTTCGTTCTTGAGCCAGTATGCATCGCCTTTGCGGTACAGTACGGCAGTGGTGTCTTTGATCGTACGCCGGAGGGAAATCTCGGCGAGGTAGTAGAGCCAGCTGCGTTCTTCTTCCAGGCATTCTTAGGGGTCCGGGATCGGGGACCTGGTGTAGTCTGACGGGCTGATTGATGTCTCGTGGGGTCTGGATGTCGTCGTCGTCGGCGTCATCCTGGAGAAGGTCGAGGGCGGCGCGGGAAAAGAGTCTGTGTGAGTGAAGTCTTCGAGTTCTATTATTGGCAGCTGCGAGAATTTCTGATACTTTGGTTTGAGTGTTCTATATGGGAGCGGTCTCGATAAGTGAGATTCAGGGGGTTCTTAGACTTGCTAGAACTTAGGCAAGGAGCTGTTCGTGGCGGTTATTCTATGGTTTGTGGGGGAGTGAAGTGAGTTAGCAGATGTAAGACTTGCCATGGAACACGAGGGAACATCCCACTTGATGCCATGTTCAGCTGCCTATCTGGTGTAGGACACGGGTCTTTCCCCTCGAAAATCGGGTTCCGGAGATGAACATAGCAAACAAAGGGTGATAAAAGCATCGATGCCCAGTCCATTGATCGTTGAGTGTTATAGAGAAGCCAAGCGGATCGGCGATCACAAGAAGAACAGTGTGGCGATCCAGCGAGACATTTGTCTCTTCACCAAGTACGTGTCATTCAAATCCAGCCTTTCTGGTGTGCAAAGTTTGCTGACTTCTTATTAACATAGCACTGTCAAAGCAACTAGTTTTGTTTAGGTTTTGGTTGATTTTCTCATCACGCTAAAACTTTTCTAGGGAGAGCTGAGCCTTCTGTCCGTTCCCAAGAACGTGGCCGATCCATACATTGAGCCGATCTCTTGGGGCAGTTTGTAGGTATTTCCCTTCTACTTCATGGTTTTTGATGGTTCTTGGCTAAGGTATATTATCAAGAACTCCCTTCATCAAGAATGGGCATAATCCAAAGTATAAGGCCGGAGACAACCTCTCCGCTGCAGCAGCTACGCGCATCATTGGCGGAATGGGTGGTCACTGGACCTGCTGCACACCTCTCGAAGGTAAGAACCCCGAGAGATCCGATCTATTCTCCGATGACCAGTGGGATAGTCTATACATCCGTGCTGAAGAGCTGTTCTGGACCGACAGGACCCTCTTTGATAAATCCATTCGCCGGGGGGCTTGTCTAGTCCGTCTTGAGTCTACGAGAACAAGGGACGTGAGATCCACAGCATGCCTCTCTGCGGTAAACGAAATGTAGCGGGAGAATTTGTAGAATGGGCGTGTACTGCTACAATGCTGGTCAACGATCTCGCTGACCCCAGCAAACGGCACGACCGCTTCAAGTTGCGTGCCAATACTCAGTGTGTCAGGCTAGTCCTGAACAAGGACTCTGGACAGGTCGAAGCAGCCGAACTTGAGGACCTTCTTGGCGCCTAGAAGTATCTCATCCGAGCAAAAAAAAAAAAGTACATCATCTGCGCAGGAGCTGTCTTGACTCCAGGCATCCTGTGGAACTCAGGTGGTCTGCAGGACACCCTCCATAATTGTGTACGCAGCACAAATACTCAGTTGTAACAGGGTCGCTATTTGACGGAGCAGCCCATGGCTTTCTGCCAGGTTGTGCTGAAGAAGACCCGTGTGGTAGATATTGCCAACGACTCACACGGACTTGGATGGGAAGCTGCAGTCAACGAGCACAAGTCTCAAGCAACCCAACGATCCAGTTCCGATTCCCTTCAATGACCCCGATCCTCAGTGCTATTTCAAATTGACAGATGACTTCTAATGGCACAATCAGATCCACCGCGATGCCTTTGGGTACGGAGAGGTTCCGTCATCGATCGATTAGCGTCTTGTAGTTGACCTTCGCTGGTTCGGGTACACTGAACCTTGCAAGGGGAATTACGTTGAGTTCTCTACGGAGCTTAAAGACCAATTCGGGATGCCGCAGGTAAGCTTGAATGCATTCGCTTTGCCAAAGGACTTTTCAGTCCCCTGTGAAACTGATCAACTATGTCATCCAGCCAGCCTTCCACTACACGATCAACGACAGTGATGCCAAGCGATGCTCTGAAATGATCACCGGGTAAGACTTAAAGACTAGCTAAAAATTTACCTTGTTACTGACTAACTTTCCACCCTGCATGGTCGAAGTTGCCAGGAACCTCGGCGGGTTCCTCCCTGGCGCCGAGCCCAAGTACCTCCCACCCGGATCCGCCCTTCACATCTGTGGCACCTACCGAGCCGGCGATGATAAAAATGGCAACCTAGAAGAAGCGAAGAATGAGAGTGTAGTGAATCGTTTCGGCAGAGTCTGGGGCCAGAAGAACTTGGTCCTCGGCGGCTGCGGTATCATTCCCACGCAGAATGCCTGCAACCCAACACTTACGGCAGCCGCATTTGCCCTTGCCGCTACTGACCAAATTATCGCGGACTTGGACGAACATGAGAATTATGAGTGAGCTTGATGACTGCCTGCCGACCTTGCGGTCAAGGAAAAGCTTGGAGATGGGGAACGTTCCTTACTGGAGCCCAGTTGTGCCGCTTTGCATAAGTACTTAGTAGTCTGGGGCACTAAATCAAAGTCGCTCATTCGCCCCTGAATCTCACGTTACGACGTTCATTTCCGATGCATTTCGTCCGTGAATATGGTTGCAGAAATTCGTCTTTGATTTAGTAAGTTCCTATCTCATTCTTGAATTTCCAATGTCAAGTTTGTGTAGCCGCAAAAAGCTTCTTGAACTCGGACTCTGTCTCGAGTAAAGTTTGGGCGGTATCCCACTCCACAACTTCTCCTTGCTTCAAGAGAAGAACCCTTTCGTACTTTTCTATGAATCTAAGACGGTGTATAACAGATATCACAGTCCGATGCGCGAACTCTTCTTCAATGATTCGCTGCATCTTATCTTCGGTATCTTGGTCGACGCTGAAGCCGTGTCAGTTGAGTCAAAGCAATTACCAGAAGGAACAAGAAAACCTCCATACCTGCTGGTAGCCTCGTCTAGTATCAAAATCTGACTCTTTTCGATCAAGGCTCGCGTCAAGGCTAGCAGCTGTCTTTCCCCTGCCGAGAAACCATCGGCGTCTAGCTCGCTATCCAGACCACCTGCCATGCCGATCTTCCCGAGAAGGCCGACTTTATCGAGAGCTGCTTTGATGTTCTCGCTGCTTTCACGGGAGTGCGGATCCAAATTGAAGCGAACGCTGCCCGGAACGAAGAATGGCTCCTGAGGTATGACGTTGATCCGTGAACGTACTTCTTCTCTTTCCAGACCCGCGAGATCGATGCCATCGATGAGAATCTTTCCTTCAGTGACTTCTATCATTTGAAGGAGTGCGAGTACAAATGATGTCTTGCCGCTGCCTGACGGTCCGCAAACTGCAATCTTTTGACCGGAGGACACTGATAGTGTCAAGTTCTTAAGCGTTGCGTCTCCGTCTTTTGTGTATCTCGCAGTGACATTCTCAAAGTTGATGCGTCCCTGCATTGGCCATTCAGCTGGAGGAACACCCAAGCTTCCTAATTCACGGTCCTCGAAAGGCGTTGTTTGAGCAAACTCTCTTACTCTAGCCACAGCGCCGATGGAGGTTTCCAAAGCAGTCCAATTCTTGATTGTCGTCGCGAGCGAATTATTGAACCCCAGAACCAGGACCATCGCAACACCAATCGCACCAGGAGAAAACTTGGTGGTGATGGATGTTGCCATTGCAACAATGATCAGCGCCAGAGCACCGACAACAAGGTCAAGGATGAGCGCGAGCCACTGTTGAATGCACGCCAGCATGTAATGGGGCTTTTGTGAGATGTCCAGAAGCTTTGTCGCCTGATCCTCAAAGTTCTCTTGCCATCTATAAGCACGGATAGTAGCGACGCCCTTGAGTGTTTCGAGGAAGTGGGTGTAGATTGGGGCCTTCGCCTCGATGTCAAGGAGGCGTACTTGGCGAGAGGTGCGTAAATAGAATCTTTGAACGAAGAAGAGCACACCTACTAGCAGAGGCACGGATGTCGCCAAATACTTGCCCATAACACACAGTAATGCAAGCTTGACGATACAAGCGCAAGCATCTTTGTAACGTCAAGGTCAGCCTGACAGTATCTGAAGAGCTTCAAAGAGACAAGACTTACTTGAAGCGAAGTTGATAGCATTCGATGGAAGGGTCACGTCAATGAGGTTGAGATCTTGGCTGAATCTAGACTGCTAGTCAACTTTGTGCCGAGCTTCAGGGACACTACTGTAGGGCACACATACCTGTTGGTTATCGAACCTGTGTCGGTGGACTGGAAGAAGCTGAGGGGTGCTCTGAGCGGGTGTTAGTATGTTCAACAGATAAAGACGACAAGTTCGAACGCTACCTCAAAGTTGTGTGGAGTAGATCACCATGCAAGCTCATAGCTGTCGAGTTTATGATGCGTATAAAAAGAAGCCTTGAATCGTCAGCGACTCTAAATCTTGACATAAGGGCTGCATGGAAGCTTACCAGCATTCCGCGGAAAGTCCAATGCAGGCCATCGCGAACAGGAGAGCGTAAACTCCAAGATACATGCCGAGATTGTCGTTTGGCTGTTTCTCATTCGCTTCGACCCACCACTGGAACCATATATCTAAGCACATAGGTCAGGATGAGTTGAGTCAAGAACGTTAGCCTCTGGAAACTGACTGGTAAAACCACTGCAGAATGCCTCGGTAAAAGTAGCCAAAATGAATAAGCCAACCACTATCCAACCAGCGCGCTCAAAGTAGTACTTGTAAACTGACCAGGAGCCATTCTGACGCAGTCTGTCTTCTTTGGCGTCCAGGGTCCTTTGAATATGTATGGGTTTCACAGGCTCATCCTTCTGTTCTGACTCCTCACCGCGTGTGAAGTTCTGAACCTCTGCCAATCTTGATCTTGTGATTAACTCAGACGAGTTAGCAAGGACCTGTTCGTATGGGCCTTGACTTTGGACATCGCTATCGGCGAGAACGATAACTTCATCTGCATATCGGAGAATTACGCCTTTGCGCTATTAGCTGGAGAGCTCCAGGCTGTTATAGGATCGTTCCCGGAATTGACTTACTAGTATGAGTCGCAAGAATGACGGAGATCTCGTTACGGCGAAAATGGCCGTCTTCGCTGAAGAGGCGACTTGAGATCTGGCTGACAGTTTTGGAGTCGAGGCCGCTCAAGACGTCGTCTAGTACCACAACGCGATGTCTAGAGTAGACAGAACGAGCAAGTGACTGATGCAGGAGTGATATTTAGAAAGAGTCTTAACAGGAAACGGTGTTCAACTTACCACACGTTGCCGTTGTCCCCCACTCAATCCGACACCATTGCTACCGATGTTGTAGAGCTCTCCGCCGGGCATGCCCCTAACATCCTCAGTCAAGGCGCATAGCCACAAAACTTGGTCGAACCATTTCGGATCATGATCCAGGCCTCCAGTGATGTTTCGTCTCACCGTGTCATTCATCATCCACGGGGTTTGCGCGCAGTAGGCAATTTCGCGTGCCGCACATTGTCTGATTCCAGCACCTAGTGCTGTCTCTTTGAGAATACTTTCCATGAGGCACGACTTTCCGCAGCCCACAGGGCCGACAACCATGGTTATTCCTTGCTTTATATCCAAGGAAAGATCTTGAAAGACTGCAACAGAACCAGGCGACCATGAGATCTTGGCGTTACGGAACGAGGCTATCATTCCACTTGTTGTCGCGTGTTCTGGGAGATTTGCGAGCTCGATGCTTGCCCTATTCAAGGAGTTGCCTGAGGAGTAACTCGGAACCAAGCATTGTTCGTTTGATGGTGGTTCGGATTCCTTGAGACAGAACGTCTCAATTCGTTGGAAGCAAGCCATACCCTGCACGATGCTAGGCACGAATTGGCAGAACAACAAGAGTGGTTCTGTCAAGAGACTGATCAAAGACAGGGCGGTAAAGGCATTCGTCGTCGTCAGCGTTTGATCTTTGGTGATGAGTGCGATGATGCTGTAGATGACAAAGGTTGCGAACGGCGCAAACTCGACGGGAAGGTTTGCTGGAAGAACTTGAGTGGCGAACCAAGAAAAAGATGGAATCATTTTCATCACTTACAGACAAGAATTTGAGCGAGGAGCAACTTGCGAAACTTCTCAGAGCTCTTCAGTTCTATACGTCGCAGCTCTGATATGGCTGTGGATAGCACATCTGAAAGACCCAGCATTTTGATAGCCTTCACATCGCCCAACACTGAGGCGGTTGCAGCCACTCTCTTTTGCAAGCGTTCAATCCATACCGTTTGAGCCCTGCCAATGGTTTTGGAGATGGGAATGACACCGAGAGCACACACTTGCGACACAAGTGTTAGCATTGCGAATCAGTGCAAACCAGACCTTTGGCAACTTACCGATAGAAATGACAACAGGTACTACGGATGCGGCGGCGATCTGGCGCTGTAATAAAAAGATGGCGATGCTGACCTCCAAAATAGCTGCCCAAACCTGGTGGAGGTTGTTAAACGTAAGCACGATGCGTTCAATGTCGGTGCCCATCAAAGTAACCGCAGCGCTGTCTTTCAAGTCATTTGCTTTTAGAGATATGGTCTGTTTGAAGACCATCGACATCAGCCCTGCTCGGAGCATCGTCGTGAAGCGGTACTGCTGGCGGGAAGATGCCGCTCGCGAAACTGCCAGGCCGAGATATGTGAGCACGTATGCTCCGACGAGTGCTTGCCCGTACCTCTCAGACTCTGGTGTCTTGGGCGTCTGCATGTAGCTTACGGTCGCCGTGATGAGGAACGGCTGGCAAAATGTAAATGCACTAAGGAAAAGACGTGTAATGACGCCAGCAACGAGGGTTCCGCGATAGGCGTAAAAGCCTGACCAAATCAAGGCATGGTACTTCTCGCCTTTGCGCTTCGACCACGCTGCTTCCAGGCTCGACCCCGCCGTTTTCCCAGCTAGATCTTTGTCGACTTCCGGCATGTCCTGGATGTGTATGACCCGCGAGTACCCAAGCCTGAAGAAAGGCAGAAGCCAGGTGAAGAAGCTGCGGCCCCAGAAGCCGGTCTCCTCTTCTTTGGTGAGAGACTGGTACATGGTTCGCAAAAACCTTTTCTTGCCGATGGACTCCAGGGGAACGACTAGGATCGTGAGAATGATGATCGCAGTCCATAGAGCTTTTGACGGTGCGTCACCGGGAATAAGCCATAGTGTCCTGAGGCGCGGCAACGAGAGGATAGCGGATGCTGAGAAGTAGAGAATGATCAAGTCGGAAGGTCGAGTGGAGCGTTGATCTTCCAGGAATGAGTGGAAAGCTGTGGCCAAAACGGCGATGAAGTTGAGGATCCCTGCTGTCAAAGAAACCGACGTGCGCAAGGCCAAAGATTCGGTACGAATGACGATGAAACCGAGGTGCAAAATGGTTAAAACGCTCAAAAGAGCCTAAATCACTGTGAGTGAAGTTTCAGTGACGAGATTTCTTGGGGATGAAGTTTTTTACCAATTTCCACAAGGCAAGTTTGTAAGTCGCCACTTTCACCGGCGTCTGCCGAATGAAATATATTCGGAAGGGAATCAGGAGGAGAAGTACTGCTGAAGGAACAATATGGAAGATCACATCTTCAAAAAGAAGCGTGAAATCAAAATTGCGACAGTTGAAGTCAATGTGAGGTCCAAATCCATTGTCGCTGTCCAAGGGACAGCCGGAGTTAGTTGCCATCAGGACGAAACTTTCGATGACGGATCAAGATCAGCTTCGTCGACATTGTAGGACAATCAAGCTGACGGCGGCCGCGCCAGTATTTCAAGCCTCTCGAAAGGGACTTTCGTCTTGTGTCACTATATACGCCATGGTGAGCCAACGTCTTGCAAGGAGCCATTGGTTTACCAAGTGATTGCTGCACTATGCTCAGTAGGGCAGGTCAATGAGCTTCCGATAGCCAATGATTGGACACTGTCAATTTGCTATTGACCCGAATATGCGTTGCTTATGTTGTGGTATCCCATGCATGAGGAGCGGGTCCCGCTGACATGAGGAGTGCAAAAAATGACCAGCTTAGGAAAGGACAAAACTGGCGGTGGAAATAAGAGTGAAAATATTGGGGGCAAATAATGGGGACTGGAGGAACCGGGGGTGCTGATGTCGTGATTAATGGACCCGTCTCTCCTCCGTCTCTGGGTTCTCCACTACCTTTATTGCTTCTTCTTGGCTGAATTTCTATCAGCATATTCTCTATAATGTACGTTTAGTGGTGATGAAAAGGGGGACTTAAGATGTACTAGCGGCAGATAATTTTGTCACCCACTTGTTAGTTCGGCAGTGCCGCAAGAGCTCTTGACATTACAGTTCGAGTGCACTGTTGACTCGGGTGGTCCGTGACTTTGAGATATCGATCCTCCTCAGTACAGCCTCTCCTAGCTGTGACCTTCTTTGTCATACATTTAACCTGGAGAGATTAATGACATGATTCAATCACTCCGTAGATTTCCCGACAAATACGAACCCGCCTTATTTTCAAATGCAGTATTTGTGCGAATATTGCAGACGTTACGACGCAACCAGTGTCTTACCGGTCGACGGGCCGTGCCAAAGTTGTACAGGCGCTAGTGAACCTCTAGTCCGTCCTCAACTGCCGCCCTAGAGGTATTCCAACTTTGATGTTTTTGGGCTTGTTGCATCATTGCGGGCTTACACGTCAGACTGCGGGAACACGTCCCATCGAAACAAGCCAGCTACACCAGGCTACTCAGCAGATATTCTGAGGTAGAAACTAGACTTATCAGTACCCATCGAGTTGGGCGGGCGGAAGCCAACAACCGGCTCATAGATGCTCTACGCTATCCCCGGTGACCATTTATCGGCTAAGGTCTGGGTCGATATTGATATGCTGCATGGTAAGTTGATGATTGCCTCGGTCACCTGGCGAGAAGGAATACTTGAGATTCGTTCCTGGATCCTGAGTCTTCTCGTCTGAGAAGCGCTGCTTCAGCCACTGTGATTAAGTTTATATGGAAAAAGTTGCGAGAATGCAAGGTTGATAAAACACACTTAGGGAATTATGGGGGATTTTTTTTCAAAGCAGTGAAAGCCAACAATCGTTAATATATGCAAAGGTCATGATATACGGAATTAATACATCTTATCGAGGAGCTCTGTCAACGCCAGTTCTGCTCGTCTGAACGTGTTCTCGATTTAAAAACCAATCGGACCATCACAAGCCAAACGGAAGGTTGATCGGAAGGCCTCCACCGAAGGGAACGTTGACAGGTAGCCTGCCGCCATTGTTATTGCGGCCACCAAAAGGGAACCCCCCGCCAACGAATGGAGTGTTATCAAAGTTGACCATGTTCGGTCCACGTGAATCGGTCGTCCATGACCAGGAGCGGCTTCCATCGCCGCCAATATCGATGTTGACGTGTACTCTCCTTCGTGTTCCATCTTCCTCTGTCTCGTCTTCTTGCTCATTCTTTTGTTGATCTTGCCGCGAATTTTGACGTGTCTGCTCTGGTCTCGAGTTTTGACGCTGTTGGCTGTAGCGGGGCCGCTGAGATTTTGACCTCGCCTCAGGTCGCCGCGGTACTTCTTCGTCGTAAGAATTGTTGTCCTCGTCTTCTTCTTGTTGCTCATATTGACGGCGTTGCTGCTGCTGTTCCTGTCTCGGTGGTGGAGGAAGCGGCGGCTCTCTGGGTGTTTTGATGTCTCCGTACATTCCATAGATGCTATCCTCCCAGTTCTTGTTCGGTTCCGGCCTTCTTTGTTGCCGGCGTGACGGAGGTGATTGGGAAAGCTTGGGGGGCTCTACAGTCTCCTGGCTATATCGCGAGCTTTCATCCGTCCTGCCAGTGCTGTACCTGGCGCTGCGTCGATCGAAGTTGTTGCTATATGAGCTCGTATATGGTTGGCTCTGTTGCGATCCTGAGGGTGTTTGTCGGACGAGCGCGTTGGAGGGTGGAAATGGGGATTGTCCTGGGCGAGGATTACTGGAGTTGCCCATACTCCCATTGGGGCCTGTTTTGTTGCTCATGTTTTGCGGTACTCTTTTGGCGCAATTGAGGTATTTGTCAAGTTTGTTGATTGCAACAGGGGTAATTACTACTACTTTCTTGCCCCGGACTCTTTATTGGCGAACTTGATATTCTGAGAGGATCGACTTCTTATATTTCTTGCAGCTCTAGGCAATTCCCAGCTAAGGGCAATGATTTGATTTGCAGTGGCGCCACAATCGTCCAAGTTGAGATTTATGCGTTTCATAATTGCTTATGGTGCTGGCCAGAACTTGCGTTTCCTTAGGGATGGGTCGAGACCTTACGACTTTTGTGACTGGAGACGTTTTAGATTGCCCCCGATCATTCGGAACACCAAAATATCAGACCATTACTTTTTCGAGTCAATGTGGACTTGCATCGGAGTTAAACTGGTTAAATTATCTAATGCTCCTTTAATTATCTAGAGCTTCATGAATCGAATGCCCCTAGATAGCCTGCGGTTATTACTTGGTGGTTGGAACAAGGTTCGTGCCCTGTGCTCTGGGGTTTGTCCATCCGATGCGTCGTTACCACCATCTCTTCATCGGCCCATTTCATTGTTCGTGCTGGTCCCGTAACACAGGTAAAGTGAACCGCACGGTTGAGAAGGGTGACGAAGGGTCAGTTGCTAGTGGTATTGATATCTGCGTGAAGTTGAAGAGGGAGGTGGAGACTAGGGGCCTGGTCTCAGTCCCTAACTTTAGGCCACTAAAGAGGCAGAACCGCAAGACACAGCAGGGATTAGCATCCGCCCAGATACTCTCGACTTCGGACTTGCTCAACGTAGGATACACGTGCGATAAGATGCTTATGATCAAAGACAACACTACAGTCATTGTTCGACTAGCGGACAAGGGAATTATCTCGATAGAAGACCTAGAGGCGAAAGTCGCTGCTAAAAAAAAAATAGCACTGGGAGTGGTAAATCATTGATAATACTTTGCCTTTAGCTTTGCAATCGGCCAACCATACGCGCTCCTTGGCCTCCTTAAAGTCGCTGTCTTCGGCTAACCTAACCATGAAAGTCGAGAAGTAGAATGAGACAATCACAGGATCTGATCACTGGAACATGACGACTGAAGACGTCCCCCATTGGAATATCACAGCAGCCGAGGTCGACCAATCTCTGATGTAATACTCCTTGAAGACTCAACAGCAGCCTACAAGCGACAAGCTCAACATTCTCGCCAACTGCATTGATTATATTCTTGGTCAAATCAGTACTCTCAATACGATGACAAGCCATACCTCTTTTCGGCGCAAAGTCAACGGCCCAGTGCAACACGATCCCAATTCTCCTTGCGTTAATGGCAGCTGCTACAACACCGACGAAAATTGCGAATTCAAAAAAGCAAAGTAAGTTAGATTACACTTAAATTCAAGTGTATATGCGAATGGACAGCCAGCTATGGCATGTTATGCATTTCCAACTACGACGCGAAAGCTATGTGCGGCATCGACTCGGCGGACGATAAGACTGCTTATGGACTCAAGCTCTGCTGTTCCTTTTTCGGCTGGTATGGGACCGAGACCGTTCAATGCCGCGACCCAGAGCCTCAGTACGGCAAGACTCCGTGTCATCAAGGATTCGGGTCGTGCGAGATGAAGAGCACGACGCAGTGCGCCACCAGCTCCGGGACCTCCAACGGACGACAAATAGGGTACTATCAGAGATATAACATACGGGAGAGGGCCTGTGACAAGGTGCGGCCGCGCCAGATCAACACCCGCGGGTTGGCTCATCTCTTCTACTCTTTTGCTTTCTTACACCACACCACCTTTCAGATGATTCCCATGCATGAGGGTGACATCCCCCTTTATGGCGAGTTCACGGCAATCAAACAAAACGGATTGCAGACTTAGATTGCTATCGGCAGTGCAATGATGCTATGGAAATGTCCCTCGCGCTTGCATGATCGCCAGCTGACCTTACGTAGCGGTCATTCAACGACCAAGAGGCAACTCAGACCGCCTTCAGTGACTTGGTGTCGACTGCGGCAAAAGAGAGCCGCCTTCATCGCGTCATTGCCCGATTTCGTGGGAATGTATAGCTTCTAGGGTGCAGATATCAACTGGGAGTACCCATCAGAGCCGAAGCGTGGTGGCCGCGCCCCTGATGTCGCGAATCTAGTGCTCCTGATGAAGGAGATGCGGGCTGCCTTTTCGCCCAAGGGCTTCCGCAGCAGTCTGGCTCTCGCTCCCGACTACTGGTATCTCAGAGGCTTCCATCCAGCCGACATGCAGGAGTATATGGGCTTCATGGGCTTCATGTCAAGGCTCTCGGCTCTATCGTACGGCCGCAAACCGACATCACGGAGATCAAGAAGAACCTGATGCCGCTATAGTACGAAGGCGTCGACCCGGCGAAGATCAACCTTGGCATCGCCTTCTACGGCCGCACGTACAATCTGGCCGACTCAAGCTGCGTGGAGATGGGTTGCCCTTTTGTTCTGGGTCAGGGGGGTGCCGCTGGTGATTGCACCGCATTCCAGGGTGTTCTTTCTAACCGTAAGATCCGATGAATCATCGAGGATCAGAACACCACAACCTCCTTGAACGCAACGGCCATGGTTAGGTACTTCACCCATAGTGGGAACAGCTGGGTAGGCTACGACGACGATGAGACCTACGCCCTCAAGCACGCCTTTGCCAACGACCTCTGCATTGGTCGTGCCAAGATTTGGTCCATTGACTTCGGCGCCGAGACTGGCGGTGGTGGAGCGTTAAATGAGTATATTTCTCCTGAATCAGCAACCATCATCCCAATGGCACACACAACGATCGCCAAAGGGGCAACATTTACACTTGGGCCAGGGGCTACTACCGACATTCCGAGGCTACCGAAAGGTGGCTATCAGAACACACCGAAGTCGGCGGGTCACCCACAGGCTGGATGATCTGTAAGCTGATTGGTTCCCCATCATGAACCGATTGCACCATGTCTATCATGCCACATGGGGATGGGCGGCTATGAAAGATGGGCATCGCTGCAGTGTGCGGGCACTCTGAGCTGCTAGCCACCCAGATCGAGTACTCGCTCCACGTACTCGCTCGCTATGGCATCGTGATAAATTTTACGGCTGATGGCCGCTCACAGGACAGCCGTGCAAGCAGTCTTCCGAGGGCTGGGTACTACTTGTTCCAGCGTTCCCAGATGAACATGAGGTAATGCGAGCCTATCAGTTGCACTTGCAAAACTGCTGGCAGTGAGGGTATCCGTCCCTGGGGATGTATCTACGTCACCAGAAGAGCTATACCAGAAGTTTCCAAGCTTTTGGTTCCTCTTTTCTAAAGTTTGTTGGAGGAACTAGAGATGATCAAATTTGCTAAGATTTACTCCAAGCCATACGAAAATTATGATACATAACGCCTGCACAACGTTAGGTCTGCGCAGGAGAATGGATGTCCAACATAATGTAAATTCCTATCGCTGCAAAATCGTTCGGTGCCGTTGGTCTGTTACTGCTCCGTATGCGTGTCTTGAATATTGAGAGCTCCAACGTCCAAGCCGACTATCTCATCATGACTCTCGGTATCATTCTGGTTTCCGTTCAACAAACCAGAAACGTCAAGGCTCATGTCCTTTGGCCGCATCCCTTGGTCCAGCGCCTCTCTGATGGATCTCAGAAGCACATCGGCCATAGCTTGTTTCCAATCCTCGATGAATGCCTCTGCTTGCTCGTTTGTCTTGAACTTTTTACAGCAGGCACCAGGGGCTTCGTGTAGTTGATTAAGCGCCTGCGTTTTACCACTAATTCCAGTCAGGATCGAATCTTAGTGCAGCAACTGTTGGGTTATTGTGGAAGCTTATACCGCCAATCTTGATATATCCCAGGCTTTCTACCATTTGCGACAGCATAATAGCCGTCAGATGCCTCGTCAGGAGTAGAAACTCCAGTCCCCTCCTTGATCACTCGCCTCGGAGCAAGGACATTCAGATTCTTCATGTAGTCTAACGCCTTCTGAAGGCTACTAAAGCCTTTGTACTCAGCATTGCATCCCGTCACCCGCGGGTGTGCATCACCCCTAGCCGGATTAGTCTCATTAAGTTTACAGGAACCGGAAGTGATACCAAGACGAGAAAATTGTAGGCTCATCGACGCGCCCTTTGAATACAGCGTAGAACTTCGTGGCTTTGGTCTTGCGTGGGGTCATTGTGGAACATCCAGGACGTAAAGTGCGAGGGATCACGGCGTCTAACTCAAATGAAATCAGAAATCTGGTGAGAAATAAACCGTTGAACTGAACACATTCAGTACTTGAATCGAAATGAATAGAGGTTTCAGTCATTAATGTATTGCAAGTGACATACTGACCGTCGAGGATGATCTACGTTGCGTAATTGTCGGCCTCCGACGTCGTGCGCGTCCTTCCAGGAATTGTTGCTGCAGATGAGTGCGTACACATGGTATGATGTGGCATCAATGCGTCAACAGAGTAATGTCTGGACCGCATATGCAGGAGGCCGCCCAAGCTGCAATCCCTCAATCCACGTATTATCACACATGCAATGCAGGGAGCTGCCAACGTGGCCCAACGAACGGTCATGAATGAAAACAAGGCGGGATGAGCAACAAGATTGGTCACGCAGCAAGAATTATGCAGGCTAACAGAGTAGGGCCTTCCACATGATTCTGATTATTTCTATTTTGCGCTGTTAGACGAAGCCATTAATGACAGTAGGAGCGATCGAGAGCACTGACGTTACGTGCAGCGGTTCCTCGGTACGGCAAATAGCTCAGCGTCTCAAAAGCTATGTCGGACAAAGGGAATTGCTGCCGGCACGGACACGCAGGAAGCCAGCTGGGACTAGAGAGAGTGCATCACCGGCTAATGCAACTGCTGAATCGCGGCTCGTCAACGCAATCATAGGTCTCCCTCGATTTCCAGATATTCAACCATCGAAGGGCCAATGTCCCAAAAGGGGCAATGTACAGACTGCGTTATATCCTAACTGATCAATGCATAGGTATGGACCAGAACATCCTCATTGTAATACACAGAGTTGCGTAAGAATTACAAATAAGCGTAGAACTAATGCTCATTTCTACACTAGAGGGCATTTTTAACCGTCAGGAACTCCCTTCAATTATTAAATTGGACGCCGAACTGCTCGTCAACACTTAACAGATCAACCAGCATCTGCCATCAGGGCTCCTGTCTCGACCTCAGAATGTCATCAGGGGACATAATATCTCGTCTCTAATCATCGTCAACGGGCACTATCTCAGTGTGAGGCTGCATCAATCCTCAAATAAGCTGGGGCTTTGAAGTTACCAAATGAGCAAAATTTAGTCGCCGGGAGGTTTCCTTTGGTCTGTCTTGGCTACTGACCTCAAGCAGCGATTTGGCATTGCCAAAGGTTTTCTTAATACCCGGCACCATGATGGGTATGCCACACATTCTTGAGGTCCGTACTTGAACAATGTATATAGCCTCTATGGCATCTGAAAACATAAAGTTCTACAAAGCCGTAGCGGTGGCTGCTCTCAGGCAACAAATCACACCTTGGGCCAAGACTTTATTGCCTCGGTCAAAAACTTCAACAAACTTTGTTCCTTGCATCCATCAAGGTGGTGCAATTATCAACATCCTTACCATATCAAAAGAAGGTCTCCCATCTCCCATCTCTGTTCCTCAGAAAATATTCCTTCACAATACAACAACGCTTCACAAACAACGAAACATACCCTTCTGCATCCGTTGCATCTACAATCGACAAACATACTTCCAACCCAGTCAATAACAAAATCTGCCAACCCCTATGAAGATGCGCATCTCAATTACTTTCTCGGCGATTTTCGTCTTCTTCATCACTACCGTCACTGCCACACCAATGCCCATGCCTCAATACCAAAGAGGTGGAGGAGTACCAAGTGGACAAAGAGGCGGAGGAACAGTGAGTGGACAGCCCCCCCCCCCCGGGCGGAGTAACAAATAAGTGTGTATCTTGGTGACCGAGGCTGATATTTCTTCCTTCTCCTAGCAAGTAAGACAGACAGGCCATGGTACTGATGTTTTGTCGATTGACTAATGAATGCTAGCTTGGATGCTTCGCTGTATGCCTGAGGAGAATCTTTGCGCCAGGGGGGCACAATGCCTGCATGGCGGAGTGTACTGGTCCTTGAGACCCTCGCGATACCGTAGAGGAACGTAGAGGGGTGGAAGCGTCTGTAAGACCTCTTTTGCCCAAGCAGAGTGCATATATTCTTAACGGGGGAACATGAAAAGTAGCGTAAGCAGAAAACGACGACTGCTTCTCTGTCAAGGAGCAACTGCATCTTGGCCAACCGTCTGTCCCGTCGATGAAGAGTTTCAGCCTAGGGCAAGGGAGCGAGTACTGCTATTTTTGGACCTCGACCGAAATAAAACGTTTCCGAGTAAAAGTACTCTTATGGCTGTCATTGGGACATCGTGTAGTGCTTGAAATTGTGGCGCGTTTGCCACTTCGGCGTTGTCGTTTCCACTGTGTTCAGGCTATTTATTGACAGTTTGAAGAAATTCTTCTTAATCAAAGGTCAAAGTATGTATCCCTTGATTCGGGTCTCATCCTGGCCAATCAGAAAGATACATGTACCGAACGACAGGTTCTCCAACGGCGTCGTGTCAGCGACTTGTACTCCCTATGTCACGCCCATATGTGTCGGCCGGCGACTGGGCCGTCGCCTTGACCATCTATATCCAACATTTAGGCGGAACTCAAAAGGCCCACGGTTCCTGTCTATCGTGGGAAACTTGAGGATACATACTCTTCTCAGAATTGGTGATACAACATTCATGAGGGCTTCTCGATGATGATTATGCGGATCCTCATGCTTCTATGAGCGATCTTCCTCTGCAATCTTTCTGGATTTTAGACTCTTGGGGGGAGTAAGGCCGACTTGGCTCACATAAAACGCGGAGTATTAAATACTTTTCCACCTTTCCATCTTAGGACCGGAAGACCTGAAGGTATTCACTCTTGGGCAATTACCCTGATAATCGAACATCATGCAAATTCCCCATGCTGAACTTTTCAACTGTGATTCACCGCCACGAGACAATAGCCGCCCGAACATCTACACCACAAGCACTTCCCTTGCTCAACCTTCAAACCGCCCAACTCAAAACAGTGGACCAACCAAGCACCTACAAAACCCACAGCACCTCATCAGGAATCCCTTGACGCTTGACCCATTGCCGTACCGTCAGCACCATCCCACACACCCCCTGGGTCTCGCCCTCAAGATGTGCACAATCCACATAATCAAATGCCACAAATGCGGCAACATCGAAACAGCATGGCGCCGAACCTGCAAATACACGCCGGCGAACCGCCTCTGTAACCAGGGGCAAACTAATCGAATCACAACCTACCTCCTCCCTGGCCATTGCGACCTCTGCCGGGCGAAGATGGGTCCTCATGATGCTCTCGCCCCCGTCGAGACCACGTCAACGATGGCGGCCCACAGAGCTATCCATCAGAAGAATGAGTTTGAAACCTACAGTTGTTCACGCGGCAGGAGATACGCAAACCGTCTACGCATGATATCAAAATGGCTGGCGTCAGGATCGAAAAGGTCCTTCTCATATCTAGCTCGGACCTAGAACACCGTCCGTTGCGCAGAGCAAAGAGTTGATGGTAGGCTAGGAGGCGAAAGATGAGCAGAGGTTCCGAGCCTCTCTCGCGAATCAAACACGTGGCTTGTGACTCGGATCCGCCACTCATTATATGACGTGGTCTCGGATTCTTGTCATGTGGTTACGTGATGTTAGTACCAGGTTATTTTGGGTCCCGACTCACGGCCCAGACTCCATCGGTTGAGGACTGTCACTCGACATCACAATCGAGTCATAATGTATATGATATCAGTCATGTAGAATCCGCAAAAGAGGAAGTCATGACATGCATCCAATGTAATCTATCTTTACTGGAGAGCTGTTTAATTGATGCGGAATGGTGGTTCATCAAGAATTCCACCCTAAGCAAAGGCTGTCCGGAATGCCAGTAGCCCGCTCAGCCATTGGGCTCGGACGTGGCAGCCATTCGACAAATGCTCAGCCGCATTAGTCAAAAGCTTGGGTAAATTGTGGTGCATCCCCGAGAGTCCGCAAGGGCCCAGAATTGTTGAAGGTTTGGATAATATCAGACGAAGTCAGGCCGGGCACCACTGAAGCACGCGATACCGTTGGTGGACGTCGAAACAAACTCATAACCCCTCTATGACACGCATGGGAAGTAATTTGCCTTGGGTATACTTACAAGTTGCAATCTACCTTACCAATCTACGCAATGCGAGATGACGATGTACACGTGTATGCTGTGTTGTTTCCCAGCATAACAAGCCCCGCCTGCATTGGAAGACGTAGAAACTCAGTGCCCCACCGGATCTCCAACGAGCTCGAATCTTCGCGAATCTTGTCGAGAAACCGGAATGCGTTGCTCACATTCCAAGCAGGGTACAATTGACAAGCGCAGCGATATCCTTGCAATATCAATCAATAAGTCCGCGGCTTACCATAAATGTCTGATTAATGCGAAGCTAGTGAAGAAAACAATATGGTATGAAAATTGCATCTGCATAGTGTGAATGCCCTCACACTTTATCTGCACGACTAGCACATTGGCCGTTTCCTCCAGGAAATTGAAGGTTGAATCTGACAGAGAGAGCCGAGTTGAACTTCTTCGCCTCACGCTGAATTACGTCTGATCATCGACTAGGGAATGATCGCCGCTGATTGCCAGTGTAGGTATGGACATGTCGATCCTTGACGCGGGATCACGGTTACGACGGGCTTGCCCTGCTTGCGTAATCTATCCATGTCCTATGTGGCCAAAATGATGCAGCCACTGTTAACCCACATGACCGAATCCGACTTGTGCGGCCTTAGTCTGTGATCTGCGCTGGCGTGAAAGTCGCCGGACCGGAGCCAGCTCCGACTCGGATACTACGGGTATGGAAACTTGCAATTTCGGATTCGAGATATAGATAATCGAAACACGGCCTACGGCGCGCGCGCGCGCGAATCTCACTTGGAGGTATTGGTAAGCCACCATCAGGCACCAATTGAGTGGAGGCGCGAATGCCAAGTCTGCTGTGGGAAATATCCCCAGTTGCCGACATCACCCACCCATTATCGACAGTGCGGCAGAAGTTTGTCACGGACCTGGGATCGCTAGAGATGTTTTCAAGCTTTCCCAAGACTCGAGACGCGTCTCCACAGACGGTCATGCTCAAGGTTCATCAAAGTCAAGACTGACGGGAAAGCTGGGATGATACGAAAACTCAATCACGATGGGCCCCGACAACGACATCCGTTTCATTTCCTTAACGTCTCGCTGAAATATCTGGATCATGAGGCAGAGTAGCAGAAGAATCCTATCATATCTGCAAACGACTGCAAAAGTCAATAAGGCAAAGGGACTCTTCTCAGAGGATGATGAACCAGGTAACCTGGTTGGACCAGGACCGTTCAGTTGGCCTGTGCTGCTTTAGATTGTCCGTGGCAGCAGCAAGCAATTGCGGCATTGCGGCGACATGACATGCAACACCCTGTCTGTCTCTGCCTGCCGCGAACCTCCCAATGAATCCGCTCTGCACGCAGTGTTTTCTCCAAAGTGACCAACGTGTATTATATCCGCTCTTCTGGGACCAACAGAGAGCATCCGGTGCCTTCGTTTCAGGACAACCTAAACCATCCAAAACCATGATGTTCACAGTATTGCCCTTGCTGAATCCCTGCATGACGAGGCCCAAGTAGGACTGTCGAATCTGCCAATCTGGCCGGAAGTGTCCGTCACCCGCCACGCTGTCGGCCAACGCCCCCCGTCCCCGCTCGATTACCAGGGGCCACAGCTCTGGACGGCGGGGTAAAACTTCGCGAATACGACTTTGTCTATTGAACCAAGTTTTCCGGCTTAGGTCTTCTCATTAGCATTTTGGCGCAATGCACACCGGGCAGCCACGAGTCTCTTGATTTCAAGAAGCTGGATGTCTCGGGTTATGCGGATTCGGGTGATAGAGGGAATGACTTGGGCACAGTAGAGCTTCTGCTTCAGACGGCGCGATCCCTGGTAAACCATCTTTTCGAAGGGATCGCCAGGCGAACGGACCACGTTCGGTCCAACCACTGCGTCTGCATGGCTGCGTGGCTGCGTGGCTGCTTGACTGCAGTGCTCATGCTACCACATCTGCAGTAGAGAAAGCATCAGCCTCAAATTGGTGGGGTTTAGGTCAAGGTTAATCGCTGTGTCTGGTGGCTTTTTAGTTCCATCTTAACGGGAGACCCAGAGGGCATTCCCGTCCAGGGTCTCACTTTGGGGCGGGACGCGGCCATTTTGCTTTCTCGAAGCCACCAGAAACTTCAGGCACCCTGTGGTCCGTTGTCGCTGGTTCTCCGACACGCCGCCACATTCCATGAGATCGACTGTTCTCAGGACGCAGAGGTAATGGCGTCGTTTGTTCTCAACTGACACGATCTTCGTCGTGTGAACCTGACAAGGACAAGGATTCTCTCTTCGCAGCGTCCGACATAACCGATCGTAAGATGTCGTCAGATAGAGGCGAACAAAACCGTGATCCTCCGAGTTTTCCAGAAACTCAAAGAATTGTCCCAAGACTCAAGAAGAAGGTAAATGTTTTTTTTTCTGCCCTCGTGGACCGCAAACCCTTGAGGCAATGGGGGCGTTTTTGGTCACCCCCATTCCTGGTAGTGTCGATGACGTCTTGCGAGCCACAGTTGGGCTTGAGTGAGCGGCAGGGGCCTGGGATGGACAGATAACCGGAGAGCCACGCGGGCGGCCCGGCCAAGCATGTCTGTCCTGGCCCTTGCTGGCATTGATGCTTCTCTGGGCAGCGGGCCACAACGTTTTGCGAGGGTCGACACCTCGGCGCCGGTACGATTAGCTACCGTGTTGCGACCGGAGCGAACAGTCCAGAACTCTGCGCGAATGTCAGATGGTGGGACCGGCACTGGGAGACCGAGGATGACCAACAGCACTTCCCAAGGTCCAGAGGGCGAAAGAATAGACTGGAAGGCGACGGGCGTGGCGGAGTTAAAACGGCCCGCCTGATGTTGGTCGATGGGGAAAAGCTTTCCGTAGCTGAGGGGCCAATGATGGATGGAAGAAGCAGAGTAAGGCGAGGCTGGCATGCAAGAAGATAATGGAAGTGTGATTGAAGAAGAAGAAGAAGAGGATAGTTGAGGAGCGAGGCAAAGGTAGGGAGGGTCAGGTACAGAATGAAGATGCCTTCCTTACCTGGAGAGGAGACGAGGGCCGCACAGCAGGAGCAACTGAGCCAGCCGAAAGTACCAGCTACATGCCACCCCCGAAGTATTGGACCCTTTTTCTTCGTCTTCTCTTTTTACTTTGGACCTTCCCTGAGTGAACATAATGTACTTGACGGGGCTTGGGGCCGAGGTCAGCAGGACCGTTCTGGGACCCAGACACTTTTCGCTCTGTCTCGCTCTCTCTCTCTCTCGCTCTTTCACCACCTTCAACTGTGCCACCTCCCTCAGCCGAGTGAGATTGGACAGGGGAGGCCGCTGAGGGCCACCAACTGTGGCTTTCTCTCCCTCAAAATGGACTCTCTCTCACTCCTCCAGGCCTCCAGGAGTCCAGGACTGGCAACTGGCACAAGTGCACTGCACTCCAGTCTCCAGTCTCCGTCCCAGAAAAAGAGCAAGAGTGGGTCCCGTTCGGTACCTTAGTAGTACCACGCAGTGCTCCATGCAGCCCCATAAGCGCTGCCTTGCCGCTCGGGCCTATCACAGGGATATACGGAGCATTTGCTCCGGCAAGGCCCGGCTTGTTCTCAAAGCTATGCTGTGAGTTGGAGATGCCCCCATTCGACTTTTCACCCGCTCGCTCCCTTCCTCATCCCACCCATCAAAGGGCCCAGACTGTGGCTTTGCACCCTCTCATGTGCCTTACCTGACCCGGGCATGGGCCTTACCTGGGGATGCAGCTGGAGGGGGAAAAAGCTTTCTGGCAGGCAAAGTGTACAGAGTACCTCTGACATGAGAGGGGAATACTGTGGGAGAAAGAACGGGATATGGAACGCACCAAAATATATACCCAACCAGATCAATTTTGTCCCGTATGGTTAGAACTGTGCTTTGCTGTTGTCGCCTTATCCGCTCCATTCCGCCGCCGCCAGAGTTGCCCTGCCCTTCTCATCTTTACCTTTCTTCCCTTCCACTTTTCCTTCACAAGTTTACTCGCCCCCCCGTTACCTTCTTTCCGTTTCCCCCCCCGAGGCACCGGTACACCGTACACCACCTAGACTCTTATCCCGTCGATTCCGTTGCGTACTGGCTCGCCTCTCCCGCCCCGGTCCAGACACCCTGTCCGCACCGACCAACCAGAGGAGAACCCTTTCCGTATCCTCCGTCCTTAACGTCTGTCGTCGTCGAAAACGCTCCGGCCCAGCAAGGGCCATAGTGGAACCTGCGTGTGGCAATTCCTTCAAAACCTTGCCCTCCATTGGATGAGCGGAACCCAGGTCGCGGGGCAGCCACAGCTGTTGTTTATATCAGCCACACCTGGGCCGCCGGTTTGGCACGTTGTCCAACTGGCTCTGTGGTCCTTTCGTCTGTTGCTCTCTTGTCAGTCATTTTAATCCGGGACAATATTCCCATGTTGCCCTTTTTCGAAAACACTTCCTCCTCATCACTCGTCACACGCTGTCCGAGAGGCTCAACATCCTTTTCACTCGGCTTTCATGTGTGTTGAGCACAAATCTGTTTGTCCAGTCTGCCGGAGACTCTACCTCGTCTATGTCGCTTTTTGTCACGCATATCACCCTCCTTTATTGGAGTGTCCATATGGCGTTGTAGTACACCCGATGCAGATGCTCGACGGGCGATGCCCAAGCCCTGTTTGCCCAAATAGCCGCGTGGGGGGCTGTTTGGTTATTTAGGGAGAAGCCCCGGAAAAGAAAAGAAAAAAAGAAGAGCCCGACTGTAAGTACCCTGTGTGAGGTGCGATTAAAGTTTATCAACTGACAAATTTCAAAGCTTCTGGCCGTTATTGTCAACCTCCACCACCTGGTCGATGCCTTCGTACTGCGGAATTTCCAAATTGTATTTCTCAGCAATACCCGGCGATACGAATCTGCTCCCAAGGTCAGCCAACAAAATTATCTAGCCTTTGAGTACTGGGCATTTCAGGGCATACCTCCCACCGATGAAATGGCGTCCTTTGAAGTGCTTTACCAACGGCTTCGGTGCTGTGAGGCTGACGAGAACTTCAGGCTGGAACGAGCTCCCAGGGCCGGACGGGGGCGGGCCACTCTCGATATCCCATGAAGAAGGGGCGTCAACCGAAGTTACCGGCAACTTTGTTTCTTCCAGCGCCTTGATTACTGCGGGGAAAGGCTCCCGGACCTCTCCCGAAAAGCTGAATCCTGATGCCAAAACGTCAGGCGCACGCACGGAATACAGTTTGGCCAAGGGAGAAATAACGAACCGAAGATTGCGTCCACGATGTGATCGGTAGATTCTACAGCCGCAACGAAATCGTCGACAAACGGGACGTCCAAATCGACCAGCTGCTGTGCCAACCGCTAAGGAATCGGTCAGCCAAGTTTCGACCCATGGCAAGCCCCGCACAGAACGAAGGGGTCAATTCTTATGGCAGCACCATATACACGCCAGAGTGCTGGCCATTTCTTTCCTTTCCTCGAGAAAAGAATCATAGAGTTGTGCATTTGCATAGCGCGGCATGGGAGGAAAACAATAGCGTTTGAGTTTGGGTGACGAAGAGCTCGCAGACAAGGAGTCGCCACTAGATGGTATGTAATTGCAAGATCATCCCCATGTACTATGCGCCGAATGAATCGATCGAGATAGACAAAAGCGAATGATATCTTCACTCACTTGATATAAATCATTCTTGCTTCGTTTGGGATAGTAGATGGTAGGCTTGTAGCCATAGTGACGGAGGTGTCGAGCAGCCACGAGGCCGTCGCCACCTAGGCAGGGGTCTTGGTCAGATGCTTGATGGCTGAGCGTACTAGATTCAGTTGAAAGGACTCACCATTGTTACCCGGGCCGCAAGCAACAAGAATGTTCAACCCTCGGCTGGGAGGATGAACACGATAGACTGCATCAAGGGGTCAGAGGGAAAGCCTCAAATGAAATTCATGCACTGAAGGAGAACTGACTTGCTTGTGAGACGGAAAGTCCGGCAAGTTCCATAAGCTGGTCAATGGAAAAAGCGCCGGTGCTCATGAGATCCTTGTCCAAGGCCGCAGCAGCCTTTGCACCAAGAGTCTGTTGGTGTCAGCGAAAGTCCCGTTCTACTGCAACCTCAAGTCACCCACTCTGAGGGCCATGTTGTTGACGTATCCGTGACGCTTCGCTTGTGTAGGAGGGTCCAGGGCGTTTTCTGACGGTCTTTCAAGAGTTGATGTAGCGTTGGTGTGATGGTTCGAGATGTGCTGGGGAAGTCGGAAGGTGGATGAAGATGAAAGGGACGTGCGACGGGCTGACATCACTCCGCATCGGACTTTACCATACCGGTCAGTAGCGAACCACACGACCGGACCGCAAGGACGACCGCCGGTTCGGCAGTCACCGAATCTGGGCCCGCACAGTCCATACAGTGCTTTCTCGAAGCATTTAGTTTGCACAAGCACTGGATCGAGTCTTGAGCTTCTACTTCAATCTCCACAGAAAACTGCTCTGTTTGCTAAACCCTTTTTATCTAACAGATATCAACTAACTTTATCAATGGCTATGACTTAACGTCCCTCGTATGCGACAATCTGCTTGACTAGAACGGGAGTTGCTCAGTGGGGTAATGTTGTCCTTCAAAATCCTTGGAGTCGACATCTCTCACGGGATGCCCCCTCCGATATCGAGAACTGTCCCGACCCACCCGGTATTTCCTCCCCAGATAGCCTCAGCAAAAGCCCGCATCATGTCAGTGCCATTTAGCAACGAGCTCGAGGTCCACAGCTTTTCGTCATGCGCCCAGCGAGTCTCAACCCATTCGACGACCGGCACGCTCTTTTTCATGGCATCGACCATCATGCGGGGGCAAGTTGCCGTTTTGCCAGCCAGAAGCCCGGCTTCAAGAAGCGGGAAGATGCCACCGCAGATGGTCAAAAAGGTGGTACACCGGTCGCAGAGCTTGCGGATGAGGGCGATCTCGGCTTCGCTGGCCTTGTAGCCGGGGTTACGCGCTCTCATCAGGGCGACATCCAAGGGCGCGCAAGACTCAAAGGAGTCTCACATCATCATGATCTTGTAGTTAGAAAACTACCTTGTTCTATTCCCGCTCTTTTAACTTCCAGTTGGCTGGATCTGAGCCATGCTCTTTATCTGAGCCGGGTTCCCGTTCTCGGTGATCCAGTGGAGTTCAAATTCGAGATTGCCCTCCCACAATTTCTGTGGTAGGTTCAACATTTGACGCGAAGGCTTGTCGGTCCATGGAAAGAAATCGAATGGGGCAACATAGAGCATCTCTACCACGTTGCTATGTGTCAGTTTGTTCGCTGGAAGAGAATGAGGTACTGATATTCACCCTTTGGTCAGGATAACGCCGGCATGAATCTTACGAATAGGCTCGCCGAGATTGAACTCTATGGATACGTGAGAATTAGCGTCTTGAAAGGGTTTTCTTTGAAAAGCTGGACATGTGCGAGGTCAAATGATGGTGACGAGGATGTTTATTTTCTTTTCAAGCTCCAAGTCCAAGTGAGAAGTACAACCGCATCTTATGACTACTTACACGAACTGATCAAAACGACACATGCCACAGAGCACGTCAAAGCTTAAAGCCGACAGCTCTCCGCGACCGTAGGGCCAGCTCGTACCGGAATGGTCGCATCGTTTCTAGATCCGATTGGGGTTCGGAAATTATGCCTGCTCCCGGCTCACTAAGTATCCCTAAACAAGAGTTGAGATACAAGAACCTCACAAGGACTGGATGCAGTCTGTCCTCTGTGTTCCTCACTTGGATTTTTTTAAATCACTCTTGTGCAATGATTATGTACTAAAATCGCCGCGATGCATTGGCTCGCGAGTTTGAGAAGAAAGCCTTATGACAAACCTGGACTGGACCGCGGCAAACCCGTTTCCATCAATTATATCCTCAATCAACCTTGTCAGTATCAAGATTTGCACTGTTAACTTCCCACCTCCGAAAGGATCAACACATTCCATGGATGGCCCCGGAAATCACAAGGAATCAGTCCTTAGCCTGCTTTTAACGGAACTTACACGCGTTCACCTGGTGCAGTCGGGTTGGAGATTCCGCGTAGAGATATAATTCATACTATCTATTCTGACACAGCGTCAGAATCTAGGAAGGCATGCTGGCCATAGTTCAAAGTGTTGAGATGATCAGGAGTACTCTACATACTGACTGCCCCAGTGGTTGGGTCCAATAACCCACACCCAAATCGCTATTGTCACTATGTGGCAATCTTCAATGCATCGGAGAAATAGAACTACTCGCTGGTTGCCTTTTTGTAAAATGTAGAATCTACCGCCCGATACGGGAAAGAATGTTCATCACAGGTCAAGGTTCTTTCAAATCGGATCCGAAACTCCCATATGACTCTCTCGAACCGCCCCGCCCCAATGCCCTCTCTTTGTCCTCACTCGCCCTGGTTCCTACAGCCTCTGCAGGTTTTTTTTTTGTGGTTCTCAGTGATGGCGATGTAAATGACGACTATGAGCAGTATAGGGGCCACGACAATGGCGACAACCACAGGGACAGTGCTGTTGGCGAAAAGGCCTGAGCTCGCTTGTTTCATGCCATTTGAGGTCGGTATAGATGTCTAGGGATAGTGAGTCTCAATTCACGACCGGTCGAACTTGACCGGTCGAACTTGTACTTGGGGATGAAGCCCACATCTGAGGCTGCTGAAGGGTTCACAGAGGAGTGGTTGTGGTCTCGGGACATTGTGGAAATTGGGTCAACTAATCCCCGCGTGGAGCTAGATCAATGAGCGTGACTACTTGAAGATTGCCTGCTTGATTTTGTGAGAATAATGGAGTTACATGTCGCTGAACTAAGCATCAAAAATGAAGTGTATTGCACCTTGAACTTTGGGCAATTAGTTGACCTCTTCGAATGCAGAACTTCAACTATTACCCCTCTGAAGGAAATTTAGGAACTCACACTTTCTATACTCATGCTAAATAGCAAGTAGGCGATCGCGGAATTTCTTTTTGGCCAAAAATCCATGCAGTCATCCATCATAATTTTCCAGGGCAAAAAAAGCGAGGACAGTGATAAAATGCGTAGCCAAGGCCGAAAGAAATTGTCGTGCCGGCGCCTAGTCAAGCCTGGAAGGGAAGCGTGCAACGCAAAAGTGACCAAAATCCGATCGCAATCGTTTTGAGGCTTTTCAGGCTCTACCTCCCAACCCAGTAGCTCGTACTGCTTGGGGTCCTCGATTTGGGTAGGGCGTCAGAAGACAGCGCCACCGAGGTGCGGAACCCTGCGCGTCATCTTGTCTAGCTAATGAGAGTAGACCATCTGGCGCGCGTATTCTCACTGCATGTTCACGTCGAGAAATAGAATCCTCGATTATTCTCACTCAAAACCTTTGAACACTCGTGGAGCGAGGTTGAAAAGAGGCTGCTTACATCATGTCAGTGAGATTACAGCCTACCTTATGGTACACAGTGTAACTACCCTGCGTCGAAAGCTCGGAACGAGCCGGATAGGGCTTCGGGCAGGCCGAAGATATTTGACTGATCTCTTATCATGCAAAAAAAATCGCAAAAGGGTACATGGAAGTTTCTCGGGCGTGTGAAGTTCACTATATGACTATCTCAGATACTGGTGTTGGATGTTCGGAGAAGTCACCTTACACCACTCTGACACCGAGCTTCACCGAGGCGCTTTACAACGGTGATCCGTGCACCGAGGTTGAGCTGCCTGTACCCACCCGTTCCTGAGTTAGCGGGGCCGTAAGGTAGGTAAACAATGAGGGACGTCTTGCTGCCAACAACCCCCTCCAAGCCCATCCTCCAAGAACAAAACCAGTTCAATCTGGAAACACCACGACTGGCAGCACATCGTCACCACGCGCAAATCACCCTACCGAACCTCCCCAACGAGGATCACGAGGAATTGGGAAAAAGTCTCAACCACAAAAACCTCACATTCAACAAGCTGCCTTGCCGATCACACCGCAACACACAAATCATCATCACCGACCCGCACGCAATCAAACACCCAACCAAGAACCAACAATAACAGCGACGACCAAAGCCTTCAGCGAAAGAATGGCCCAAAACGCAGCAACATACGCAGACTGCGTCGCCTCCCTTCGCTCCTCCCTAACCTTTCTCGAAAACTCGGTATCGACCCTCGACACCGGCGTCTCCGACCTCCCCCGCCTCGCCTCCGTCCTCCGCCCGACCCGCCATTTTGAGCTCATTCCGCAACCCACCCTCGCCGCCGCAGAGGCCTCGTTACGCGACGAGATTGGCCCCCAAATTGCAAAACTCCTCGACAGGGCCGACGCGCAAATCGCGCGCCGCGAACGGCGCATCGAGACGCTGCAGGCGCGGTGCGAGCTCCTGCAGGGCCGGTTGGCGGCGCCCTCTGAGGAGGACGAGTATGGGTACTCTACGGCGAAAAAGCCCAAGGGGAGAGACATCGGTGGTGGTGGAAGCGGCGGGAAGAGGAAGGGGTTGAATGGGGAGAGCGCGCTGCGGGCTAGGGCTGTGAGACAGAGGAGGGAGGGGTTGGAATACAGCGTCGAGAGGCTTGAACTGGAGGTCTTGACAAAGGAGCGGGAGTTGAGGAAGAGGCTGGACAAGGCTTGAAAGAAGCGTGGGTACTGTCGAGACGGCTGAACGACATTCTGGGCTTGGTGCGAGGACCTGGCAGTTTGCTACTATCGGTCAACGACCTACGAGCTTCAGAGAAACGAGGGCGGACGGAGATTGCTATGATACCCTACGACTGATAACGAAGAAAATCCCTTTATCGACGCACGTGTTCTGTCAGCGACGACACATCACTAGGGAAGCCGATTGAACATGGCTTCCCGTATTCGCAGATGTTCCTTTCTTTCTGGCGGGGGATGCTTGGATTGCGTTTGTCTTTACTTCACGTGTTGATATTTTGTGATAGTAGATTGAAGAATCTCATTCTGACAACAAGACGCAAGCCTCAACGTCAGCTGCTTCACCAGTCATGAGAGCAATAAACAGCACGTGAACATATGCAAATGCCATTTGTGAAGCAGCAAGGGAACACCAACATGCATGGGGATCCCACCTGCGAGCTACCATAGCTATCCGAATGACCGACCCGTTGTTCGTGAAAAACGTCCCAGAAAACACAAAAAGAAAACGCACAATCCCTCTGCTCGAGCGACAATGACAACATACAGTAGCAGTAATAGGGAGAAGGCCGGCACGCGACGGTGGGCGGATAGAAGTAGAAACAACAAGTGGAAGAAGGGAAAAGTGAAGCCGTTTCGGCGGATATACTGTGCCGCCCGTGGCTCGAAAAAGGCGGCGATGATTTTATCCCGGACAAGAGACCTTAATGTACTCCAACAAGCATGTGAGCGCGAAACCATTCCATGTCCCATATGGTCATTTTTTGCTCCATCTCCAACGGTGAAATGAAATTCATGAGCTCATTATAACAGGATCAGGTAGTTGCTTGGCGCGATACCTGTCTCGCCCGTCTCTTTGCGTGCCTGCCACCACCTTCCGCTCACATCGCTGACCTCCAGAATCTCGTGCTTTGAGAATGAAATCTCGTTCGCGTCGTCGGGGTTGGCCTCGTAACTATAGATGGCCTTCGCACGATAGGGGTATTCGGTAGGTGGCACCACCTCCTGGTCAAGACCCGGAGGCTTCGCGGCAGGCGGCGCCGCATTGAATGTCGGGGCTATTCCAGAGTTGCGGGTCTGGGTGGTAGGAATGCCCTGAACGGGAGACGGGTTTTCGAAGCCGTTGAGTTGCGCCGAAGTGTACATCTGGGGGGGCTGAACCGAGGTCGAGGTTTCGGGTCGGCCACCGCCATACATCATCTGTCGGTTTCCAGACTCTTTTTGGAGCGCAAAGGAGTCGAGGTAAGCACGCGGCTTCGCTGACGGGGCTGAGCCGAAGTAGAAAATCCACACAATCTGGGGGCGCGGGGTCAGCATTCGGCACAAAATTCGACTCGGAGAGAACATACGGTGACCATGGCCATGAGAATGAAGCCAGCGCCTGCAGCCTGGCGAGCACCGTTGGAGGAATAGATGAGGGAGTGAATGGTCAATGAATTCAGGGCCAGTGCGGCACCCAAGTATCCCGTAAGGGCGACGTGGTATGTTTGCGCGGTGTCGGAAGCCACCACGACAAAAACTCCTGCGATCAGGAAAAACATGTATACGACGGTCCACCATGCGAAAGGCGGGAATGAGCCGGAGCTACTTGTGACCTGGGTTGTCGCGATGATGGAGCTGATGAAAGCAATTATCCACGCAAGCTAAGGGGCTGTCAGCACAAACGTGGCAATCGAAGGAGAGAGGGCTGGAAGGTCTACAGGACCTCTCGGATATCGACGTACCATGGAGATGGAGACTGTAGCCAGGGCGAAGGGATCGCCAATAATGTTCCCCAGATTAATACCCTTTCTCCCGTACTGAACCCTTGATTGTTCCATTTTGCGCAATGATGGTGAATGAAGAGAGCCGTAGGATGGCATAGAGAAGGTTGTGCGGGTTCGTCGGGTGAAGAGTTAATTGCCTCGGGGCAATTTTCGAGAGCGAACCTCGAAGAATATCACGTATGCGAAAATGAGACGAGTGACTGGAAGACGTCGACGTGCGAGCAATCGAAGCGGATTGACTGATAAAATGGACGAAGCGGTGCTAATCCAATCCAACGGTAGATACGTAATTCGAATGCCGGAAGGGGGTTGTCGTGGCTGGAATGCAAGACCTCGGGAGACTGGGGTGGAAAGGAGTGACTGGTGGTTGGGTTATCGGCCAAAATAGAAAAAGGGTGCCGTAGAGGTTGTTGTGAGGAGGGTGCGCTGTGCTGTTCAGTGCGCGAAGTAGCGTGTGCGCTGTGCTAAGCTGAGATGAGCTGAGCGTTGTATTCGACGTGGCTAAGGCAAGGTAGGCAGCGAAGGAAGTCTCGATTGAATGATGCAGGTAAGAATTGGGATTTCGAAAGCGAGTCGATCGTTTCAGATGGTTGTCCAGCAAGGCAGCCTATGTTCTGGGGGATAAAAAAAGACAACGGTAGTCGGAATCTGTAGGCAATTCAAGTTGGGAGCGATGAAACGAATCGAAGACGGCGATGGATTGCTGTCGATTGGGGGAAGAAAGGGAGAGCCGAGGGGTCCAGAGTCGAAGGAGCGAGGAAGAATCGGAAGAAGGGATGTAGGATTTAGAAAATAACAGTGGAAGATGAAATCGATATCGAGTCGAAAAGTCCAAAGAGAGGAGGTGCGCTGCGTCGGGAGACGGACGACAGTTGTAGGAACAGCAGGCTTGAGCCAAGGCTGGCGGTAGAGGAGAGAAGGGGTAGGCGTCGTTGGCGGTTGACCGCGTGAGATAAAGGGCAACGACTAGCAAGTTCCCAAAAAGGAAGCCGGCGGCGTGGACAGCGAGGCAGGAAAAAAGCCGTCGGACCAGCCAGACCCAACTCACAGTGGTGAGGAGAGGAGGAGGTGCAAGTCTTGTGGCGTCGATTCCGTCCTTGTTTGGCGTCTTCCTCTAGCACTTAGTTCTCGGTCGCAACGGGTGAAGCTGGTGTGCCTGTTGGTACGGATACAGAGTACACCTTTTCTATCTTTCTCAGGCTTGGAAAGGCTCGAGTTGAGGGAGGAGGGCTAGACTGAGGTGGGTTGCTCGTGGCACCCCCGGATCGCGTGTTGATGTGCAAACCCGCGCCCCTATTTTCTTTTTTGCGGTGCCAATCTGGTGCCAGTCGGGTGCCGTCGCGCCCCGGCGTGAGGTGTGGACGGACTCGTTGCTCGTTTGGCGCTGCGGCTCGCGTCGTGTGGTTCTGCTACTACGGCGGCGGCGGCGGCGAATGTATTTGTTAGGTATTCTTCTTCGGCCAACCCTCTCACGCTGATGTTGTTCCTTTGACTCCCGTCAGCACAAAGCCAATTCCCAGTCCTTGACTCTGTAGCTCGCTCAGGTGGTCGACAGCGGGCAGTAACGGGGATGAGAACCGGATTGTCGCAGAAAAGGGTAGAAAGGGATGAGAGGAATGATCGGTGGGGTGGGAAGAATGGAGATAAAAGAGGACTGGGCAGGCCACAGCGTACAGTGAGAGTGGGAGACAGCCGCGTCCACAACCCAAGTGAAGCGCAGATAAGATGCAAGGGTTGTTGCTGCAGGATCTCAGGCTGTGCTGGCTGTGCCGGCTGTGCCTGCGACTAATTACTTTACCTGGTCAAAGGGCGAGGAGTCGAGGACTCGAGGAGGGGACTGGACGGTGGACCCAGGGTCAATGAGACGCAAAACGTGGACGTGGACCAACCTCAGGGACGCGGTGGAGGAGGTATCCGTACCTTGGGAATACCTACCTTACCTACCTACGGATACCTTACGCAGTACGTACGTACGGATAGAGGGGGAGGACCCAGACCCAGATCCAGGCCCGGGAAGCGAGACCAAGCATGTACCCATGTACATTGTAGTGCGGCGAGAGGGAAGAAGGGGATACGTGGAAGGCAAAGGGAAAGCAGGCAGGTTTCACAGCGCTAATACTAAACGATTCGTCACTGCACTGCTGGGGCCGTTGGACGGGCATACATATGGTGAGGTGGGCAATGGATATTAACGGCAGCCATCATCAAGTAATTGATGGCCCATGCAGCAATGCGCACGAGGTCGAGAACTGAGGTGTCCGTTGCCAATAAAATCGACCGGGCAGCGCTGTATTACAGGCGACTCGATGCAGATGCAGACACAGCGGGGCAGATATACTGGTATTCATCATCGTAAAGTACGGATACCTAAGGTACCCAAGGTAAGGTAGCCATGCTGGAATCTGAGCCAACCGAACTGCGCGCACGGCAATGTGGAGTAATCCCAAGTAGACCTGGCGGGAAGAAGGGAAGTCCTTGATTGTCGTCTGCTTCCTGCTGTGTGTTGCACCGCACCGTTTCCCAATTTTGTCTTTACACCGTGCAACGCCTGGGTGGGTCCTCCCAGTCGGTACGGGGCGACGTACGTCTCCCATGTCCCCAGGCCCCGTGCCTGAAAGTCTAGCCCAGGGTATTCTGGCCGGTTCAAATCGGGCACGGTACTTGTCCCAAAAGAGCCGTCTGATAGCCTGGTACCTGCCCACCATGCTCGTCTTGGGGGGATCTCCCGCCAAATCCCCGGTTTCCTCTATCACATCCCCAGAAACCGTTGGTCCCTGCTTGTCCTATCTGTCTGCTGACTGTCTCTGCGGCCTGCAAAATGCGGCCTGCCCAAACCCCCTTGTCTGAAATTTGAGGCTAGCGGGTTTGAGATCATTTTGACTTTCCAGTGGTCTCTCGAGGTTCCTGAACTTCCTGCAAGGCATCCCACCAGCAGCATTGGACGAGCCTGGAGATAGCGGCGCATGATTGGCTCTCGGTCCGGTCTACCCCTGACCAAAAGCCCACTCCATCCATGTGCGAGGGATGTACGGTAACGGGTACCTCAGGTCCTCCACTCAGCAATTCCCTCCAATTTGGTCCAGCTCACCTCTGAGTCCCTGACACTGCTTGCCTTACCTGAGCCTGTCTACCTATCCGTGCCTATTCGTAGACGGGAGGTGGGGACATCTTGTCGGTTGCTATCGACAATCGTGGAGAACCGAATTGTTTGACGCCGCCTTGCCGCCCGCCGTGTCTCTCCCACTGGCGTCTTATCCTCCATCGCGGCATCGCCACTACGGTGTCCATCCCATCGTCCCGTTGCACCATGCTCTCTGACGCAGGGGCACACCACCACGGCATCACCATCCGCCAGCTTCTTGTCGTTTCATCACGACCAAAATGCACTGGTGCACTGCAAGCGCGGACAGAGATCAGCATGCGTACACTCGATTTGGTAGGTAGGAGGAAGAACTCGAGGGAGGCTGCCAATGACCAATACTAGAGAGCCGAGTCTCCCGATCTCAGACACACTTCGATGCCCAGCTCTTGGGCCCTCACCCGTCTTTCGCTTGTCTTCTCCGGAGCTCAATGACATGGACCGATGGTCCGGCTTGCCTCTGACGCACGCGCGCTACAAAGTATGCACCACGGCTCCTGGCAGCTGTCCGGATGGAACCTGATGATACCGTGCCACGGTCAGAGCCGCCGTGATCAACTTGGTCAAACTCGACTGACTGCCTTCGACCCGTTCGACGTGCAGGAACACGGGTGCCTGTCACCTTTGCTCGCCCGCGCTTGACTCCCTGCTCACCCCAGCTGCCAGACGACATGTGCTGCTCTGCCGGTCTCGAGGCGCCTTTTCAAACCGAGCTGTGGTCCAGCACATTGTTCTGCAGCGACCACTCAAACGACAGACAGTTGGCCGTTGACGGTCTTTCAACGTCCGAAACCACAGAAACCAAGAACAACAACAACCTGCTGCCACTAAGCTGTCTCGCAAGCGCCAATAATCGCGACCGAATCCCGATATGTCTAGATCTACTGGGAACGTGGCTTCGTCTAGTCACACCAGTCTTCTCGGTCGCCGCCTCGTGAGCGCCCCGGCTCCACTCCAAGTCCATGACAGATCTCTCGGAGAAACAATCTAGTATTTTAAATAAAGTCCCTAGATACAGCTTCGGGTCTACAGCTTCTGGTCGCACGCTTGTGGCACCAAGGAGAAAACGTGCAAGCTTTCGGGTCAAGGATAGCCGTTGCTGCCACACAAACCGCACAGCCCTCGCACGTCACTGATATCTTCTTGACTCGCACTCTCTCCTTTCATCCCAACATCCAACTTTTCCATAATTCGTTTGCGTTTCTGGGGGAACTCCGAAGATCCTGTTGATCGACTTCCGTTCAAACGTCCGGGAGGCTTTTTTGGCTGAGCAACGGCAGCCCATCGAATAGAGCTGATGGACATCTGACCTTGGACCTCGCCCTAGGGATTTGCTTGCCTAGAAAGGACGAGGCCTAGTATCGGCCTTGAGTCGGCTCGATATGGCCAACGACTCCGAATTTGAAATACCATTGACCGCGATTTCATACGACGTTCGGCCGGTCACCGGGTCTTTCTGTGGCCACCCACTGATAGTCCCGCTGTCATCATGGTCCAAATCCTTGCCGTCGACATTAAATTCCTCGCCTTTGTCATCAGAATTTTCGATCAATCTTTGATGACAGCAAGGTCTAAGAGGTTCAGTGGGGTGCATCTACCGGCCGACGGAATATCCGTCACGCATGTGCTTCCGGGGGGAACGGACGGACGGACTTGCTGTCAAAAGGACTGTCCAGATGAGCCGTCGGGCCGTCTGTTGAACGAACTAGGCATACTGGCAAACTATGGCACGTGCAGAAAAGTTCTGTACCCTCGTCTTCAGTCGTTCATGAACGCAGCCCGATGGTGGACATCGTTTGAGCGTTGGTGGTGTTCATGCACCCGAAGGTCCCGAGACTGTTCCTAATTCGAATCCCCTGGAACCCGCCCTATTTCCAATCTGGGGTTCGCCATTTCCGTGTTGGCAATACGCCCAGTCTAGGACGAAATGATATCTCAATGTCAACCTCGCGAGCGGGTGGCGCGGAGAGCGTTCGCTAGAAGGCTACGATGGCAATGCATGATTTTTCCCAGCTGTGCAGACGATGTTCCAAAGACGAGATCTACAGTTTCGAACTTCGTAACGCTGCGATCACTGATTGAGCTTGCTGTAACCAGTAGGCTGCAGCATTAGGAACAGTTATTGAAGCATCTGTGGCACACTGTGCTTCTTAACAATTTATACCAAAGCCCCTACCTCCCTCTCCAGCCAATATCCCTGAGGGCGACCCCTGCGTCTCTCACGAACGCCCCAATATTCAGCAAAAACAGCGAACCGCACGATTGGGCGATCCTCGCTTCCAGCCAAATCGGTTCCACGGTCCTTCCCTTGCATGCAGCCGGCGCTTCAGTGGCTTTCGTTCTGCCATGTGTGTGGCTTGACACGTCAGCTCCAGGAATCTCAAAACAGGAAAACGAACATCTGGTGACCCGGTAGTTTGGCTGACGCGGGGTATGAAGCTTCGCAATTTTTACTATTGGCTAACCCTCGATGATCGCATCCATACCCGGTATCTCCAGTTCTGTTCTCAGCTGTTCTCAGGCCTGAGAGTAGTCGAGAGCCGTATGGTAGAACGAATCCAGTTCTGTCTGTAGAACCACCTCCGATGGACTCGAAGCTGTACTGACACACTGGCAACTCCCCCACTGCCAAGAGGGGTTGTCAGCCGCTTGGTACCATCGACTTTTAGTCTGCCATCCGTGCCCGGCGTTCACGGACGAGGCCCCCTGAGAGGTGCATTCGACAGAACCCGAAAACCCAAGCTTTTCTGGTCTGGCAGATCAGACTTCTTCCGATTGTAGCATCCGGTGTCATCTCAGCGCTCAAGCGGCCCCTCACCGAGATGCTTAGGTAGGGTAGTAGGTGCAAGAAAATGCATGTCACTTCTTGAAGACCGAGAAATTCGTAACCAGTCTCATCGTACGGATATTATCAACAACAATTTGCCATTGCCCACACACGTACATAACTTTGGAGAGGTACGATGGATAACAAGGAATTAGCCGAGCTTTTGTTCAAGTTACACTCTAGTCTAATTCAGCCCTCTCAGCAACTTGCAGAGCTTGTTGTGTCTGGCCACCAGTCCTGCAACTGGGACAAACCTGTTTCTGAAACGCGGAGAGGGCAGATCCCGCCATTGCTGGGCCAGACACTATGCACTCCGCTCTCCCCGACCGTTCCATAAAGCCTGCGCAATCGGGACTTTGATCCAATCATGTTGCATGATTCAATGTAGCTTTTTTCTCTCTGCATCGTCGTTCGGGTGGCCGACCTCAAGCTTCTCGGGGTCATCCGAGCACATGCCTTGGGGCGACATCTTCCGCAGGTTGGTCCAGGAGCACCCCTTGCGAGACTGCACAGTGAACAAAGCTTTCTGTCTTGGACTCGGTTTGGTTGAGACGAAGCATGGCTGTCCACCGATGGCGCGCTGTGCCCGACTTGCCGGGCTTTCATGTGATGTGATGGCCTGGTTGGCAGCCGCTGAGAATCTTGAATCATTGTTGGTGCGGCCGGGGCTGTTTTAATAATTGTCAGGATGGCTCTCCTACGAGGTGACTCTTCGTTTCATGCATGCCAACAGACGGTCTGATCTCGGACTTGGGCAGTTGACTGGCCGTACCGAGCGGCCCTGGGGGTATAAGCTACCCTCCAAGTAAATACCAAGCCCTATATGATGGAAGCCCATCAGCGCCTGCCTGTGCATACTGACAAGTCTCTGGGCGCATCGTTGTGGTTCTTGTTGTGTCATGTCCGGTGGGGGTATCAAATGGCCGCCGCTGCCTCCCTCTCCCGTTCGGCTCTCCGCACACGGCGCTCAACCATCTCCACCCGGCCCTCGACGTCGGCGACGAAATCTGAGACTCCCAGGACGCCCTGCTGGTACCAGGTCTGGAGGACCTCCTCGCTCCGGGCGCGCAGTTCGGCCATCTCGGCGGCTTGGGCGATCTGGGTGGCTTCGATGCCGTGCAGTCTGGGCGCGAGGGAGGCGAGCGCCGCGCTCTGCGATGATTCGGGGATGGGGCAGTCGTTGACAGAGGTCAGGGACGAGGCTGTCGCCGGAAAGGCGGCCGCGGAGGCGAGGACGGTGGCTTGGATTGCTTCGGGGGCGAGGTGGATGGGCGCCTCGGAAGGAGGTGGGGGTTGGAAGAGAGTTGGGTAGGCGTTGTCTGGAGATTCGTGTCAGTCAAGTTGTGATGTTTGCAAAGAAATGTTCGTGGACTTACAGATCTTCATCAATTCGCCGTATACGCGGATGCGAGATAGGAGGTGGTTGAAGCGGCGCTCGAGATCCTCTAGCGTGTCGACAGCCGAATCTGTCTGGGAGGAGTTCGAGGGTGCCGATGGGCCGTATAAGAGATGCTCGATGCGTAGCAGACGCGATTCGAGGAGAGATATCGTCGATAGTGTCGTCTTGTCGAGTGAGATGTCCATGGTGATGGAGGGTATCGGGCGTTGCGTCGCGTGTCCGAGTGCGTCGATCGGGAGAGGTAGGTTGTTTGGGAGGACAAGGAGGTCGATTCCTTTGCTCTGTTGGTGGTACGTCGCGGTCAGGGTCAGGCTGGAGTTCTCAAGCGCGAAAAGCTGTCGGTGAATGGGATGTCGCAGGTGCGAGTGCAAGGGTGCGGTGAGTGAGTAGAAACAAGGAAACGATCCCCGAGAGCTGATCGTCACCGCCGTTAGCGTGGTAAGGCTGGGAAGTCCCTGAGTGGCTGAAGCTCTCGAGAGTTGAGACTTTAGGTTGAAGGCACCCGTGAGGTGTGGCTTGTGACCGACCCACCGGACCAAAATATGCAAGACATGCGATTAGATACGAGAAACTCGGCCGTGCCAGTCCAATGAAAGGCTTTGGCATGAATTGGTCTCGGGCGCATTGAGACTCATTTCCCCAATGTCTCTCTAATTACAAAGTCATTATTCTTCACATGCCTCGTGGGGGTTGTCGTATTCTAACTATATCCAGTCTTTCCGGAAGGACTTGGCGGCTGGGAAAAGGATGGAAAACGATGAAAGGGAGAAGGAAAAGCAACTTTTCCTACCTGAGGAAAGTCAGGGATCTTCAGTAGTGAGATAACTTGAAGCACCTCAACCAACGACATCAAGGAGGGCACATGTGAGGGTCGTCTCGTGCCTCAACCTCGCGACTCCAGGTCGGCCCTTGCGCCAAGCTCAGAATGAGCCAAGTGTCAGCGGGTGAGCGGGAGGGTGAACGCTACCTACCTAAGGTTTGGCCCTGCCGCCGTACTGGTATTTTGTTGCTGGTGCCTTGCATTGTCCTGCGAGGGCCCGGTGCTGGCGGACATTTCGGAAAGGGCCAATGCCTCGTGGCCGTTGCCAAGGCCCAGTTCCATTGCGGTCTGGGCAATACGTAAGAATTGCTAGTTGCCAGAGCTTTCCCCGTCCAAGAATGCAAGTACCAGTCGTGGTCTCCGATTTTGTTACCTAAAAGTACCTACAAACCCTACGGACTATGTACTATGAATTAACGACACTGGACAGCTCGGTGGCAGCAAACACTGTCGTCAATTCCCTGCCAAACTCACTCACTCCGAGTCTCCAACCAGTCTCCAACAAACACTCCTCACCACCACTACCACCACCACCACTACCCCGACACACTGTGCCTGCTCATTTACCCGCCCCGGAACTAGGTTCTGATACCACTCTGGACGCCGCCGTTGGTCATAATTAATTCCTTTTAACTTCTCGGTTATTCCGCGGGAACCTTCGTCCCTCTCTTGCTTCCTCTCTCTGACTCTCTCCCGCATATACTTCGCACTAGGGGCTAAATTGGTCTACGGATACGCTTTTTTCTTTTGTACACGTATACACCTTACCCACGCCCCCAGGAGAAGGACTTTCGCATCGCGCATTGTCGTGTGATCTATCCGTTCGCCCTGCGACCTACGTCTTGCGCCTTGCGACTTGCGACCGAGACGACGTTCGACACCTTGGACGTGCCGTCGTGACTCGTTCGTCGCCCCAAAAGGCCTTTAGAGATCGACACAGGAAGGTGCTGCCAGTACCTATTATTTGGCCACTTGTCCACCGTCCGTCCAGTGTCGCTTCAGCCCGGCGGCCCCATTCAGCCAGTGTCAGCCGCCGCAGAGCCGCCGCAGAACCTTGAATTACTCAGTCGCTGCACCCCGAACGGAACCTGCGAGGTCTGTCCTAGTAGGCCCGGACACCTTCCTCGAACGATTTCGAGATATTCCCCCAAAAGCACGTCACAGTTGCCCTGCGCAAACTCTCGGTTGGCCATTCGCGCAACGTCACGCCTTCTGCGCCTTCTCCGCCTTGGTGTGTGGGTGCGCCGACTCGAACACCACTGACGAGTGACGACCAGGTCTGCAGCCGCAGCCGCAACCGCAGTCGCATTCCAAACGCCGCGAAGCCGAGAAACGCCGCACTTTTTCTCCCGTCTGATCAACGACGACCAGCTATTTCTTCGACGTCTCTTGTTATTCTTACGCTTTCGGCCCTGCTCGACCAGCATCAACAAACAACTCCATCTCTCTCCCTTGCGACTATATCCTGTGGCTCTGGGTCGCAGTTGTGGACACTTCGTTCTAATTTCCCGTTCCGGCAACTTCCTTCGGACTCTTTTTATTTTTTTTATTTTTGGTTAATTCTTATCTGACCTCCGCTTTTTGCGATTGCGCTTGCGCCCACCAAACACTCGAGCGACAGAGCGACGACGCATTCTGGCGACGACAGCGAACGACACCAGCGAGCGACGAGCGACTGACCAAAACGACACCGACGGCGATCGATAATTACGAAACATCCGAGCAATACTATGACGAATTACTCTAGCATTACTGATGGGAACGCAAATTCGATTGCGTCTGGAAGCTCCGGCGAAATGTCACGGTATGCCGAACTCCCGCTATTCCCCGCAAAACGGGCATGGAGCCAGATCACACATGGAAGAGAGCCCTGCTGACGTGTGGAATATCAATTTGTAGACAACGTCGAAGGAACGGAAAGGAGGGGGGAGGCCAGGCCTCGATGCTGAGCAGCGTGATCAACCTGCTTAATACTAGTACGTGCTGTCGCGGATTTCCACGAGATCGCATCCGAGTGCGGGGCAAGAAGAGGAGCTGACGAATCGTGATTACAGTCGTTGGCGCCGGGACCTTGGCCATGCCATCGGTAGTTTCACACATGGGCTGTATGTTTGGTGTGTTGATGATAATGTGGTCTGGACTCACGGCCGCTTTTGGCCTGTATCTTCAGTCTCGCTGCGCCCGCTACCTCGATCGCGGGACATCGTCCTTCTTCGCCATTTCCAAGATTACGTACCCGAACGCCGCCATCATCTTCGACACTGCCATTGCGATTAAGTGCTTCGGTGTCGGCGTTTCCTACATGATCATCATTGGCGACTTGATGCCCAAGGTCTTCATCGGCTTATTCGCTGGTGCGGTCGCTGAGAACCCGTACCTGGGCGAGAGGAACTTCTGGATTACTGCCTTTATGCTAGTCATTATTCCTCTGAGTTTTTTGAAGAAGCTCGACTCGCTCAAGTACACCAGTATCGTTGCTCTGGTCTCCATCGGCTACCTCGTCATTCTGGTCATCTACCACTTCTCTACGGACCGACTCAAAGACATGAGCGAGATCCGAGTTGTTGAGCCCGAAAGCGCTGTCGCATTCCTCAGCACATTGCCCGTGGTCGTCTTTGCGTACACATGTCACCAGAACGTAAGTCAACATTGGTCAGTAACTGGGGCTTCGCGCTAATTGAGTGGACAGATGTTTGCCATCTTGAACGAGATCAAGGACAACTCTCCCGGTAGCGTCATTGGAGTTGTTGGCACCAGCATCGGCACGGCCGCCTCGATTTACACCGTTGTTGCCATCACTGGGTACCTAACATTTGGCAACGCGGTTAAGGGCAACATTGTCATGATGTGTAAGTGAACCCGGGAGAAGGGCTGAGCTTCACTGACCTCCTTTAGACTCTGCGACTGCCGCTTCATACATCGGTCAGCTTGCCATAGTGGTGCTCGTCACTTTCTCCGTCCCTTTGCAGGTCCATCCCTGCCGCGCCTCTGTGGATGCTATCCTCAAGTGGCGCCCTAACCGTGGGTCGAACGGCAACGGTCGGTCCACCTCTCCGGGCGGCCGTCCGCTGCTACCCTCGGCGGTTTCTGTTCGCTCTGATCACGGATCCAGCTCTTCCATGGGAGAGACCCGATTCGCAATCTTGACCTCTGTCATCCTCATTCTTTCATATGTCACCGCTCTCTCAGTTCACAGCCTCGAGAGAGTCTTGGCCTACGTTGGAAGCACTGGCTCAACCAGCATAAGCTTCATCCTTCCCGGCCTGTTCTATTACAAGATTAGCGATCCCAATAGCGTCCATCAACAACGTCTTCACAAAGAGGATGACGACGCCGATGTTCCCTCCGATGAAGAAGACGCGGATCCGATGGTTACCAGCATCGCGAGTCTTGGCAGCGTTGCCAGCGTCGTTGCGGATCCTCGCCAGTGGAAGCGCAAGTGGCGTTGGGATCTCGAGCACCTTGAGCAAGACGCCCTGCGCAAGATGGCCCTGGCCCTTGCCATCTATGGCGTGTGTGTTATGGTGGTCTGCCTTTTTATGAACATTGTGTTCCATGCATCTCACTAAACGCGGCTACTTTTATCCTCCATGAAGATATAGTTTAGAGGAAGAGTTGTTTTTTGAGGCGATGATGCAGATATACTCACTCCACGGCCGCTTGGGATAGACATACGGCGACGTCACAAAAGTCCCACGGGCAGCGTCGCGCATTTTAGGAGTTGGATGGTTTGTTTGTCTTCTGATTCTTGGGGAAAGCCCCCCCCCCCCTTTTTTTTTGTGTACCCCCTTATCAGCGCGGTGGCTGCATGTCAAGGGCGTTGGTAACGTCCTGCAATGGTCTTCTTTCATTTCTTCTTTCATTAGTACAGAAATAGTTCTGGGACAGACTCGGCTGGTTGACTGATAGTCACAGCGGCCTTTCGATAACATTCAAGATAGCTTCAATTGGGAGCGACATTTTGGTCTTTCTACAGTCCCGTTATTGTACAACTCGCGTGATGTGACATGGCGCTGACTGCCTCAGTCTTGGTTACCCCACTTTCCTTCGTCTTTTTCTACGGAAGACTCAAGCCACAACCTTGACCGGCTTCTTGCCCGTCCGTTGCAGGAGCCTCTCCCCTAGATACTACATCTCCGCCACTAGCTCTTCCCGCCGTGGATAACCACGAATCTCATACGGAAAGGTGGCCCCTGCGATCCTCGTGATTCTCGCCGCGCCTTTTTGATGGTTTTGTTACACACAGAGCCGCCGTGGGGTTTGCCAACTTCATCCCAATGATTGCAAATCCGATAGCGTTCCGACACACTCCTCCTCCTCCTCCTCCTCCTCCTTGCCGCCTATGATGATGATTCCGGGGTCGGGGCCTTGGCTGGAGAAGGTGTCCTGAGCGACTTTGCCGCCGTCGCCGTGTTGGGGGTGCCGTTTGGCCTGTATTTGGGCTCGAGAATGCCGACCATGGAGAGTAATCGCCAGACGGTCTCGGTGGGCTGAGCGCCGACGCCGACCCAGTAGCGGGCGCGGAGCGAGTCGAGGCGGATATCCTTGTGCGGCTTGGAAGTCGCGTCGTAGGGGTCCTGGCGGGGGACGGGGTCGTAGGTGCCGATGACCTCGATTGGTTTGCTGTTGCGGGCGGTTCTGCCGGTTGCGCAAGTGCGAGGGTTAGCCTTTTATGATTCTTCCTTGCGAGGTTCATTGTCGTGTTCTATTTCCCTTCTATGTTCGCTTTTCTTCTTCTCATTGAATCGGGGGCTTCAAGTGCTGGCGCTGGGTGGTGTCTTTCTGAAGGGGAATTGGTGCGGAAGCGTACCTGGCTTGTGTGACGACGATGTTGTAAAAGGGCTGGTTGACGCGCCCGAAGCGGGCGAGGCGTATGCGGACGACCATGTCTGGAGTTTTGTGAGGTATCGGCGTCGAGGAAGGTGGAGGCTTTGTCGGGATGGGAGCTGGGGCGGTTGAGCGGCCGGTTATTCGGTGAGTCGTGGCCGCGCAGCTGGAACAGCTTCAGTAAAGTATAAGGGTGATGCGATGTGAGGCTTTCGGTGTCCTTGGTTCGGGGGAATTTTTGGTCGGTGGGGGTGTTGTTCCGTCGCCGGTTCAGACGGGTACGCTAAGCCCCTAAGGGTCAGGCCATGGACAGGCATCCAGCGAACCCGAGGCAGTCAATTCGACCGGGGGACTGACGACACCAGGGACTCTCGCAATTTATGTATGGTGGGTTTCTTAACGACAAATACGGAACCAACAGACAGAATGGATTGTTGGTTGGAGGCGAGTGTTAACCGAATTGGGATCTCCCAAACAAACTCACCTTGACCGCCATTTCCGTCGCAATTCAACCTTTTTCCTTGCATGAATGACGACCATTGAAGCTTCAAACAACCCGGAGGGGGCGACAGCACCAATCCAGCCTGACAACGTGGTATAGGGCCTGGCACTTGCGATGGATGCTTCTCTCCGATCCAGTATCCTTGAGTACCGCCGCGAAAATGGCCGCACATACCACCGTCTCAGCGACGGGAAATACTTAGTTCCTAACGATGAGACCGAACAAGATCGCCTCGACATTGCGAACCATCTCTGGATGCTCGCCTGGGAGGGCAAGTACTGCATCTGTCCAAAGAACGAGGGTGCCCGGCGAGTCCTCGACATTGGTACCGGCACGGGGATCTGGGCTATAGACTACGCTGACAGCCACCCCGAGGCGACTGTCCTGGGCGTCGACCTGAGCCCGATTCAACCGGCGTACGTCCCGATCAACTGCTCATTCGAGATTGACGATCTGGAAAAGGAATGGCTCTTCACGGAGCTATTTGACTTCATCTTTGCGCGCAATATGGCGGGCAGCTTCCGGGACTGGGACGACGTCGCGGAGCAAGCCTTCAACCACCTCGAGCCGGGGGGTTACTTTGAGATCCACGACAATCTGTATCCGCTGCAGTGCGACGACGGCACGCTGCGGGAGGACTCTGCGCTGTTTCAGTGGTCAAAGTACCTCGTCCAGGCGTCGGAGAGGACGGGCCGCTCCATCACCATCGCCTCGGAGCTGCCGGGAATCCTCGAGGCCGCGGGCTTCGTGGACGTGACGGTGACGAGGCAGGTAATGCCCGTGTCGCCGTGGCCGGCGGACCCGCGGCTGAAGGAGCTGGGCCACTGGACGCAGGAGTCGCTCCGGCCGGGCATCGAGGGCCTCTGTCTGGCGCTGTTCACGCGCATGCTGGGGTGGACGTCCGAACAGGTTAGGGTGTTTTGCGTACAGGTGAGGGAGGATGCTAGGAATTTGGGTATACATGCATACTGGCACGGGTATTCCATCTATGGACGGAAGCCGGCTGCTAAACAGCAGACGACGTGGACCTATGACCTCGACGGCGTTTTTTTCTGAACTGGGCAAGACGTTTTTTATTGTTTTTTTTTTCCCTCTTTTACCCGGCACCGGACGGACGGTTCTGCCTGGATTGATGAGGCGGGGCATTTTCTATTCCTTAGAACCGTGGCCACCAAACGGCATCATACACTTCGGCATTGGTGGTACCTTCTGGATTTATTTTGGGAGTCATCGGTTGCCATCCTCCTGTGATCGGCTTGTACTACAATGTTGGGATGTTTGAAATCAGTATTGCAGGTCTTCTTATTTATTTCGTTTTTCTTTCGGAATCTGGAAGGACTGAAACAAAGGCATTTTCGCTCATGCATCTCTAAAGAACCCCAGAATAGGCTTTAGAAGACACCTAGGCGGCACTACTGGTCGAAGACTGAGTCAACATGGGGAAAAGCATGACGGCCCAAGCTGGAGGCTGAGAAGATTCTGTCTTCAACAGGTGGTGCCGTTCGCATTGGGGTTCTTGATGTCTAGTGGGTTATGGGCTTGCTGTTTTTCTGATCTGCTGCATGGCCCGTGTTCATGTCTTGAGACTCCTGACACTGTCTAACCTCCAAGACTAAATTTCATCAGGCCCAGAATGAACATAGTAAGCCGACCTAGATAGATAATCACTGATAAAGAGTTGAAGAAGAAAGATGCTCCCTGACTTTCCGCCGAGGGGCTCATTTTATCATAGTGCGACTGGGTTTATACTGGGTAACAAACCTTTCTTCGTCTCAGAGTATACACTAGGGTCAAGACGGATCTCTGTAAGGCTGAGATACTTGAAGCAGCTCAGGCACTTGCTGTACTTCACTCACACGGGCCCTGCCTCGGTTGTTCGTTTTCGTCGACATCGCGTACAGACCGGAGTGCCAATATGCTCCTGTCGTGTCTCACAGATGAGTTTCACACCTAAACGGAAGAGGACGTTTCCCGATTATTTGGTCAACCACAAACATACCCCGTCCGTCGCTACTCAGAAGAGCCACCGGAGCCTCATGCACCCAAATTCATTGTCGAGGCGCCGGACTTGCTGTCATATTCTTCGAACCTGCTCAGCAAAAGCATTTGCATCATCGACTTTGATCATTCCTTCACCACAGACTCCGCCCCAGCGAAGCTCGGGATCCCGGCAAAGTATTTCGCGCCCAAAGTCGCCGTACCCGAGCATGCAAGCGTCGCTTCTGATGTCTGGGCTCTAGGTTGCGCGATCTTCCGGGTTCGATCTGGAGACGACGACTTCTTCGATTATGACATAAATTGCCCTGCAGACGTTCTTAGACAGATTGTCAAGACGATTGGCGGTCTGCTCAAGAAGTGGAAAGGAACGCGTTTTGCCGAGGATGGAAACTAACGAGGTCAGTGAACCGTCTTGGGTCTTGGAGGAGACCCGGCCTCTAAAGCAGAGGGTACATGAGATCTTGGACGAACCTCCGAGTTTGTTCATAGATCGAAGCGGAGCGCGACAGGACTCTGCCGAAGTTGACCCTGCTCCGCCGCAGTTTGACAGTGATGGGCTCCCGAGAATGCCCTATGCAAAAGCGTATTCAGCATTGCTGCGGGGACCCACGACTGTTTGTGTAATTGGGGGTTTGTCTTGTGGCATATTCGGGCGAAAGTGATGAGGTATTGAAGGCGTTCCCCCAAATATGGGACATCGAAGCTTAACAGTTGGTCGATTTGTTGTTGAGGGTCTTTGAGTACGACCCGAAAAAGCATATAAGTGCGCCAGAGCTTGCGAAATGTGCGTGGTTCGGATCTTTCGATCCATCCAGGAAGCGAAAGCGGGCTAAACTCTGACTGACCTTGAAGCCCGCACCTCTGGCCTCGAATACATTCGCATTCAAGAAAGCAGAATCTCAATGGAGAAGCCGTTGGAACCCTTTTCATCAAACTTTTGACCGCTTCCCAGAAGATTTCTAGGCTAGCAACCATCAAATTGTACTCGAGATTAACAATTTAAAAGCACGCAAAAGTACCATGAAGTTTGGTTAAGGTATCAAAAATAATAAGCTCCCAAACAGGGTAGCTGATCAGATGTCCTTTTAAATCCGGCTTCTCTATCCGTATGTGTTAAGGCGACAGGGCTCGAGCCATCCAAAAATAAAAAAAAAATGGTCTCGCTACAATGGGTGGGTTGAATGGGCAAGCAGCAGCGGTTGTCCAGCTTTGGACCTGGCTGTCGCTTGCATCAAGAGCCCCGTTCGGCTGCTTCCGAGTACCACCGGGCCGGGAACTTCGCTGGGTGTCGGAGGCGCCTTGACCATGTCGTCTGGCTCCACCGCCGGCTGTAGGGGGCCAGCGGTGGCAGGACTTTTCTCGCCTTTGTTGCGCTCTGGGAACCGGCGCGATGGCGAGGACGATTGTCACTTCTATTGTGAAGCGGCAATGCGGGTAGTTGCGAAGGATGGTTGCCAAATGAGAGACGATGGCCCGGCATGTTCCCTCCGAGGAGCTACTCTGGTTCGTCTGCGGCTAAGCTGGAGTCCTCTGTCAATAGTGTCGCCCCAAGTGCAGATGGGATGGTATGACGCCAAGTCATCGTCTAGTGTAGTCACACGGACTGGTCCCACTGATCCCGCTGCAGCTGTCAGGAACTCCGCCGTCTGAACTCTTGAACCGGCTTGGCGGTGCCTACTGAAAAGACAACTTGTCGGGTTGTGTCAGAATTCGGATCGACAAGTACAGGCTCGAGGTCTGTCCGCAGAGATGCCAGGGCCCTTGCTGCCAACTTGCCACTGATCGACGCCGCGGAAAAGTGCGGGAGGGGGGAACCTACAGCAGTATACGGATACGGGTGCGCTGCCCGCTGCCCGCTGCCCGTCGCTCGCTACTGACCAACGATCCAATCTGGCAAAGCAGAAGAGAGGCGCGCAGAAAAAGACGACTCCGTTTTGTTTACCACACTAGATCGCTTGGGGTGGAAATCAGTGCTGCACGGGGGGGCGGTTCTTCCATGCAAGGCACCGCACAGCCGAGCTACAGGGGGTGTTGCTTAATTTAGTCTGTCAGCCACAACCCCAACAGTGCTGGCCACAGGTGTGCCTCATCTCGTCTGGTTTTGTGTGATGAGGACGGGCACAAATGGCAGTTTCCTGATTGGACCTGGGAACAACCAGAAAGCTTGCGTGCTGAAAGCCTGGAGCCTGAAGCCATTAACCTTTTCTTGGGGGGGTTTCTTTTTTTTCTTTGGTTCGTCTGAACAGCTGAAAGTTTCTTAGACAGCATGTCTGCGACTACCAGAACAAAACACGGAACTCTATTGGCGGCCATGGGCCATCGTCTCGGCAATACCGGCTGATGGCCGACGGTCTTTGCTTTTTTTACGAGATGCAGTGGAGGCCATTTGTTTCCTTCGCGCGCGCCCAACGCAGGGAGTCACCTACGTCACGGCTGGCAGAGAAGAAATCAACACACCACGGATTGATGGTTCATGTTTAACAGCAATCTAAAAATTCTCTGAAAGTCGGTTTTGCATACGAGATGGGGCGGTGGGGTGACACTAATGAGTGGAGGAGAGGGGGGGAACGAGGAGTGGGAAGCCGGAAGCCTCA